TTGTGTTTTATATTTTATGGCAAATTATTTGGTCCAGCTCCATTCATATTTCTGTATGAATAAGTTGTCAAATGGATGATACCACCATTTCCTACCCAACCAGCTAAAGTTCTATCTCCCAAATTTCTATCAGTTGATGGTGTGGTAATCTAAACTCTAAATAGATTGTGCCAAGCTTATTATGGTGTTGGTTATGACCATTTGAACCAACCAGAGAAAGCATATTCCTTAGGGAAAACTGTATCAACTGTTGTTTTAGTTGGATCTGAATTAGATTATCTATCAATTTAGGAATCAATAATTCTTGTAGTTGAAAGAGGTACTTTTCCTCCTTTTAATGGATTTGGTTTATCAGCAAAGAATTTTTTGTGACTTTCAACAGAATCAATAAATGCTCCTACTGATGTTGAGTAAACAACTTAAGTAAATTATCCATTGAATCCTGGATATCTATTTTAATCTTTTCCACCCAAGATAAATTTAAGGTATTTCAAATCAGGGTGTTTGACTGGGAATTCAGCTGAAACTGGTTCTAAATCACCAAATCGAATAATTGCCACAGCCTTTCCTGTATTGGAGTATGAGAAATAGAAATGTGTCCAAAGACCTTCAATATCAGCTGGATAATTTATGTTTCTTATCACATTTGGATTAGCTGGTTAAACATTATTGGTTGTGAAGTGATAATATCCTTATCCTTACCAGATTGCCAAGATTCTGTCTCCCATTCTTATATTATCATAATTTTCATGTTAAGTCAATCTAGCCATAAAATACCATGGAGCATTTTTACCATTTGGTAACTTAACTGGATAAGCTGTCAAGAATCTTGCCCAGAATCCATAACCATATTCAGTAAATGGAACTTCAGATCTAAATTCTTTGATTACTTTTGGAGCATTTTCATTGTGTGCATTTGGTAATTATTATTCTCCAGTTTCATCTGTGATTGGTTAAGGTTTCTTTTATTCAGGTTTTTTGAGTAAACTTGATTCTCCTTTATTAAATCCAAAAATATCATTTGGATGTTTGAAATCTGGTGTTTTTCTAAATGTTCCACTACCCAAAACAAAGTTAACATATCCAATTTTACCATTAAATCCTGGGAATTGCTTATCTTTACCTATGAATGTATAGAAATAAGGAGTGTAATAATGATTGACATTATTATATTCAATTGTCTCAATACCTCCTGTGAATTTAACACCAACAAATCCTTTTCTTTCATTTTTAGAGTATCCAAAGTAAACAAAGAACCATTCTAAATGTCTATTCTTGTGTATAATGTTGCTGACCATATTTGGATTTCCAGCTCCATTCATACTAGTATATGTATAAGTTGGGAAATGGAAAATACCTCCTTAAGCAGTACCAATCCAGAATGAAAGAGTTCTATCTCCTAAAAATCTATCTGTGGATGGTTTATTGATTTGAACTCTGAAAACATTGTGCCAAACTTATTATTAAGTTTATTCCCATTTGAACCAACCACTAATGGCATATTCATGAGGGAATTTTTATGCTCCTCCTCCTAATTCATCATAAATTGGGTTGTCATTAACTTTTCTTGAGATAGTATCTTCAACTAATTCATGTTTATACAATTTATCCAAATCATGTACTGGTATGATTGTTCTGGAAATATGATCATTGAAATCATCTAATGTATCTAGAAAAGCACCTTCTTTGGCAGAGAAAACAATTTGACTGAATAAACCATTGAATCCTGGGTATCTATTGCTGTCTTTTCCACCTAAGATGAATCTAACATATTTGGTTGTTGGGTGATTAACATTGTGAATGATTTATCTTGGTTCTAAGTTACCATACTTAATGAATGCAATAGCCTTATTCTCTTAAGCACTATAAGAATAATAAATGTAGGTCCAAACTCCTTCAATATCATTTGGATAATTGATATTTTGGATGACATTTGGATTGTTAGATTTCTTATCACAAGTTGTGAAATGATAATATCCTTATCCTAACCAAATAGCCAAGGTTCTATCTCCCATAGCAATATTTCCATAATTTTAATTGGATGTCAATCTGGAGACAAAGTACCATGGAGCATTCTTTCCATTAAGTAATCTAACTGGATAAGCTGTTAAGAATCTAGCCCAGAAACCATAACCATATTCTACTAAATCTTCTTCAGATTCTTTGCTTTCATCAACTTTTGGTTTATTATCATCAGTAGAAGTAGAAGTCGTAACACCATCATCATCATCATCATCATCTTTTTCTTTAACTTTATCATCTGGTTGTTTGCCTAATAATTACTTTTATCCAACAACAAAATTGAAAGCATCGTTCTTAGCTTTGAAATCATTTCCTGGTCTAAATGCTCCTTCCCCAATATTAAAAGCAACTAAAGCAAGGTCTCCACTAAATCCTGGAAAATGTTTATCTTTTCCAACAAAGATGTAATATTTAGGAACAGTGAAATGTTTAACATTTTCATATTCTTAATGATCCTCTGAATCTGTCCATCTGATATAAGCCTTAGCTTTCTATTATGGTCTGGAGTATCCGAAATAAACAAAGAACCATTAAGTGTGTCTATTTTTATGTGGAATATTTTTGAAAAGATTTGCATTTCCATTTCCTTCAAGGTCTGTCACAGTGTAAGTAGGTAAATGAATAATTCCTCCATCTGATTTACCAACCCAACCTGATAAGGTTCTATCTCCCAAGAATTTGTCAGTTGATGGAGTTTGAATTTAGACTCTAAAGATATTATGCCAATCTTATTATTTATCAGTTGGTGTCCATTTGAACCAACCACTAATTCCATACTCATGTGGGAATTTAGGAGTTGAAGTTGTTCCAACTATTTAGTGAATTTCTTTATCTTCTGGTTTTCTTGAGATTGAATTTGTAGTAACTTTATAAGTGACTATATCAGGAATAAAGTCTTTTGGAATCTTTTTCATTGATTGTAATTTGGCTTAAATATCTTCATCATTATCGATGAAAGCACCTTTCTTAGCACTGAAATAGATTGAACTCAATAAACCATTAAATCCTGGATATCTCTTGTCATCTGTTCCTCCTACAGTAAATCTTACAAATTTAGTTGTTGGGTGAGTCACTTCATGCTCAACTTTCTTAAAATCATTTTCTCCGAATTTAATATAAGCAACTGCTTTTTTCTTTTCAGAACTATATGAATAGTAAATGTATGTCCAAACACCGTCTAAATTCTCTGGATAATCTACATTCTTAACAACATTTGGTTAATTTTATGGTTTATCACATGTTGTGAAATGATAGAATCCTTTTCCTAACCATATTGCCAAGAGTCTATCTCCCATATTGACATTATCTGTATTTTTATTAGCAGACAATCTTGAAACAAAGTACCAAGGAGCATCTTTACCTTTTGGCATGAACTTTGGATAAGCCAACATAAATCTTGCCCAATAACCATATCCATATTCTACTAAATCTTCAGAGCCTTCTTCGTCACCATTATCTACTTCAGTTGTTCTAATAGGTTTATCATTTGTATAATCTGATGGCTATTTCTTATTCACTGTGTCTTCATCATCTTCAGAGTCTGAAGAACTTACTAATGCTGAGGCACTAACAGGTTCTTCTTCAGATTCTGGAGCACTTTTTTCTCCTGGTCTAATTATGACTTTGTCTTGTTCATCTGTATTTATGATGATTCCATCCTTGGAACAAGATTCTACTCTTCGTTATACATCCTCAGATTTTGAATTTATGATATTAATTGTAATCTAAATGAATTATTTAAATTTATTACTGATGGCTTTTGGCATTATTCTCTTATTTATTGTCTCTCACTCAATAGCTTATTTATTAACTCCTCAATTTTATCGCAACATTGATCTGCATCTTCTTTTGATGAGGCAGCATCTAATAAATTTAATTAACCATCTAAAATATCTTGACCATATTGTCTCCATTATTGCAATAAGGTATCTCTTTCCTATTACCTTAATTGAATAAATGCAAAAGAACCCTTTGTACTGTGATATTGCAACAATGCTAAAATATTTTAATTATTTGTACTTGTCTTCTATCCTTCTGATTTTCTATAATCTGCCACAGCTACTTTTAGTTTTTGCAAATTATCAATATCATTATCTATCTAATCAGGGTTAGAAAGAATCTCCTGCCAAGCTTCCATTGATTTACTCACTTATTCCAAGCCTGGAGAACAATCTAGACTACCTGTATCTAAATTATTTAACTCTTCAAGTGATTGTAATTTAATTCCGCTTTAAAGTTCAACAAACTGTTACGCTAAAACATTATATTACCTACTTTTACCTTGTAGCGAACATATCAAAAACAATAGCAATATTAATGAAGATTTCTTCATAATAATGTAAAATAATAAATGAATACTAATATGTGAATAATATATATAAGAATAGGGATTATTATCCGTTTTTTTATGAATTGAGTTCTTATTTTAATTATTAATATAAACCGACAAGTCCTTATTAAACTCTTCTCAATTCATCGTAATACGTAATTAAGTCAAAGAAACTTTAACTCATATTATAATTGAAAATAAGCAAACATTTCCAAGAATTAAATTTGTAGTGTGAGAGAGGATTTGTCAGTTAATAAATAATTATCAAATTTATCAATTTACTATATTAATATTATTTATCTACTATACTTCAAAATTAAATTGGATAATTTTATTATCAAATTTTATATTTAAACCTTTAAAATACTTTGAACAACTACTCATTTTAACTTATTCTAATTTAGAACAACAAATACTCTTGAAACAATCCATTAGTTTGGTTTTTTACTTCAGTTAGATTGGATTAAATGTTAAATATAGTTTTTCATTATAAAATCAAGTATATATATTAGTTAATTTTAGAATTATTAATAATAATATTCATCATTCCATTTTATTCTAATAATAAAGTTAAAATCAAATGGAAAATTATCACATTTTGCATTTAATAGGTGAAGGCTCTTTTGGAAAGGTTTATAAGGGTAGACTAAAAAAGAGTAATTAAATCGCTGCTCTAAAATTTATTAGTAAGAGAGGAAAGTCAGAAAAAGATTTGGCAAATTTGAGATAGGAAATTGAAATATTAAGGAGATTGAAGCATGAAAATATCATATTATTACTAGATGCATTTGAAACAGCAGGTGAATTTTGTTTAGTAACAGAAGTAATCTTTTTGATAGAATATTGTTTAGTTTGGACAAGGAGTATTATTTGAAATTTTGGAGGATGATCGTAAAATACCAGAGAGTGAAGTTAGAAATATAGCTTAATAATTAGTAAGAGCATTACATTACTTGCATTCAAATAGAATCATTCATAGAGATATGAAACCATAAAACATATTAATTTCTGCTGATGGAGTAGTCAAATTAATAGATTTTGGTTTTGCCAGGGCAATGTCAACAAACACTTAAGTTCTTCATTCAATCAAAGGAACTCCTCTTTATATGGCACCAGAATTAGTTTAAGAATAGCCATATGATCATACAGTTGATTTATGGTCTTTGGGAGTTATTCTTTATGAATTATTTGTTGGATAACCTCCATTTTACACAAATCAAATATATTCTCTAATTCAGCTCATTATCAAAGATCCAGTAAAATATCCAGATAACATGAGTCCAGAATTCATGAGTTTTTTAAAAGGTCTACTCAATAAGACTCCTTCTGAAAGGTTGGGTTGGCCAGATTTATTGAATCATCCCTTTATAGCAGAAACTGATTAAGAAAAATGTGAGAGAAAAAAAAGATTGAAGCAATATAACTAGTGGGCTGGGGTAGAAGATGAAATTATAGATAAAAGAAAAAGATCATTAACTCCAACTCGTGAGATTGTTGCTTATGATTAAATTAAAGATAATCGTGATGTTTCTCCAAAAAGAATGCCATGTAATGATGAATTTTGGATGAGATACGAATAAATTGCTAATGATGTTTAAGGTGCTACTTAATTGAGATGTGATCCAGGCTTCTTGGATAAATTATTATAAGTCTTATCTCCACCAAAAAAGCCTTCTTTATCAACTGCTTTAAAGGTTTTTGGATTAGTTATTACTAAAGGAAATCAATAAGAAGGTTTGGATGTTGTTAAAAATTAACAAATTCCTATTTAATTGATTACTCATGTCAAAAATACTTTAAAATAAGGTACTTTAGAATTGTTATCGGATTTTATTAAGACTATTGGATTATTGGCTTAAGCCACCTTTGATAAAAACATAGGAATAGACAATGTATTTATTAAATTTCTTGGACTTACTGCCTAAATATTAAAGGTTGGTTAGAATAATGAATTAATTAATACAATTAAAACAATAGGACTTTTTGCCAATTAAGCAAGTCTAAATTCAGTTAGATCAGTTTTATTCTATAAAGAACTTGTAGAACATAATTTGGTAGGTGAAATTGCAAAGTTAACTAGAAATAATTTAATTCTTCATAAATTAGCAACTTAGGTTATTAGTGTATTGATTCATCCAATAAATGGAGAAATATTTTATTTTCCTTGGAAAAAAGGTTATTCAAATTAAGTGTAAAATTTCAATGAAGCTTTACCATTATTTGAATCCTTAAAATTTTAAATTGTTTAATCTTTTTCAGATATAGATCATCTAAAACTTTGGAATTAATAAGATGAATAATAAAATTTAATTAAAATTTCAATTTTGAGAATTCTACTTTAAATGATTAGAATAAAGAAGGATATTTAAATTCCAAAAGAAATCATACATTAATCTCTAAATTCAGAAGAGTCTTTATTTTAAGGAACTGCTATGTTAATTTTAGTTTAATAGTACAAAAATAAAAACATTGAATATTAAATCAATTTTTCTTAAATAATAAACATTTTTGAGAATAATATTCAAATAAATCCTATAGTTTCCTTATCAGCAATTTAATTAATTGCTGAATTATTATAATCTGAAAGTAGTTTTATTCATTAATTACTTAACTATTTTACACAATAACAACCATATAAATTACTTTTTGAGTTGGTTAATCCTAATAAAAAAAGTAATAGATCTGAAGATATTCGAAAATTAGAAGGTAGTTGTTTTGGCATTCCAAATTATGGTTTTTTAGATGGAATAATAACATTAATATCTAAATTATTGTTTCGTTATCATAAAGAATAAAAGAAATTAATAGATTTATTCGTATTATTAGAAAAGTATGAAATCCATCAACTTTTATATTAAATTTTCTCAAACATAATAAGTAGAAATGATGTTTCTCCAAAAGGATTTGTTTTTTTATTAATACTAATTCATGATTCTATATATTCTAACTTTAAAGCACTTGGGTAATTAATGTTTTAAGATACTACAATTAAAAGTTTGTGCTTATTTTTGAAAGACAGTCAATTATAAAACATATAGGAATGGCCTTCCTCACATGGTGGTGGTTTAGGTTGTGTTAATAAAATTGGTGAATAAATTATAAAAATATTTATTTTGGCCTTGTAAGAACAAAATAACCATCATATTTATAAAGAACTAAGCAATTAAGATATAGTGGCTCTAACATTAAACTTGATTAAGCACTCTTAAAAAGAACAAATCTCTTAATTGTTTTGTTTTATTTCAAAATTAGTATGGAATAATGAAGAGGATAAGTAATTTGCATAAAGTTTTATTTAAAATAATGGATTAGCCATTTTATAAAAGTATGGAGTGTTAAATGTTGATTCAATTAATATCTTATCACAATTAGGCAGAATAAGCATGGATTATTATCCAAATATACATCAGATGAATTTATATAATGAGTTAAAGTAATTAATTTAATCACCTGATTGTAATTTAAGAGCTAAAGTATGCAATTTAATAGGAAATCTTTGTAGACATTCTTCTTTTTTTTATGAGCATTTATTGAAATATGATTTAATCAATCTTTGCATAAAATGTTGTTCTGATCCTGATAAAAATACCAGAAAATTTGCTTGTTTTGCATTAGGAAATGCTGGATTTCATAGCGATAGATTATATGAGCATTTAAGACCAGTTATACCATAATTAGTTGAATTACTCAAAGATTAAGAAGTATTAAATGATCTAAACACTACATTTAGGAAAAAACAAGATCCAATGCAGCAGGAGCTCTCGGAAATTTAGTTAGAAATTCAAATATTCTGATTAAAGACTTTATAAAACATGGAGCTTTAAATTAGTTATTAGAATTAGTGAAATCTGATTAAACAACTCGAATATCATTATTTTCGATAGGAAATCTATGTTAATATCCTGAATGTAAAAGAAAATTTGAAGAATTACAAATCCGATAAATCATAGAACTATCATTGGTATCTTTTTTCATTTATTTCAGGCTTCTACTAACGATTAATAAATTTAGAGATATGGCAAAAGAGTCTTAATTAAACTTGATGAAAATTGATACAAAAATAATTTTATTTTCTAGTTAATAATTTTATATAAGATGATTGATCATTTTAATAAATAAATAACATTATAAAATTCTTAAATTCACTTTTGATTTGTTCTATTTTATTCCCAAACTGTTTACATGACTTTTAATATATTAATTTTTTACTCTCCTTTTATTTGTATCTATGTCACATATTTATTCTAATTTATATATAATTAATACTTTTAATTGTTTTTGAGGTTTATTAACTTAAATTTTAATACCTGATGGAACTTCTTCCAAATGAGTAATATCTATTGTCTAGATAATCCATACCTAAAATATGATTACAATAATGTTTACTTTTTTCTTAGTCTTAAATGACATATAAACAAAATTCTCTAGTGTGATAGTCAACATGAATTTATTTTCTTATTCTTGAACATCAGGAATGATTAGTTATGAAGCAATGAATCTGTCATTTTGTAATAACCCATTTTTTAAAAAGTGAATCATTGCGAAACCTTCTGCATCAATAGGGTTAAAATCATCTAAATAACCTTCTAATCCATAAACAGGTCTAATATTCCTAGCTCTATGGTTATTTGGTTTATCATCAAAATATGAGACTGTATTTTAAATACCAGCAGCTGTTTAAGACATTCCATCTAACACTCCAGTTATTGGTTTTATGATTAATCCAGCTAGTCCTTAAGCAGTTCCCGTAAATACTCCTTTAATACCATTTTCTTTGGCTCCTTTTATAGGTTTTAAGAAAACTCCAGTTATTCCATCATAAATTCCTGTAGCTATTGATTTAGCTCCTTAGCCAAGACCTTCGCCTAAATGTTTTGGTTTATGCATTTTTTATTTCTCTCTTTTTCTTAAATAATCTTCATCCATTGTTAAATTAGCAAGACCACTTCCAACACTACCTGTAATTTTATTAACTGAGTTAAATGCTCCTGCTATCGTGTGTGATACTAATGATGTAGCTCCTTAAGCTAATCCTAATCCAGCTTCTAAAGGTCCTTAAGTCAAACCAGCTGCCGGCTTATCAACCAAATCTTTGAAACCTGTAGAAATATTGTTTAATAATCCAATAGGATTTCCAATAATTGAAAGACTTCCAATAACAGATCCTATTTATTTGATTCCTTCCTACTTATAAAATTGCATCATTTTATTCAGAATTCCAGAACCAGTGTCAAAACAATTTTCTATTTTCCATCCTTAAAAGAAAATAGGAGCTTCACTGATATCAGATAGTACTACTCCTATTGCTTAAGCAACCGAAGCAAATATAGCTAGATTACCCATTTTCAAGTCTCCTTTTCCAGACATCTAAACTGTAAGGTTTAATTAGATTGGAGATATTATAATCTCGCTAATATATGTGGGTAATTGAGCATCAGGTAATTTTCTAGTCTTCCATTCTTAGTTAAATTCTATGAATGATTGTAAATTATGCTGATTATTGTAATCCATCTCTTTTTCTTCTTCATGTTATTTCAACATTTCGATTTATTTTTCTGCTATAAAACTTCCTGATTAATTTTTCTCTAATTCATATATTTGTCCTTAAAAAGAAGTTATTGCCTAATAAAATTCGAGCAAATTAATTATAAACAATTACTCTACTCTAATTTCAAATGGGTCTAATTCAAAAGTAATGTTTTGAAATAATTGAATGTCAGATACTCTTTTATCTTTAATTATCATTACATTAAAGAAATATTTATCAATTTATTATTATTATTATAATTATTATTTTTGTTATTATTATTATTATTTAGGCATAACATGATACTATGCATATTTTTATGGAGTAATTACAACTGGGAATTAAACAAAAAATTCAGCATTATGATCAAAATTAATGTATTATACTCTCAACTACAAAACCTAATTTAAAACAGTTGAAATAGCTACAAATTCTATATTTGAACATATAAAATGGAAGAATTCTGCAGGTCTTTTCTTTACATCTGAATTATGTACTAAAGATAAAGAAAATGAATTTAATTTTAAATTAATCCTTTTTTCAATTTTATCACTATCATCAATAGTAGATTATCTTTATAAAGAAACTGACTAAGCTCTTGATTCATCTTCATCATCAATATCTACATTATTTTTTTATTTTAATTGCTTTAGGAAATCTTACTTTGGTTTAGCTTTTGCCATCTTGATTTATTCTTAAGTAGCAAGCATAATTTAAATTTACTTTTAGCATCCTTTTGGAAGTATTGATAATGCAACATATATAAATGGTGATTTAGATCCTTTTTTGGGTTTAAATATATGAACCTCAAGGAGACCTATATAATCTGGATATAAGTCATATTTAAATGGTTTGTATTCACTCAGTGGATCATCTCTAATTCTAAGTTCAATACTCAAAAATTTTTATAGTCTGAGTGGATCATCCCAAGCAAAATATGTTACTTAATTATCTGGATTCAACATCACTTATAACTCTTAGATTTCTAATTCTAAATTTTAATCTGACAACTCTATTTTATATGGTGCTTAATCCTAGTTTAATTAATTGAATATAATATAAAGACTGCATTCTTCTTAACGTATATCACAACTGAAAAATAATTTTTCTTAAGGTTTATCCTTATTTCTTAATTAATAATAAACTATACCAACTGCACTAATATTTAACCTACTACTTTATTAATAATTATTGTTATTTAAATTCATATTAATAAATTGAAAAGGATTTCTAACTTTTTATTTAGAATTATAAAGTGTTTAAAATATTATTCTTTAATTAGAAGGAACAGTTTGTAAATATGAATCTTCATCTTAAGAAATTACAATTTCTTAGTTACAATTATTAACAATGATGAATCTTGGTTCAAATGTAATTATTTTATTAAACAATGTATACTTCTTGTTACATCTTGTAATTTATATCTTAGCACCTAAGAATGTTTATAAAAGTTAATTTGAGTCTTCTTCATTAGCAATAATTACATCAATTTCAGGTTCTCCTATTGTTGAAATCTGTATTGGGAATTATGATATTTTTGATTTTGATGAATTATGACTCAATTATAAAATGTTACCAGATTCTCTTCCCAAAAGAACAATTTATCTATTTAAAGGATCTCCTGTATTTATGGATTCCATTCCTCCTAATTGGGTTAAATTATTTTTATTATTGCTTGCATAATATTATAATTGGATTCCTGAATTATTAATAATGTAACCAGAACAATGGATTACATATTCTCTAGTTGATGAAGAACCTTCTTATTATTTTTATGATTCAAATATTAATAATGTTATAGGGTTATTATTGGAATCATTAATAGTTATATAAGATAGACAGTCATCATTTTTTTACTACATCTCATCTGCAGCGAATAACTTAAACTCATCAGACCAATAATATCCTTCTATATATATTCTTAGATAACTGCATTTTTAATGTCCATGTTAATAATCTTCAATTGTTTACTACTAACTTATCTTTTTAGTAAATGTTGTTTCTTTATTTTAGTTCATCATTTACACATAAATATCTACTGGCAATGAATTATTAATTTTAAAGGGTGTTTATAATTAAATATCAAATTTTCCTTAAAGATTTGAATCTTTATTTATCTTTACTATAATAAATTGTCCATCTCTTGTTTCTATTTCATATTTTTTATCCTAAAATTTTAATAAACTCTCAACAAAGACTTCTTAAGTATACTCTAAACATTCACTAAATCTAATAGATATTTTTGGATTCACAAATCCTAGAGGAACAGGAGCCAAATAATTTATTTCTGAATCTATTTTTTTTGGATTTAATTTGATCGTCTATTAATGTTTTTCATCACTAATTTATACCATGATTTGCTTATTAGTTTTATTAGTTATAATAACAGGTGCAATTAAACTTAATATTTTTTAATTAGAAACCTAATCTACTTATACTTTTGCCTAAACTTATAATTTATCTTGCTCATAAAATCTATTTAAACTTTTATCCAAATCTATTTGATTTATAAAAAAAGGCTATTTATCTACCTTTATGGTTACATTCACTCTTCTTTATCCATTGCCAGCTACTTGTAATTCATTATCAAAAATTAAATTTTATTATTAATTTATATGGATATTAAGAGAAGGTAATTTTTGATTATCAATAAATTCAACAACTAAAGGGTAACCAGTTAAATTCCTTATCGCATAAGGAGATGCTTAAATTATATTGTCATCAGAATGAGATGAATCTTCATCAGTAGCAAAAGACTTTTAAGGATTTTAAGATATTTCATTTATCTATTTATTAAATATCTTTTCCATTATCTTTAATGTTCTTAATATTGTTTAAATGCATATTGTAGAAAGAGTCAAATTAAAATTATCAAATTCTTTCATTTATTCAATTGTTATCAAATTACTTACTTCTCCTCCTAAACCTTATAATTAACTTTAAAATATTTCAATTTAAAATCCCGTATTTTCTATGATTGGTTCCCATTTTGAACATAATGGATTAAAATTACTTAATTTAAAAGGTAAGGTAATACTAAGTTTAAGATATAAATTATTTTGGTCTAAAGTAACTTTTAATGCATCCATCTCATAATCAAATAATGGTGAATAACAATTTCCCATATCATTTAAAACAATAATTTTAATCTTCTCAATTTCTAAGTCTATTTTCACTGTAATCAATTACATTTTATTCAAATGAGAAGCATCTAATTAAGAAATTTCATTATTTTTCTTATCTTAATTTATCTATTATTATTATTATTCAGGCTATTTAGGTATTTAGCTTAATTAATAATTTAATCCTTCCTTTATTGTAAAAAGATCTTAGAAAGATACTTTTAAATTTATGGGACTAATCCCTCCATTCAAATAAGTCCATTCAGCAAACCCTTAAAAATTCTATAATATCACAGAAGATTTAATAAGAATAACTTCTAAATTAATAGGATTTAATATTTCTCTCTTCTTCACTTAATTAAAGTCATCTTTTTTAGTTAAATCATAGCTTTTGCATAAAAAGATCTCCAATTTTTCTAACTTAGCTTCAATTTTCATTGTTTCATTTAATTTACGCCAATCAGATTCAGGAATATTATTTTATTTAATTTCCTTTTCAATTTCTTTAACTGATTTTTGAGGATTCATTTTCATAAAAATATCAAATTTTCCTCTAACTGTTAGCACATTCTATTCTATTTAGGTTGGTATACAAGTAATAACATTTCTTAAGTTTATATTAATTTATAAAGAGCCTTGTTGAGTATTTTAAGGTACTTAAATTTATTCTAATTATTGTTAGGTATTTTATTAAATTTATTGTTATATAATTACGTATTTTCCAGGACTTGGTGTTAGATCAGGATCATCCATTGCAATTAATGCCAAAACATCAAAAAGAGGACCAGCATGTATTTGTAATTTAAAGTCATATAATTCAATATTGATATTTTTATCTCCAGTCATTTGCATTTACATATTAAATGCTAATTTATACTAAGGATTTTCTTCAATTTGTTAGTAGGCATCTTCAAATTTAAAGATTAATTATCTTTATTATTATTAACTTAACATTCCGCGAGAGGCTAAATTTAAAATCTGATTTGCATTACTCAAAGTTGCTTATCTTCCTCTTACTAAACCATTTAAGTTCGTAACTTAATCATATGTATATGTTTATTAAAAATTCATACTACCAATAAAAGGTAATTCATTAAATTCACCTTACTTTGTTTATTGAAAATTAGAACCTTCCATGTCTCTTATTAGAAGTCCTACTTTTGCAGAACCATTATTACATTTTTAAAATGATACTCTCATCATTATTAAATTCATTCTTAGAAAAGGAGTTGGTTTAGGTTATATATCTTTTAATAAAAATAAACTTAAATTTTCCATATCTAATTAAAAGGACAATTACGGTTAATCATTTTAAATTAGAAGCATTTCTTTAAGCTTTAATTCTTACTATTTTTATTATTAAAAGAATGCCTCAAAATATTGTGGATGACTATTTCTAATCATATTATCAAATCCATCATCATATGCAATATTATGAAATAAGCATTTCATTAAAAACATGTAATCTGAATGAGTCATTTGCAATATCATAGGAGCAATAAAACAATTAATTTTTAATTATTCATCAAATTTAATCTTTGGATAGAATAATTAATATTGTTAAAACATTCCAAATATTTCAACACTAATATTGAAATCAAATGGTAAACTGAATTCTCTTTTATTTTATCCTTTTTATTGATATAATTAGATATCTTTCATATTTAAAATAAAAATATCCACCCAAACCGAATCTAATTATTATTCTTATTTAATAACCCTATTTGTTACTTGACTACGTTTATTTGATACAATAATTGTTCCAAGATCAATAACCATTGCAGAATCACTTTCTTAATGAGGTTTTAAAATCACTTAAGGATTATTGATTACAACATTTAATTGCATAGCTGGAGGATTTTATAATTGTTTTGTCAAATAAATAGTTTCATCATCCGATAATAAAATTGTTTAAGCTTTTTTTTCTTATTTTTTCTATTGTTGATATATTTCAATTTCTTATTCTAATTAGATTTCTTATTATTTTACAATTGGATTTATGGTTTATTTAGGATTAGATAAGGCAAATAGTAATTATTATAGAGTGAAATCAAGTAATCTTAAAACTGGTTGCATCATGACATGAATAATTATTTAACTCATATCTACATTGATAATAATATTAACATTATTAACAATTTTTTTGGATCCTTCAGTAAATAAATTTAGTTTAACTTTTAATAAGGATTATTGTTGATGTTTAACTCCAATCATTTATTTAGGATTGATTAATTTATATTCTGATTCTTTTGATAATGTATTAGGATAGTTCGTAAGATCAAAGAGTTATAAATTACCTAAAGATCCATTTAATTACATTTCATCAACATATTTGATTAATCCAATTTCAGTATTTTGAATTTTAATTTCAGCTAAAGGTAAAGTAGTAAATCTATGAACCAAAATTGCATTAATACTTCTGATTTTAACATTAACATCCATTAAAATAATATCTTGCATATTATCAAAATTGATATTCTATTATTAAGAATTATTTTCTAGTTCTTTTTTGGCTTGATCCTATAACAATTTCTGATTGTCTTTGCCTTAAATAATTTACATATCATCAACTTAATTTTAAGGAGGTGAAATAAAAATAAGTAATTTAGCAACTATTAATGGTTTAGCAATTACTGATAAAGAACCAAATGTAACAGCAACAATTAGATTTCTTTTATTATATCTTTAGTCTGTTTTGCCAATTTATTAAACATTGATGTTAATAAGTTCATTTGATTCTGGATCAGGATCAGATTTAACAATATACTAAAGTAATGGATTCATATATATTTAAACAGAGTCAGTAACATATAAATCCCTTAATTTTAAATCTAAATTGATAGATCCATTTGATAAATTTGCACCAGCATTCAATCCACTAATAATTACTTTAAGCCAATCTTATTTTTTTTCATCTTAAATATGAGCACCAAATCCTTTTAAAGCAAATTTAAAATTGAGTGGTCTACTTTCTTTAATTTTATCACTTTAAGTTTTTTCAGTATCTTCTCGATCTTTGTTTTTTTCTACTCTTGGCATAGTTCTTAATTATTCAATTGCATCTTTCCAATCATTAACCATTTTAGGTTTATCAAAAGCAACAAGTGTATCACCATACTTATTTTTAATATAAAATGCATAATTCATTCCTGCTTCTTCTTAAGTAACATCTATAAAATCACTATTTCTAATCCAGAAATGTGATTCTGGTTATTAATCTTTAGGTTTAGCAAATAAATAAATGTAACCACCACTCAATACTCCTGTATAACAACTCCATGTTAATAATTAACCTCTCTTCCAAATCTTACCTACTTTTGTAGCTGATTCCATAAGTGCTGTTCTTTCAGTTTATACATTTTCTATTGATAATTTTGTTTATTTCCTAAATATTTCTTCTTATTCTTTTTTAGGTTCAGCAAAACATTCTCCAATTTTTAAGATTCTTGTATATATATTTGGATTTACAAAAACATCTAATTAAGGTAATTCTCCATCTATTATTATCTAAGCTAATTCTTTTGGAGGTTTTGAACTACCTCTTAAAATTTAAGCTCTTATTATTACTCTTATATTTTAAATTATACTGTAAGATTCATCTATATTTTCCAAAAATACTCCTCTATTTATTGATTGATGACATTCATTAATTGAATTGTAATGTTTGAATGTAAAATCTTATAATGAGATCTCAAAATTATCATAATGTAATTCATCTATTTTTGGTGTTATTATAGATAAATCACCTATATTAAGTAACCAATTTTCTTATGAATTTGGAATCGGTACTAAAACTATTGTTGATTTAATTTTCACATCAATAAATAAAATTGATGGTGATAATTAAGATTAGGCCATCTATTAAGCTGCCAAATCTTAAGCTATTTCCATTTAATCCCAAGCAGCATTTTTTAATGTTTCATCTTTAACTTAAAAATCTGTAAATTAATTTATTCTAACCATTACTATCGGATTGAATATTAATTTTAATGCTCCTGTTTATAATTTAATATATTTATCAACTCCTTTATGATGAGGTGGATTTGTCTCAAAAACAAAATCTATAAATTTTTAATTGTTTATTTATTCCAAAAATGCTATTCTCTTTTATTCACTAAACATTACTATTCCATTCTAAATTGGTTCAGTAACTATATCTATTCCAATAAATTATAAACCTAATTTCATTACCATTCCACTATCCTTCATTTCGAAACTTCCATCAAATCCACAATAAGTCAATTATATACCTTCTCTTTTAGTATCAAATTATTTTAGAATATGAACTGATCCAGTTTTTAAAGAAAATAGAACAGATAACCAAACATAATCTAAAGGTCTTCTAACATCTTTAATATCTTAAAAGTCTGCCAATTAATCAATAAATGAACTTAAATCATCTTTCTCTTTTTGTTCAAGTAAATCTGATTCTTTTTTCTTTCCCCAACTAAACCATCCTCCAGACTTCTTTTTCTTTTCTTCTGCTTCCTTTATAGCTAACTCCTTTTAAACCACCTTTATTATTTCCTTTGCTGCCTCACATAATACTTCTATGCTCAAATTACTTACTGATTATTCAAATAATTCATTTTCATCCTTTGTTAAAGCTTTTATACTTTAATCTGGACTTCTTAGTATTTTTTCATATAAACTTATAAATAATAATTTTTATTCCTCTATTTATTGATTAGATAATAATAACTTTTATTTCTTCTATTTATTTAATCTATTTTGATACAATGAAAATAATTCAGCCATCCTTATTATTTATTACAGTTATAAATTTTCTAAAGCTATGTCAATCGCACTCAATTCAATAGATAGACAAAACTCAGGAGAATCAAACTTTCCAGAAGTATTCTAATATAATCTACCTTATGCATTTAATAATAATATAAATTGACCATATTTTGGATGAGATTTAGGATCCGGAGTATTGATTATCATCTCTTCCATCTCTTTTAAAATTACTTCTTTTTCTTATGAATTCAAAAACCTTCTTTCTTATTAATTCCAATAGGCTCCTATATTTGCCAAAGTTAATAATTTTTATAATGGAACTTTTTTCTAATAATTTTAATTAAGATATATATACATTTTCTTCTTTGTTTCGATCAAAATATTATTTTTTCCAATCAGAATTGCATGTAAAGGTTTCTATTGTTTTAATTGAGAATCCCCAAGCAAACTCATTCCTAATAGTATCTTCAAATCGTATATGGATGTTTGAAATGCTTAATTATAAATTATCAATAATCTTCAATATAAGTTTCTTGACATATCCATCTTCCTTATCATCTTTTTATTTAGATTTATCATTGATATTTTAAATGATAGATTCTTTAAATTTTTCTAAGATTTCCATTTTCTTTTTAAAACCAGCATAATTGATATATTGCCATAAATCAGGATGATCAGCTGATATAATAATGTACAAATCTGATAACATTATCTCGACTGGGGAACTGGTTAATGACTTCCATGGAACCTATACATGACTTATATTAGAATTTACATTAAGTTTTAATTTACCAATATGACTAAAGCAAAGTCTTAGAGGTAATTCTAACATTTTTATGATGTCAGCCTTTAATGAAACATTTGATATGGTCACTTCTCCACTCCAAATACCTATATGGAGATTTTAGGCATCAAATCCTTCAATAAATTAACCTAATACAGAATTCAATACTTTTTCAAGTAATGATTCAAACATTATATTAATATTTATTTTAATAACAAAAATCTTTGCTTTTTTATTATTCATTCTTAATTATAGAATGCTTAATCTCTCTAATAAAATAATACTATAAAAATAAATATTAATAAATTAGTATGAGACAGGCTGAAGTTGAATAGGTCAAGAAATTTTAATTTTTTAATTAAGAAAACATTCAAGATCAAAGAGCTAAGTATCAAATATCCATTCATTTATTTTAGTGGTGATCCAACTGCTCCAACCTTGAATGATATTGGAATATCAGATGGATGTGGAATTGGTACCAAATTGTTCCTCTCATCTTAATCCAAGAATCTTATCTATGTATATGAAGCAAATTCCATTCAAGGATTCTTTTAACCTCATAATGATTCATTCAGAGTTATGAAATGTACAAAGGAAAGCAGAGATGTAATATTTAATAATTCTTATTATTTAATAGGGAAAGTTAGTCACATTTGGTATCGACAGTGAAAACAATTAAAAGAGCAGCTATGTTAAATTTTGGGATCCAAATACAACTGACTATCAAAATATGAGTAAATTAATCTCATTAAATTCTTAGAACCTATTAAAGTAATCTTGGTCAATAAAGTTGGATAACCATTACAAAATTTTAATTGTTTTTGTGTTGCTAAAGACTTAAGTGCCTTAGCTTTTGGTTTGTAAGATGGCTAAATATTGATATTCAAGGCGAAAAGTTAAAATCTATTAGTAATGGAACATAAAGATTAAATCATTTAAACAGATTAAGAACCAATTAAATCTGTTCATTTAAGTAAAAATGATTAAAATCTTAATTTATTTTGTACAACTGATTCTAACATCATTTGTTTTTAGAATATGTAAAACAGAAAGAAGTTTTCTATCCCTGCTGGAGCTTTGTTTGATTTAACAGTTAAAGGAAATCTTATAGGATGTCCAAAAGATGATACTTCTACTATAGTAGAATATAGTGATATTAAGAAAGAAGCTTCTTGGAATGTAGATGGTGATAAAATTGAAATTAGATTTTTCAAATAAAATTACTTAATCATGTTAATCTCTCCAAGATAAGATAAAGAATAGGTAGATCAATCTGTTCAATTAACAATATTTGATCTTTTAAATAATTATATTGCTTATTATAAGAAATTTGAAAAGATTCAACGATTTATTCCTGTTGGAGATTACTTATATGTAATAACACAAAACAACAAAGGTGAAAAAAATCTTATAAGATTAACAGAGAAAGAAAATACTCATAAAATTGAAATCTTTTTTAAAAATAATTATTTCGATGTTATGTATAGATTTGCTAGCAATTAATCTTCTGATAAAACATTATTAGCTGAAATTAGTCGTTTACATGGAGATCATTTATATGATTAACATGATTTTTAAGGAGCAATAAAATAATACATTAATACAGCTGGAATTTTAGAACCTTCTTATGTAATTGGTAAATTTTTAGATGTTTCACATGTTGATTTTTTGATATAATATTTAGCAGCTTTACATCATGAAAAATAAGCTGATAAAAATCATACAGCCCTATTATTGAATTGTTATGTAAAGTAAAAACAGATTACCAAACTAGAAGAATTTCTAAAAGAATCTAGTTTTGATTCAGATTTATTTGATATTGACACTGCTATAAAAGAATGCAGATAATTAGGTCATATAGATTTGGCTTTAAGATTAGCTAAGTCTAGATAAAAAAACGAAGCTTACCTAAGCATACTTATTGAAACTAACAAAGATTAGAATAATAAAGATTAAAATAAGTAAGATTGTAAAAGTGCTTTGATGTATATTAAGGAAGAAATCTAATTAGATGAAAAAGTATTAATTTTTATCTATCTTATTAGGCTTAATATTTAAAAGAGTTTGGACAACAATTAATGAAGGCAGAACCTGAATTTTGTCTAGAAATCATATAAAATTTAGTTTTGCTTATAAGTATGGTCTAAAATTTGAAAAAAAGAGTTGACACTTAAAAAGGTATTGAATCTATAAGCATTTTAACTCCTGAAGAATTGAAAGTATGGAGATATTTTAATTTGTCAGATGAAGAAATTAAAAAGGTATTTTCTATAACCTTTGGTAAACCAGATGAATTTTTACATTTATTTGTTGTTAATAATGAATATTTGGAAAGTTATTTGAAATTTTTAATTGAGAATTGTAAAACTTTACCAAACGAAAAAGCAATATTCCATAGATACTTTGAATTTCATTTAGAAAAATATCAATTATATTATAAAGATGAAAATAAAATAGGAATAAGAGATACATAACTATAAAGCAAAGAATAAGGTATTATGAAATTATTAGAAAACTAAGAAAATGAAAAGAAATATGATAAGAATCATTTATTAGTATTATTCAAAATGTATAATTTTGTACCAGGAATTATATTTCTGTTAAAAAAGTTATAAATGAGAGAAGAATTATTAAATTTCTATATAAGTTTGTAGTAGAATGATTAAATAATTAATTTATGTAGTGAATACGGTAGAGAAGAAACCAATTTATGGATTTAAGCATTAAAATATTTTGCTAAGCCTGAAAATGGAGCAGAAAATTATATAGAACAAGTTTTGGTATTAGTAAGTAGTTTAGAAAATATATCACCTTTACTAATATTGAATATCTTATCTAAAAATAAAAATGTTAAATTTAAATTAGTCAAGAGTTATTTCACAAGTAAAATATCAAAAGATAAAAAATAAATTGATGATTACCAAAAAGTAGTGAAAGAGAAGATGAAAAAGGCTGCAGATTTAAGAGCTGAATACAAAAAATTAAAAACTCAAGCCAAAGTTTTCTAATCAACGAAATGTAGTTGTTGTGAGGCTATATTGACCTTACCTTCTTATCATTTCCTTTGTGGTCATTCTTATCATGAATAATGCATACATACGTAAAATATAAATATTCAAAATTTATAGAGAAAGGGCTTGTCTGCTTTGTCCATCTGACACATAGATGTTTTTCAAGAGAAAATAAGAATTTATTGAAGCTTCAAAAGAAACTAAACCATTCAAAGAAAAACTCTATGCAGCAGCTGATAAATTTGATGTTATATGCGAATATTTAGGATAAGGCATAATCTAAAATTAGAAAGCTGATTGAATCAAAAATATTGTATATCAAAATATTATGTATCAAAAACAAATTATTCATTATGATTTATCCATAAATCAATCAAATAATGAAAGAAGCCAGCCAGTTTTTCATTTTACTATATATTAATTAATATTAAAGACATAATTTCAATTTTCAACAAATTTATCGATTGTTGTTTTGTTTTAAGCTATTTATCTTATCAAACTATCATATATTACTTATTTCATCCACTAATTAACTTTGTTCAAGTAATTCAATATAAAAAGTAGTTTATTTAAGATTTTGACTACTTCTTATAGGGTCTATTGATGGAAAACCTTTGTTATATGAAATGAATATAGAATTATGTTAATATCTATTGAAATATTCTGCGTTGTACACTTTCTATTATATATTATATATATTAATTATGCTTAATGATTCAATTGATATTTAGACGTAATCAAAAGACTAACAAAACTAATAGCCTTAATATCCTTTTTTCGTGTATAACTTCCCCTCTACTTCAATAGTGGATTATAACAACTCTTAAATTCCATAATTACAAATTAATAACTCAAGTATTATATCATTATTCTATCAAGATGACTCAATTTTTAAAGACAATATGCACATTCCATAATTTTTATAAGGCCTCTCTGTCCCAAGCTTTTAATTCAACAATTCCAACCACTTTTTAATGAATGAACAGAAACATACATATTTACCTCCTACAACATCTGCTATAGCATCTGTTTTTAATGAACACCAAATATCAACTTTGGAAAATGGCAATAAAAAAAATCGTATAATAGTTGGCACCTAAACACTTTGTGATATAGAAATGATACTCATTTAAAGATATTTTGATATTAAGTCTCAAGTAAATATTTGCAATATTTTAGTTATTTTGTCCTCCATATATTAAATACTCTTTAAATGAAGAGAGATCGATCTCAAATTCATCTTGGATGAAGGATAGGATAAAGAACAGATACAAAAAACCGGTAAAATTAAAAAATTTGATTATGTAGATCAAGGAGTCTATGTTCAATTTAATTAATGTTTTATCTGAAGATGAATAATTAATCAATAGAAAATATTTCAGCTATTAATAATTTTAATCATAAGGATTTGACCATTTAGAGAAGCAAGTTGCTAAATCAGTAAAATAAGAGAAACCCTTTACTGAAATGATGATAGAAATTCAATTTTTAATGAAATAATTTTTAGTGACAAAATTTTGAATTAGGAATATTTCATATAATCATTTAAACTATTTATTCAAATTAAATTTATTAATCTAAAGGAAATTGTTTTGCCCATTAACACATTTTATTGATTAATTGCATTTTAATTGATCTTGTATTTATTTGTTTTTTATTATCTCTTTAAGCAATTTTTTTCATTTCATTTTATTATTCATTGATAAATCTAAGCAATCTTTCAATTTCGCTTTTTTGCATTTAATTCTAGAGATTTAAAGTTTAATTATTTGCTGCCATTAATTTAACTTAATAAGTTAAATCTTCAATTTGCTTTTGTTTTTCTTTCATTTCAAAAATATAGTCTTCCTAACCTTGTTTTCTTACACTTGTAGTTAGAGATCTAGGAAATTTGATATCATAAAAACTACTATCTTCACTAATTTCACTAGTCATAGTAAAATCTGTTTAACGATAAAAATTAAATATATAATTAATTTATCATTTTCATTTTATTGCACTTTATAATTTGTTATGAAAAAATAATAAATTAAAAATGTGGAGCATTTTACTATAAGAATTAAGATAAGTTAATGAAAGTTATTTAAATAATTATAATTAAATATTGAAGTACATATACATATATATAGGATTGCTAATATATATTAATAATTTGAATATTCTTAATATATTAATAATTTTAATAAAAAATATGATAATTCTTTTGATTTTTATTATTCAAATATATGGAAGAATTTTGTAATAAAAAGGAGTTCCTCAAAAAAAAGGAGAGAAATGGAATTAATCTGATTAAGCACTTGAATAAATTTTTGATTAGATATCTAATAATTTAACATAAATTTAAAAGGATGATTTGTAATTAATAGAAGAGTATATATTTTAAGAAGGATTATTGTATTATGCTTAAGCAAATTAAGATGAAAAATAAAAGATTTTTTTAACTTTGATTGAGATGATTGGGGAACTTAAAAAAGAGAATGAATAAGAAACAATTAGGCTTGAAAAAAATATATAATATTTTAGTTAATTAAACACAACAGATAAAGATATTGTAATGACAAAGATTTCTCAAAGTTTAGATAAAACTATAAAAGATTCATCAAAAGAGTTTAATAGTAAAGTGGTTTTATAGACAATTAAAAAGGAGATTGAAAATTTTCAAAGTAAACCTGATAGAGGAGGAATTACAACATGGAACATCAGGGAATATAAAATGATTTAGGAGAAAAATGAATAGGAAATGAGGGAAATAGAATATTAGATATAAGAATTTCTAGATTAGGGTTTTTCAGAATAGAAAATTCGAGAAAAGATCACAGAATTTATAGATAGTTTTTTCGGTAATTCAAAAACTTTAGAATAAAATAATAAAAGTATAGATGAAGTAATTTAAGATGTGAAGAAATAGGAAGAAGTAAGTAATGAAAATAATTAAATAAAATAATATAGATAAAAAGTAAGAGAAATAATAAGGGAAAAATTAGAATAGGGAAAAACAGAGGAGGAAATTTAGAAGGAAGTTGATGATTATTTAAAGTAGAATAGTGTTAATGATTTAAGTGATGAAGAGAGAAATATAATAAAATTAATTATAAAAAAAGAGATAATGCGAAATCAAAGATAATAAAGTACTATTAATGATGATAAAAGTAATAATAAAGTTTAAGAAAATGTATATTATATATGCCTTGGAATATTTACAATAGTTCTATTGATTTTCATAGTAATATTTATAATTAGAAGAGATAAAATTAAAAATAATCAAAGGAAATAAATTGGATTCAAAATTTAAGATAATAGTTAAGATGTTGAACAAATGGATTGAATTTATAACACCAAATTTAATTAATTAATATTAAAAATGAAATATTTAGTTATTTATGCCACGTTTTTGGTAAGTGTAAAATGTTTTTATGATTTTATTCCTGATGACATTATAACATTCACATTAACAGCAAATTAAGAAGATATATTATTAGAGAATATAACTGAACCAACATTAATAAAAGGAGCGTATTAAGTGAATCATCACAAAGATGTGATAGACTTTTCAGTTAAAACTCCGAATGGAAGAACAATATATTCAAAGATGGCAACAAATAAAGGAAATTTTACAGTTCAAGCAAATGAAATTGGTTTGTACTAAATAATATTTAATAATAAAAAAAAGGCTAATTAATTACTTACATATGCAGTTGATGTTGTAAAAGAGAAAGAAGATAAAATAAAATCAACAGATATTGATCCATTAGAATTAGATATTGATTATATTCATAATGGACTTTAAGAATTATATTATGATCACAAATTTTAACAAATTCGATATGAATCATCAACTCAACAAGTTAAAGAAGCAAATAAGAAAATCTATATATTTACAGTTATTGAAACTATATTTATAGTTTTAGTAACAATATGGCAGATTTGGTATATAAAGAGATTGTACAATAATAGATCACCATTACTTTTATGATTTGATAAAATTATTTTGTATCATATATAGATCATCCAAATTAGCAATCCAACTAAAATAGTCTAACTGAAAACATAGAGATCACATTATCTATCTAATTCATTTGCAGTAGCAATTGATTTACATGAATTCAAGGGATTATACCAAATGCAAGTTAATCCATCAAAAGCTTATGCGCAACCTATTGTATCTTAAAAGTTTTCACATCTATTTTCTAATAAATAATTACTTTTAAGTATAACAAGTTGATGTTTCAACTAGCCATCTACAACCATAGAGACTATACTATTGACAATCACATTAAGTATTTAGAGATTAACAACTCATACAATTAACAACAGTATTATCAGTTGCACCATTAAAACAATATTAATTGTTTAATCCAGCTGAAAAACATTCTTCAGAATTTGTAAATTTTTTGCAATCAAAAACATCACATTTATTTTCTATCCATCCACATTAATCTTTTAAATCAATACTTTAACACAATTCCTTTGTAGATACATCAGTACATAATTCCACCTTCTGACATATACCATCCTTGAAAATACAATTATCTCCATTTGATATTTTACAATTTGTTTAATCATAATCAGAACATTATTTTATTCTACAATTAGTATCCCAAAAACAATCTCTACCATCTGCTTTTACAATCTCGCAAGACTTTTAGTTATCAATCTATGAGCATTCTGAAACAGAAACACAATTACTTCCACTTGTTGAACAAGCTTTATTCTAATAAATTAATTCATCACATGGAGGTGTAGCTAATTCACATTTCATATTCACACATCCATTCTTTGTCCATTTACATTAATATCTAAATATTATTATTAAATACATTCCATTTATAACATCTAAACAATCTTTCTCTTCAATAACATCTCCACATACTAATGGAGATAGTCCTTTTACTAAAGATAAACAATAAAATATTAAAACCAACATTCAATTATTATCAAGTACTTAAATTATTAAACTATAAATAATTAAATTATTTAAAAACTTTCCATTTTTGTTTAATCTCATAAATATTGTGTAAAAATTTAACATTATTATTTTTTATATATTTATAGAATTTGAATTTGGTTTTGTAATTTTTTATATGAATAAAGATTAAAAGTATTGATTCTCTACCATTTATATCAATTAATATTTTGTCAGAATAATCAAATAACTTAATATTCAAACAATGATAAAAAAGTTATAAATTTCTCTGATTTTATGAATAATCAAACAATCATCTGAGGGCACCTTACATCTGATTCTTAATTAACCTACGAATATTTTGTTCTTCTTTTACTTTAAGAGTTTCTAAATCATCATCATTATTTTCTAATGACATCCTTAAAAAGAATTGATTTAAATTGTAAATTTTCAAATAATTATTTGTTACCATCATTGGAGTACAAATTCTTATAGGCCTTATAATTTATTTCATCATTTTCATTGTTCTGAAAATTTAATACATAAGTTTATATCTGTAATTAATTCTGGTAATATATTTATTTATTTAAGAAATAAATATCTCAAGTTATCATCAAATCACAACAATAAATAGAAAATAGATATGTTAAATAATAATGATCTATTATATTTTGTACATTAAATTTATTTTATTGACTTAAAAAATTATCAAATATTCATATGATTTCTATTTTTAATACTTATTATTTATTTCTATTTTGTGATATAATTAAAGAATCTCAACATTATTTAAAATATTGTTAACATAAACTTAAGATAATAAAAAATATTTACCGTTTAATACTGAGACAATTTTAATTATTTAAGCATATTTCTTGAATTTGAATCAATAATTTATTATAAATAAATGATTAATCCACAATAATTCCACATCCTAAAAAATAACAACTTACAAATTGATCATTTAGCATGTAATTAGCACAAGCAACCATACAAATGCATAGATCTTTCATTATAATGTGATTAGAAATCTAGACTCAAATGTTTTTAATGTTAACAAAATAATAATAATTGTGTTCCAATAGATATTTTTAGCAATTTATGCTAAGATATTTATAAAAATATTTAACACAATAATTTTTCTGCTACTTAAACCATCTTATTAAAATTTTAAAAATAAGTTGAAGAAATCCAATCTCTACTCTAAGCCTTAAACAATAAGCTAATCAAAATTTCTTCAATTGAGAGACCATCTTCTAATTGTTTGGAATTATTAAAAGGTTTTATAAACTGTAAAGAGAAAATGAAGGATGAAATCTTAATTGAAGCAAAAAATGTTTAGAAAGAAGATTGGATTTTTTAAAAATTTGGAGTTTAAGAGTTTGAAAATTTGGCTGAATAACTTTCATAATATACTATTCTTAAATATGAGAATCTTTAATATACACTAAAGTTCAAAGATATTGATGATCAATAATTAGCTGAATCTAATTAATATTTAGAATTAATACAAAGTTTAAAATAATAAATTCTCAAATTTTAATAAGAAAATGATATAAAGAATTTGTCACATATATAAATTGAATAAGTAAATTAACTCAAGGATCAATAAATATAGGAATGTTAAACAAATACTAATATGTAAAGAGAATTTCTAATTGAAAAAAGTGAAAAATTGTTCTTATAAGAAAAATGTTCAATAGCTGATATTTAATTAAATTATGATTAATCTATTATTTGCCTTAGGTTTATAGAACCAAATAATTCACTTAGTTTTTGGAAATATAATCCAGAAAGAAAATAATGGAATTTTTGGACTAGTCTTTAATGTTATATTCAAAGTTTGATTGATTTCAAAATGAGTAAATTAGAAAACTCTTTTATAACATGTGGTGCTGATTTCCATTCAAAGGAATTTAAAATTTCTAAAGATTTTGAAAATGATTATTCTTTAAAAATTTGGAAGAAACAAGGGGAAGCATGGTTTGTAAAATAGGTATTTAAACCAGTAGTTTCACATGGATATGCTCATTCTAGAATATCTTATGTACTATTTAGCAAATCTGAAAAATAAATTTATTACTCAGAAGGATAACGTCTTGCTATGTTAGAATAGAAAGGATAAGATTAAGATTATTAACTTAAGTTTTCTATTTAAAAATCAAGTGAAATTATTACAATTTTAGAAATGTCAAATAATGGAAAATTATTAGCTACAGGAGGTTTTGACTAAAAAGTTGTTTTATGGAGAATTGATGATGTTAAATTAACTTAATTTTAATAATTAAAATTGTATAATACTCCAAAAAGAATCTTATTTAGTTAAGATGATTAAGATTTAATAATTTGTACAAAGGATGGTGTAGTACATTGCTTTAATAATTAAGATTCAAAACAAAAAGAATACAAAGAAAATTAAAAAATCTTTAATAATAATAATAATAAAATTAGAACAATTGAATTTAATAAAGATTCATCAATATTGGCAATTGGAGGAGAAGCAAATATAATTTAATTATGGAAAAAAGATGCTTAAAATTAATGGAAATGCTATAATGAAGCCAAATAAGATAATTTTATAGAATCTATTTGTTTTAAAAATTGTCCAGATGTTATATATGCATCAAATAATAATGAAATTTATATCCATCATTTAAAATGAAATTATTTTATTATATATTATAGAATCTTTTCATGAAATAATAAATCTTCATATATATTTTATTGTATAATTTTGAACTTTATAAAAATATAAATTTATATAACTAATTTCTACTTAGATAAAAATATGCGATTGGAATTATATTCTATGTTATTAAATTAATTAAATATCATAGAATCAAATTTTTGCTTAAAAAAAATTACCTTTTATATTATTATAATTTTAAGCCTTTTATAATAATAATTAAGAAAATATATTAACTATTAAATATTACTTAATAGTGAATATAATATATTTAGGTAATTGTGTTTGGTTTGATTATACAAAGAATAATCTGGAGATATTGTGAAATATATTTTAAGAGATGAGATTAAAAAGAAGGAGATAAAATTTAGGAGGATTTAATTTTAGATCTTGATTATTATTATGATAAATCAAAATACTTCTTCTCTAACTTGGAGGAATTCTGAAGCTGCACTTAATTTTTAGGTTAAGACTTCTTATAATCTTTCGACAACTTCTAATTATTATTCTCTTTCGAAAGTTTAGGCTTCATATTAAGCTTCTTATTCAGCAGCCCATCTTTATTGAATAGCTAATGAATCTTCAGCATCTTCAAGGAATAACTAAAATAGTTAAAAATATATACAGTTTAATCTTCTAAGTCTTCAACAGCTTCTTAGATGGTGACCTTGAATTAGACAATTGAGTTTTCTAAGAATGCTTTTCTTTCAACTAATCTCTTGTGTTCTTCTTATAAATGAGAACTTTAGACTTCCCAATTAGCAGCTTATCTTTCTTCAGTAGCAAGGAGGGAAGCTCTACTGGCAACCAATTATTATCTAATTTAAGCCAAGAGTTCTAAGATTTTAATGATACTCTTGTTATCAACCTTGGAGGCTAATTATGTCAAGGCATTAATGAGTGGCTGTAATAATATTAGCAAATAAGAATACTTTGAAGAGAGCATGTTTGCTTTCCATCAATTTAGCTTAGACTTTTTCAAATCTGCTCTTAAGTTAGGCAAAAGCAACACCAGCTTATAAGTGTTAAACAATTTTTGATGCTTCATCAATAGCATCCATTTAGTCAACATGTTCTGCATCTTTTCTAACCCATGTTTCATGTTATGATTGTCTAGTGGCTGATTCGTCAGCAAAGCTTTTTTCGTTATTAGCAATATCAGATGTGACAACTCTAACTTCAGCTTCAGCTTCACCTAAGGCTTCAGTTGTTGAATCTCTCAAGTTAGAGAGTGAAACAATTTAAGATTAATGATAAGCAATTTCTTATTCTAAGTCAGCAATAATCTTTTCAAATGCAACTGTGTCACTTTCATGAACTTTGTCAGCTTTCTTTTAATCTCCATTTAATTAAGAAGCAATGTTATTTAATAAGATTTAAATCTCACCAACAGGTCCACCAGTAGCCAATTAGAGTTGGAGAACTGAAAGAATAGAATTACCAAATGAATCCTTGTTGACTTAAGCCAAAATTTCTTTTGGACTTTCACTCTTTGTCAATCGTGCTGTTGCAACTGCAATCACAATAGCCAATATTGTTAATGATCTAGCCATTTTTTTAATTATTTATTATGCATCCAATCATCCTCAAGTGATTTACACTTATTACCCGTTTTTGATAGTAATATATATATAATACGTTTTTAATTTATGAGTTTCATTAACTTAGAATAACTTGATCAAGATAACTCACTCATTGACTATCATAACACTATTAATGAAACCCTCGATTCCTTAGCTACCACTATTCAAGACCTTCGAAATCCATAAATATGTTTTGTAAATACATTTTCTACATTAGGTCGCAGACACTAATATTGCTTAACTCTACTTTTAGTAGATCTGTCAAAAATTTCCATAAGCGATTACATTTACATTACCAGCAGGAGAAGGGGCTAAAAATCTACATTTTGCAAATGAAGTGGCAGAATACTTATTTAGCAAAAGATTTTGTAGATAAGATTTAGTTATTGCAGTTGGTGGAGGAGTTGTGACAGACTTAGTTGGATTTGTTTCAAGCATATATATGAGAGGGTTTGGTATATTTAACTATTCAACAGGATAAAATTCATTTTGATTCCCACATCGTTGTTGGGAATGGCAGATGCTAGTGTTGGAGGAAAGACAGGTATCAACAACATCTACGGTAAGAATCAACTAGGAGTGATAAATGATCCTTATCGAATCAAAGTGTGCAGCTAATTTTTATAATCATTAGATAAAAGAAATTTTTTAAATGGTTTGGCAGAAATCATAAAAATAGCAGCTTGTTTTGATAGAAAATTGTTTGAAAGATTAGAATGTTACGATTATAATTATTTAATGGACCCAAATAATTAATCAAGTCTGTTAGATATTATCAAATATGGAATAAATTTAAAGTTAAGTATTGTAACTGAAGATAAGTATGAGCAGAATATTCGAAAAATCTTAAATTATGGTCACACTATAGGTCATGCAGTTGAATTTGCTAGTTAAGGTTAATTATTGCATGGTGAATGTGTATCAATTGGAATGGTATTGGCAAACATATTGGCAAAGGAACATGGAATTGATACATCATCTTATGAAAATAGAATTAGGAATGTTCTTTTAAAATATGAATTACCAATAGAAATTCCTGAGTATATTAATATTCAAGATGTGTTAAAATATTTACAATTTGATAAGAAAGTAGTAAAGCATGAAATTAATTTTGTTTTTATATAAGAGATTGGTAAACATAAATTTAATACAACTCCAATAAAGATGGATATAATAAAAAAAATACTAGTAAAATCATGTGTAATAGCATGTTAAGATATTCGACCAAGTAGGCCAATTCATGGATCTAAGAGTATTACAAATAGAGTATTATTATTAAGTTCTTTATCAGAAGGAATAAGTACTCTTAATAATTTTTATGATTCGGATGATACGAAAGCAATGTTGAATTCTTTGTAAGAATTAAGATTATGTGAAATATAAACTCATTCCAAACATACTCTAATTGTAGAAGGATGTTAAGGATAATTTTATAAAAAAGATTATACAATAAATGTGAAGGAAAGTGGAACCTGTGCTCGATTTCTATTACCAATAGCAGCTTTGATTGGGAATGTAACAATAATTGGAGCATAAAGAATTTATGAAAGACCTATTTAAGAAATGGTAGATGCTTTAAATTTAAATGTGAAATATTTATAAAAAGAAGGATAATTACCATTTAAAGTAATTGATGGAAAATTTGAAAAACATATTAAAATTAAATCTTAATTGAGTAGTCAATTTGTTTCTGGAATTTTAATGTCTGCTCCTTATTTTCAAAATGATGAAACTCTAATTGAAATTATAGATTGTAATGAGAATGAGACAATTGTAAGTGAATCTTATATAGAAATGACTATTCAATTAATGAATATTTATGGAGTTAAAGTGGAAAGGATTTCAAAGACTAAATTTTTAGTAAGAAAAGGTATTTACAAAGCTTAAACATATGATATTGAACCAGATGCGACAGCACTTAGTTATGATTTATTACATATTGGACTTAATGGTGGATCTATTGAAACTAAAAAGATATCTAAATTATAGGGAGATGCATAATTTTTAGATGTTATAGAGTAGATGGGAATGTAGGTTGTGAGAGAATAGGGATTCTATAAAATAATAAAAAATTAAGATTTAAAACCATAAGATGTTAATTGCATTAATTTTAGTGACACTTTTATTTCTTTAGCTTTATTAATGTCTTCTATTGAAGGCTAATGTATTATTAAAGGAATTGATAATTAAAGAATCAAAGAATGTGATAGAATAAAGGCTGTCTCTGAAAATCTTATTAAAGTTGGTGTTGTTTGTTTATAATAAAATAATGAGATCTTAATCAGGGGTAAAAAATATCAAAAATACAATGGTTATAGAAAAGAAGTTATCATTAATACATTTAATGATCATAGAATTGCTATGGCATTCAGTATTTTAGGAGGACATTTTGAGAAAGTACAATATTAATATCGTATTATTATTGATAATAAGGATTGTGTAAGAAAAACATTCCCTGATTTTTATAATCATATTTAAAGTTTAGGTTTACAATAATAAGCATTAACATATAATTAAGAATAAGAGTTTTTATACAATTATCAATATTATAAGGAACCTTTGTATATAATTGGTATGAGAGGGGCTGGTAAAAGCACTCTTTCATAATACATATGTTAATAATTAGGTTTTGAATATATTAGCATTGATAATATGATATCTACTAATATAAATGAGTTTGTAACTAAATATGGTTGGGAACAATTTAGAAAATGTGAAAAAGAATAGTTTATATAGATATTATTGAAATATCAGAAAAATGTAGTTGTTGATTGTGGAGGCGGAATCATAGAGGATGAATAAATATAACAATTGTTAATTGGAAAAAATGTGATATGGATTGAAAAGGATATTAATGAATTAATTGAAGATTTGTAATCATAAAACAGACCATAAATTGGAAATATTCTAGAAATTTATAATAGGAGAAAATCAATATATGAGAGAGTCAGTAAATACATTTTTACTTTACCTAGTAGAAAATATATTCAATAAATATCAACTAATTATGGTATTACAAGATATTATTAGAGGATTAATGAATTATATTTGCATTTTATTAAATGCATTTAACACTTGAATTTTCCTAAAAATAAGATTTATGTTTAAGATACTAATTTTGCTTGCATTTTTTATGACGAATTAACAATTTTGGATCATTAAAAAATTCACTTTATAAATAGAAATCATAATTTATTAGAAATAAGAATGGATAAAATTGAAAATATTTAAGAATAATTTAAATAAGTTAGATAATAAATTTATAATATCAAATTTTACCTAGATATACCAATTATATTTACTTTGAGAACAAAAGCATAAGGTGGATTTTACACTGGAACATAATATGTGAATTTAATAGAAAAATGGTAAAATAGTTTTATTGGAGATTATTTTGATATAGAGATGGATAAATTTAATAATGTTAACATTTCGCATAATTATATTAATTCTATTATTTTGTCATAACATTTATTTGAGAAAAGTGAGAAGTTACAGATTATTGAGTTTATAGATAGGATGAAATATATAGCAGAACATAATCCTAACATAATTTGTTTATTGAAGTTAGCAATTCATTAAGATGCATATCCAACAGAACTTACATATTAAGAAATTTCTAAATTATTTATGGGAATGAAATTTGTCATTCCATATTTAGTAGTTTCAATGGGACCAAATTCATAATTGTATAGAACATTAAATAAATTTATGGTTCCTTTATCATGTTTAACTCCAACAGCAGTTGGTTAATGTACTATATAATAATTGAGATCAATAAGAAGTTTAGCAAATTTTGTGATAACATAAAATTATCATATATTTGGTGATGATTTATCATTATCAAGAAGTGATTTACTTCATTAACAAAATTTTGATTAGTTAAATCAATAACATAACAAATTTTATAGTAAAGTATCAATAAAGAAGATAGAATAAGCAAAACCATATATAAATGATATAAATTTCTAAGGTGCTTCAATAACAATGCCTTTTAAGGAGGATGTAAGATTATTTATATTATTTTTAGATTTAATAATATTTGACAGAATAATCAATAGAGGCATAAATTATTGGAGCAGTGAATTGTATAATAAAATATGAGAATTAATTGATTGGATTTAATACAGATTGGTGGGGAATGTTTTGGCCAATATTTAAGAGATTTCCTAAGAATATGCAAAAATGTTTGATTTTAGGTAATGGTGGTACTGCAAAGACAGCAATTTTTGTAGCTGCAAAATTATTTTTATTATAAGTTTATTTATATGGAAGGAATCCATAAAAAGTGGAAGTTCTAGCGAAATAATGTAAGGTAGAATTCATGAGATAGGCAGAGAAGACTCATAAATTTGATTTAATAATTTCAACAATACCTTCAGGTGCTGAATTACCATTATGTGAGGAATGGTTTGATGAAAAAACAATAATATTTGTGGCTAATTAAGGTGATGATCCTTTATTGAGAAAGTAAAACTCTATAAGTGGAAAGGAGATGTTTGAAGCATAGGCAATTGGGTAAGTCCATCTGTTCAATGGGAAGTGAATATATATATACATTTTTAAAAATAAAAATTAATGAACAAATGCAATAACCCTTAAATAAACAAAAATCTTTATTTAATTTTAATATGAGTTCAGGTGAAGAGGAAGATAAACAATATCAAATTGATTAGCTCCTTCAAAAGATTACAGAGGTATAATTTATTTTATACTTAAGATTGAGAACACTCGATAAGTCCATCCTCATAAAAAGAAAGTTGAGGAACCTCAATTTAATTTAGTTTGTTTCCTTAAACGTCCATTAATAGAAGACCTATCATTAGAAGAAGCACGTTTATGTTACTTAGAAAACAAGAGGTAGATGGGTATGTTTGTTTCATAATATTCATTAAGTTTTCTCAAAATAAAACATAGAAGAAAAATCGAAGAAACACTTTTACTCTTCCAATAATTCTAGTAAAATATAAAGCAAATTGTTAACATTCTTTTCTAAAGTTTTAAGAGATTAACCTAACATGCTTGAAAACTTTTTGTATGATAAATACGACCATAAATTAGAAACAGTATTTGAATAGAAAGTACATATTGGGATGGTAATAATTTAAATATATTATTATTTATAAGACATCTTAATAATTTGAACCTACATTTTAACCTTCTAAATTACCTTTACTTGGTTATAACTTTGAGGATGCTTTTTAAATTTCTACTGTAGATTCTAGAATTGGGCGGATTAATAAATAAAAGCAAAGAAAAGTATTCTATATTTATCATCTATTATTTTAGCTAAAGAATGAATATTAAACTTCAACATAGAATGAATATTTTAATACAATCATATAATAAGAATTATATGAAGATCCTATTGAAATTGGAGATTAAAAAAAAAGTTGGACAATTATAGCTAGAAATGCTGCCAAAATTTCAAGATTTAAAGCTAAATTTAGATAAGATTTAAGAGAATTCTTTAAAAGAATTGCATATTTTGCTGCCAAAGAAGCAAGAAGAAGAAATTAAAAATGTTAAAAATATTAAAAAGATTTTATGATAAGAGCTAAAAAATTATCTAAAGAAGCTTAATCATATTGGAGAAAGAGAGATAAAGAATTAATAGAAATAAAAAAAAGAAAAGAAAAATTAGAATAAGAAAGAAAAAAGAAGGAAGAAGAAGAAAGAGAATAATTACTTTAATAAAAAAGATTAGAATTTTTAATGAAATAATCTGATATATATGCACATTTTATGGCTAAAAAATTAGGAATAAGTTTGGAACATTAAATTTAATATACAAATGGTAATGTAGATATAGATGAATTAAAAGCATTTGAAACTGTTTAAAAAGTAATAAATGATAATAGAAGATAATTATAATAATTTGATGGCAAAGAATAAGAGAATGTAAAAATATAAGAGTTAAAACTGGACCATAATGATTAAGATAGAGATTTTTCACTTATTGCACCTCCATCAACCTTTTAAGGTGATTTAAAAGAATATTAATTGAAAGGATTAAGATGGCTTGATAATTTATATGATTAAGGAATTAATGGAATTTTAGCAGATGAAATGGGATTAGGAAAAACTATATAAGCAATTGCATTATTATCTCATATTAGTTCTTTTAAATAAGTTTGGGGTCCATTTTTAGTCATAGCACCTTCATCTACATTACATAATTGGTAGTAAGAAATTAAAAGATTCTGTCCTTCTCTTAAAGTTTTACCATATTGGGGATAAGCATAATAGAGAAAAACTATAAGGAAATATTTTTAATAAAAGAATTTTGGTCAAAAATCATCATTATTTCATATAGTTGTTACTTCTTATAATTTAGTAGTATCTGATAATAAAATATTCAATAGAGTAAGATGGTAATATATGATTTTGGATGAGGCTTAAGCAATCAAAAATATTAATTCATAGAGATGGTAGATATTATTATCATTCAATGCTAGAAATAGATTATTATTGACAGGAACTCCAATTTAAAATACAATGGGAGAATTATGGGCTTTATTACATTTTATTATGCCTAAATTTTTCGATAGTTTTGATTAATTTTAAGAATGGTTTTCAAAAGATATTGAGGCTCATTCATAGGATTAAAAAACTTTAAATTAACATCAATTATAAAGATTACATGCTATATTGAAACCTTTTATGTTAAGAAGGTTAAAAAAGGATGTAGAAAATGAAATAGGTTAGAAAAAAGAAATCTAAATAGTATGTGAAATGACTAGTAGATAATCAATACTTTATAAAAATGTTAAATCTAAATTGTCTATCAAAGAATTTTTCAGAATGTTAGATTCTAAACAAAAAGTTGATAATCTTATGAATTTAGTCATGTAATTTAGAAAGATATGTAATCATCCAGAACTTTTTGAAAGAAAACCATATAAGACTCCATATATTTTTTAAGATAAGCAAAATGTTGAAGTTTACCAATAAAATCCAATAGTTTAAGTAACAAAAAGAAATCCTATCAAATTTATAATTCCTAAATTAGTTTATGATAATTTGATTGAAGATAAACTTTGCTTATTTACTGCCCATTATATATATACTTCTTTAAAAAATGGAGATTCAACGTTTGCTTTTTTTGAATTAAAGCATTTACCTTATGGATTATTCTAAAAAAATATTTTTGATCTAATTCTTTTGCTTTGTAATTTTGATGATCATAAAAAATTAATTAATTATGATTTGTGTAAATAATTGTAATTTTATATTCCAATTGCTTAAAGTTAAATAATAGCTTTTGAATGTAGATCATGTTCATTTTATTAAAAACTTAATTAAAGTTTATACAATAGATAAGCATTATCTTTCATAAAAGAATCATAAGCCTGTTTTATTTTACCTAATAGTCCAGATTAATTAATTGCATCATCATCAAAATTGTTATAATTGGATAAACTATTAAAAGATTTAAAATAAAAACAATGGAGAGTTCTAATATTTTGTTAGATGACACGAATGTTAGATATTTTAGAAGAGTATATGTTACACAAAGGATATACATATTTTAGAATGGATGGATAATGTTAAATAAATGATAGAAGAGATATGGTTAATGAATTTTAATAAAATGATAAGATTTTTGCTTTTCTATTATCTACAAGAGCAGGTGGTTTAGGAATTACTTTAACATAAGCAGATGCTGTAATTTTCTATGATAATGATTGGAATCCTACTATGGATGCTTAAGCAACAGATAGAGCTCATAGAATTGGAAGAACCAAAGATGTTTATGTCTATAGATTGATAACTAAAGGTACTATTGAAGAAAGGATAGTTAAAAGAGCATAATAAAAATAAAATGTATAATCGACGGTTTATTCTGGAGGATTCTAAGGTGATAAATTTAAACCTCAAGAAGTATTTATGTTTTAATATTAAATTTAGGTTTTTGAATTATTATTTGATGAATAAGATATGGATGAAACTGTAGCCAATAAATTTATGGCAAAAGGTTAAAAGAAGAAAAAGAAACCTATTAAAGAATTAAAAGATCAATAAAAGGATTTAAATAAAGAGCAAAAAGAACAATAAGAAGAAGAAGATATAATCGAAGTCGATTTAAGAGAATTAGAATTGAATGAAAAAGATTGTGAAGATGCTGATTGATTGTTGCTATTAATATAATCAATAATTTAATAATCATGAATTTTTTGATTATTTTAATCAATTATAAATATATATATATATAAAACTAATTAATTATTATATTCTACTTTTTTTATTTATTATTTTATTTTATTTTCAAACTCAAATAGAAGTGAAAATAAAACCCTTTTAAAATTGTCAATTTATTTTAATAGATATAGACTTATATTTTAGGGTATAGAATTTATGAAACAGTGAATTATAATAATAATAATCAAAATGTTAAGAATTTTTTATTTTCTTTCTAATGATTGGGTTTATATTACTTTAATTAAAAATTTGGTTTAAAAAATAAAATAAACTAAAAAATGTCTAAACAGACATAGGATAAGTAGATTTAATAGTCAATTGAGAAATAGAGAAAAAAGAAACTTATTCTAGATAGTCCAGATTCAAAAGAGACTGTTACAATATTACCAAAATAAGTAAGATATTTATTAATTAATAGAAAGTACCAAGTTCAAGTAAATTACCTAAGTAATTTATTACAAAACCTAAAAAGAAGGCAAGACTTAAATAATAAACATAAGAAGAATGCCCAATATGTATGATGAATTTAGATGATGTCTAAAATGTTTGTGAGATTGATGCTTGTAAACATTAGATATGTTCAACTTGTATTAAAGAATGGGCAGAAAAATATAAAACATAATGCCCTTGTTGTCGAGCAAAATTCGATTTTATTTATCCAATAAAGGATGGAAAAAGAGAAAACAACCCAATAAAATTAAATTTAAATTTACCTAAATGGAATTAAGAGGAAGATGAATTTTATGAAGATGAAAATAATTCTGATGATGAAGAAAAATGCTAAGTTTGTTAATGTTCACACACGCCTTATTTAATGTTGATTTGTGATAAATGTAATGATGCATTTTGCCACACTTTTTGTGATCCAGCCTAATTAGAATTCAAAGTCCCAACTAGCAATTGGTATTGTTTAGATTGTAGAAAATCAAAATTTATTTATAACAAACATAAATGATTTGAAGAATTTCATATTATAATAAATTTTTTCAGTTACTCGAATTTTATTTATGAATTTTTATTTATATTGAATTCTCTTTTAATAGAACTTCATTCTCTAAGGTTATGTATTTCTTTAGGGGAAATTATTTATTATATTAAATTTTTTTCTAAAAGAAATCTAATTTTATTTTCATCTAATTTTCAATCTCTATTTTGGATTATTATTTATGTTCTGTTTTAGTCATAGATTTTAATTGTTCCAAGTTTAGGTAATAATAATTATTTTAATTTTTGATCTTAATCTAACTATATACATTAATTCTTACCTTATAAAGTTTTTCAATTTAACTAAAAATTTCTTCTTTATTTGTAAATCTTAAGAACCAAATAGTATTATTTCAATAATAATTGAAAATGATACTTTGTATTAATACCGAGCAGTACTTTTTTTATTGATTTTATGTTTCTAATAAACAAAACTTCTGACTAAACATGGAGTGATTATAAAATTAAGCTATTAAATTCTTAATTTCATTATTTTTATTTTAATTATTGGCATATACATAAATAAAATAGTTTTATTTAGTTGAATGGCCATGTAAATCAAACTTTATTAAAATTTTTTCTTTATATTTTTCTAATGATTATTTAATGAAATGAATTTTTGGTTTTGATTAGAATTAGGGCTTAATCCATTTTTTATTTAAATTAACGCCATGTAAATTACATCGACTATTTTCTTATTATATATAACGATTTTTTGATGAGTTTATTATATTAATTAATTCTTCGATTACAAAAGATCCACTGGTTTTACTAGGATGTTATTTAATAACCTTATGATTAGTTAAGGGAAGTGCTGTTGAGAGTGTGGATAAGGTTTAGCAAATGAGAAAGTAATATAAAATAAGTTCGACGAATCACATAAGGAGTATGCTTGAATTCGAGAAGAAACAAAGGTATTTAATGCATTTAGTTAATTTGGTTGAGGCTAAATTATTATATCAAGTAGTTAAAGTTTATTTTGGAATACCTTAAGATAATTTAATATGGAATAGTTATGATTGATGATTATTTGCAATTTAATATTCATACATTATTAATACGTATTTTTGTGTATATTAAAAATAACTAAGCAATATATTTTTATTTTTTATGATAAATCGACTCTAAAAAATTAGATTCAGAAAAGAAGAGTAAGAAAAAATGGAAGATTAAGAGATAGAATTGGAAGCTCTAAATAAAGTAGACAAGCAATTAGAGATGTTAGAAAACAGTTCGTAATATTATATAATTATTAAATTATAGAGTTTGGAAATTAAAACCTTTAAGAATCATATAGAAAATAACAATTTTCATAACTCGACTTAAACATAATTCAGCTACATATAGATTTAAATTATTAAAGAAAAACATTTTTCTTTTAATCCGAGATAAGGCTGCTTCATTTCAATATTATCTTAATCATTTTATGTTATTTTAGAAACCTACAAGAGTAAATAAATTCAAATAACTTAGTGGATATAAATAAAATATGAAGCTCATGCAAACAATCCATTATGGTGGCGTTTTTGGTGTTTTTTGAAAAGTGATAAAACAGTTCTATTACCAGCTGATAAATTCCTTTTTGTATGGGATTTATTGATGATGTTAGTAACAATAGCGAATATCTTCTATGTTCCAATGTAATTATCATTTAATCTGAATGAGGATAACTTGGGTAGTATTTTTACTCTTTTTAGTACAATTCCAAGTTGTATATTTTTAATTGATTTAATTTTAACTTTCTTTAAGGGATATTATGATAGAGGAATATTATAGAGAAATAAAGCAAAGATATTTTGGCATTATATAAAAGGAGATTTTTGTTTAGATTTAGCAATAGTTTTACCATTTATTTTATCTTGGATGGGATATTCAGCTGCAAATTATTTAATGTTGATTCGTATGACTAGAGTTAGAAGAACAATGATAGTAATTGAAGAGATATCTAATTTTAAAGAGAAAAGTGCAGTCATCTATTAATTATTTTGTTTAATATATTCTTTATTATTGATATCTCATTTTTGTGCTTGTTTATTTCATTACTTTGCTCTCTTTGAAGTAGAGTAAGGTTATAATCACACTTGGTTACATTAATAGAACATATTTGATGAAGATTTATATACAAAATATTTTAATTCACTCTATTGGATTACAATTACATCAATGACAGTTGGATATGGTGATATTGTTCCAGTTACAACACCTGAAAAAATATTAGTCACTATTATCACTTTCTTAGTTACTGGAGTTTTTGGATATGCATTAGGAATGATTTAAAGTATTTTCTATAAAATGGCAGAATAAACTAATATCAACAATTCTAGATTGAGATTAGTGAGTAATCATATTAAATAAAGAGGATTAAATACACAATTATAATTTAGAGTTAGAAAATATATAGAATATTATTTATAATTTAAATAGGATGAAGAATTAGATTTAGATGAACTTATGGGATAACTCAATCCTAAACTTAAATAAGAAGTATAAATTGCAATGTATTATCGTTATTTAAAACATTCTAAACTGTTTGGAACCAATTTCTCAGATGATTTAATTAAAAAACTATGTTTTTGTATTCATGAAAAAACATTTGCTCCTGAAGAAATTATTATTAAGTATTCATAATATATTATTATATTAGAAAAGATGAATTACCAAATTAATTATATATTGTTTTAGCTGGTAAAGTTAAATCACTTCTTCTAGAAAAACCTATAAAGAGATATTCCTAAGGACATTTACTTTGTGAAAGAGAATTCTTTTATTAAGATCCTATGTAATATAATATTGTTGCTTCATCTTTTGTTTAAGTAGCCTTCTTGAATCTCTCCGAATTTTAATCTATTATACAAAATCATAGAGCTAGTTTTGAATAATATAGATATGCTATTGATAATACTATTTATGGACAAAATACTAATTTAATTATTTGTGAAGCTTGTTAATCTCATCATTAATTTAAAAATTGCCCATTAGTTTTCTTTAAAAAAAATAATGGTAAAGTATTAGCTACATATCATAAAAATGAATTATAAAACAGATAAACATTTACTAGAAAAAAAAATAAATATAAATAAGAAAGAAATATTATTCTTAATGGTGCTTATGATCATATTATTAGAATGAGAACATAATTAGGAGTTTAAGTTGATCAAGCCTTCTTAAATAAAATTGGATTTCAAGGTTATGAATAAGAACAACAAAGTGATGATGAAGATGATAAATTTTAATCTCCTTAAGCAAGAAGATAAAGTTTTTCTTAATTTAATGAACATGGTCATTCCATTTCTCAAAAAAGTCTTTAAGACGATAAAATTAATGATTTTGATATTGACAAAGTCTAAGAATATGAATTCTATTATCCCCATAATAATATAACCAAAATCAGCAAAATTGTCAATAAATAACAGCTTTTAAAAAGAATTTTAGATAAAATTGCAAATAAAAAAAATTTATTTGCCGGGCTGGTTTTTAGATAAGTTGTATAAAAAATTATTTGAAGAAAATTACAACATTATTAAAGCTGTTTATTTTACATATTTCTTATAATAATTATCAAAATTTATTCTTAATCTATCATTCTATTATTTATAAGTAATCCATCTTCATTTGTATCTTTATTAAATAGATTAGGTTTTCAATTTATAATGAACTAAATTTTACAAAATTTGCTTTTCATTATATACTAAATAATAATCATAATGTAATAATATCAAATGTTTAATTAAAGTTATCCTTTCTATCATTTAAAATATTCCAGTAAAATGCTCTTAATATGAATATTCATTAAAATTTCAGTATTTGATTTGCATGCATTTACCTTTAGTAATTTATTTTTATGTAACCCAACTTACATAATTTCTATTTTGTTTTTAAAATATTCATCTTTATACTAGCGATTTCAAATATATCTATCTAATTTAGTTTATTTATATATTTTATAAATAAAAATTTATTTTAATATTAATGTTATTATTTCATTTTTGAATATATCGATTTTTTATTTTTTTTGGGAACCAAAAATTATATCTAAAATAATATTTATTTTACAAAATACTTTTAACTTGAATTGTGTTAAGATTTTAAATAGGGAAAAAAAAAGATGCTCGATCAGCTTGTTTATAATTATACAGGTTTAATTTATTTTATATTATAAATTTATTAATTATATTTGAGCTATTCAATTAAGATCATAAACCTATTCGAAAATAAAATAATAATAATTTTTATAAACATCAGTTTCTCTTAACTTAAGATAATAAATTAAAATTTCAATATTTTAATCAATAATCCGAAAATTTTTTGACTAAATTTTATGATAATACTTTTTTTTCAGATTTAAATCAATTAAATTTATTTTAAAGTAATAACTTAACCTTATATGTAATTTTTTAATAATCTAATGAGTGAAGGAGATCGCTCATAAATCTAAAATACTTTTCATTATGCTTACGATAAATATTGAATTAATAAGAATAATTTATTAGTGTATAAATTTAATAAAATCAAAGAACACATGAATAATTATAAGATTGTATCTTTTACTAAAACATTATCATTTATGTATAAATTCTTTAACTGAAAAATGAATTTAAATTTAAAGAATTATTTTAATGTTATATAAAGAGAGAATAATAAATTTATTAGTATTATAAATATTTATGGATTAAAGGTTGGTTTTTTTTAAAATAAAAAAGTAAATCTTTATTTTGCTAAAATTTCTAGACTGAGAAAAAGTGGTAAGCCAATAGTTATTGGAATAGTGTGATAAAAAGTATAGAATATTTTGTAGATTTTTATTTTACAAGAGAATTGTTAACTATTTGATAATGAGTGCATTTAGAATCCTTACTAATATAGATTGAAAAGAAGAAGTCTAAGTAAATATGAATTTAAGTATTAGTCTAAATTAGTTATCAATGAAGTGTTATTAATATAATGATATGTATTTTTGATTACTATTATAATATACATCATTTTTTATTCTTTGTCAAATAATCAATAGCTTTCTTAACTCCTTCTGCTTAGTATTTAGCTCCTTAATTAATTATGGTTTTAGGAATATCACCTTTAGGATTCATATTTCCAATAATTATGATATTCGTTTATCCATTTGGTTACTTCTTAACTATCCAAGCAGAGAATACAATTTCTCCTCTTTGAACTCCTTTAACTGGGGGCACTTAAGGATGCTCAATAGATTTTGCTAATAAATTAGATCTAATTTTATACTTATCGTCATAAAATGATCGTCACCTAATTTATAGACTCTACTTAATAAACAGAAGTCTCTTGGATCAACAAAGAATGCAGGAGGTTTTCCTCTTGCATAAAATATGAAAGTGTTTTAATCCACCTTCTCAATCAATCTTCCCTATTATTAATTATTTATTAATTTTACTTCTAAAAAATTTGAATCATATTCCTTTTTTCTAGTCATATCTATTACAAAATTTACAAATTCTTCTGGATTCACAGCAGCATTTGTTTCTGTTCTATTTATTTTAAGTCCATTTTCAGGATTGTTTTTAGTATAAATTACATAACCATCCTTATTGGTATCCAAAGTCCATTGGTTTTCAGGTTTTAATTCTACTATTGCAAGAATTTTTGTTTTAGTTTCTTCTAAAAGTTGATCGTATTTGTTTTACATATTAATTAATTTTAATTTAAAAAGAATTCTGTAGTTCTTAATGAATTTATATAATAATTATTTATTAATTAAATTAAATATAAATAATTGTCTGATATATTCTAAATTAAAATATATATATTATTAAAAAAAATGATTGTCGTCATTTCATTAATGTGATAAATTTAAAATGACAGCCTCCATTAATTCAGTTTATTGTTAGGTAAATTGATTTCCTAATTGTTAAGGCATTTATCCTTTCATATCAAAACATTAAATTAGTATGATTCTTGTAAATCCATTCTATTAAGGTGTTAAAATCCAACCAAAAAAATGCATTTCAGCCCTTTCTACATTATAAATTGGAGGTTATTTTTAATGAATAACAGATCTTTCTAAAATTAACATAATATAGAATATTACAGCAAACTATTATCATCCCATTTTCTAATCTATATATCTTTTAATATAGCACTAAATCTCTACTACTCATAAAAGGAATAGGTGGCTTTAATCTGATATATATTAATTTAGTATCTTTATCAACTTCTTCAAGGACACTTGCCTACATTAAAGAGAATGATATACATATTCAATTCTTGTATCTATTGATTTTCTTTTTTCTAAATCAGCTACATATTAAGCTATAACTTCTGGTGCTTTATTTATTTAAGCTTATGTTCTATTAATTTTAACTCCATTTTCTATATTTTTCATAACATGGATTGTATAACCATTTTTATTGGTTAATAATTCCCATTAATTCTTTTCATTGATTTCCATAATTTAAATCAGCTTATCTTTACACACTAACAATATTTAGAAAGATACTTTAGATTAATTGTTCTGGAGTATTGACAATCATGATATGAAATTAAATATATTTTAATATTTAGTTATAATAATATTTTATAATATGAATAGCACTATAATACAATTTTTCACTTAGAATCTGCTATTCCAGATAATGGTTTTCTAGCTTATTATTATTATTATTATTATTCTTATAATGGTTTTCTAGCCTATTATTATTATTGTTATTATTATTATTATTATTATTATTGTTGTTGCTAATTATTAAATTAACCTGATTGAGGTTATTTAACAACAGATATAGCTCCTGATTTTGGATCTTTAGCATCAACTTATGTTTGACCAGAACGAGGAATTGGGTTTCCAGTAATAGTTCCGGATTTAGGGAAGTTATTCTTAAACACTATTTCTTCGTCTTCTTTTTTCTCAGGTCTTATTACTTTCATAGAGTTTAATCCTTTATTTGATAAAAGTGCTGAAATGACTCCTTCAAATTCATCTATAGGTTCAACAGGCCATTGATTAATTATCTATCTTGGTTTCTTAGAGTATGCTCCATCTCCAAAATAAAGATTCCAATCAAATAAACTACCATCAAATATTGGATAATATCCATCATTACTCAAATAGAAAAAGAATTAATTAGGAACAAAGTGTTTTATATTATTAAATTGTGCACTATCTTAGTGATTCAAAAAAAGTGTAAATGCAAATGCTTATTTTGATTTGAATTAATATCCAAAGTATACAAAGACCCACTCTCCATTACTTTTATCTGAATTAATTATTCGATTAAATTCATTACTATCATCTCCTTATGTATCTAAGTTTCCATATGTATAAGTTGAAAATGCAAGTTTAGTTTTACTTTAGAATAAGGAAAGGGTTCGATCTCCTGCATATTGTTTGTCTCTTTAGAAATCAGGTGGATTGATAGTTAATCTGAATACATTTTTATATGCTTCAGTCAGACCCATAACTTTAGATTGAAGCCAACCAGATACAGCATATTCATTTACTCCTTTATATTCTTCATATTTATATTTAAAGTCTTTCTTTTCTTCTGGTTTAATAATAACTTATTCTTTTATGAGATTAACATCCATTTTAGATTTAATATCCATAGGTGGTTTAGGATTGAGTTGAAGAATTTCTTTAATTAATTACTCTCTGGAACCTATAAATCCATTTCCTAAATGAATTTGTAAATCTGCAATCATTCCATTAAATGATTAATATCCAAACTCTTTGTTTGCAACAACAACTCTAGCATATCCATTGATAGGCACATGTTCCAAATTAAGAAACTCAATTCGAGAAATTGCTGTTCCTGATTATTCACTATAATATACAAATCCTACAGCTCTTGCTTATTACTTATTTGTGAATGAGAAATAGATGTAATTCCATTCTCCCTCTAAGTTATCATCATAATTTATATTTTAAGAAGTGGATATCTTATTTCCTATCTTATTGTATGTTGTAAAGTGATAATATCCCTTACCAACCCAAATGGCTAGAACTCTATTACCTAATTAAGTAGCATCATCATATTATTCTGTACTAGTTAATCTAATTAATTAGTGAAATGGAGCCTTTTCTATAATTCTTGATGGAATAGTAGTTAACCATCTAGTCCATAATCCATAACCGTACTCAGTGAATCCATTTACATCCTTATTAAATACAATATCTAATGCTGGTTTATCTACTAATGGTACTTCGATAATTTTATTATCAATTCCATCCCAAATTAATGGTTTAGATTCCACTCCTTAAAGATTTGGTAATTTTTCTTCAAAATTTCCTTTTGTTGAATCTACAAAAGATCCTTTCCCAAATAATAAATTAACTTTTTGCATTTAACCATGCCATCCTCCAAGCATTCCATCTCCTCCAAAAAAGAATAATAAATAGTTTGGAACCATATGTAAAACATTATCATATGGAACTAAAGCATAACCACTTGGATATTTAATTATACCTGAAGCCTTTCTTTTTTAAAAATGATAACCAAAGTAAATATAAGTCCATAATCCTAGATTACTTTTATATGGAGTTGGTTTTCTTATATTTACAACCAATCCATTATCAATATTACCTAATGAATAAGTTGCAAATACATATTCCCCTGGTTATAACATTACTAATAATGTTCTATCTCCTACTCTACTTATTTCACCTCTATATCCTTATTCATTATTAGTTAATCTCATTATACAATTATTTGAACTCTTTAATTATGTACTTGTATATCTAAACCATCCATACATAGCATATTCTCCGGTTCCTTTCTAATCTAAGATTTCCTTATAATCAGGTCCATTATTAAATGCTCTCTCTTTTATCTCTTCCACAATATTCATTTTTCTATTATCATCTCCATCATCTACTGGAGGTTTGTAGAATTCCAATATCATCTTATTAAGTGCATCTGAATCATGTACATAATATCTTTTACCAAATCCTAATTATAAATTTGCAATCAATCCATTAAATCCTTAATATGTAAACTCATTTCCTATCACTAATTTTGCATAATTATCTATAGGTTTATGTTGAATATCCCTGAATTAAATTCTTTAGATCTTATTAAGTTTACTAAACATCACAAAACCAGATGCTAATTACAATTCAGAAGAATATGAAAAATAGATAAAATTCCATTCTCCTTCCAAATTATCATCATATCTAATATTTTGAACAATATTTGGATTATTATTAACCGCATTATAAGTAAAGAATCCATAATATTATCTTCCAATAAAGATAGCTAATGTTCTATCACCAATGTTTTCATAATTTTTATGATTTGGATTTATAGTTAATCTAGCAATATGTAACCAATCTGGTTTTTAAAGGAGTCTTTTTGGAATTGCTGTATAAAACTTGGTCCACATGCCTATGCTATAAGAAGTTTATTCATCAACCTCTTCTGGCTTTAATTCAAATACTTTATTTTAATCATAAGCAATTTCAAATCTTTCCTTTTAATCACTCCAAAAATAGGCAGGTTTTGTTATAGATATACCTCCAGCTGCAAAAGGTTCAAAAGATTAGAAATTTCCTTCAATATATGATCCTAAATGTCCCATAAAGTATAATTTGCTGAATTTACCATTGTATGGTGTATGAATGCCATCCTTACCTACATATAATCCCATGTATTTAGGTACTCTATGCATACATGATAAGGCTTTTAAACATTTCTATGTTTTTGTTTGCAAATATGAAATCACCTTATTCTAATTTCTACTATAACCATAATACCCATAAACCCATTCAGATTAAGATGGAATATCTACAGGACATTCAGTATATAAATGAGCAAACTAATCATGATTGTTAGGAGTTGTATATGTACTAAAGAATATTCGATGATCAGCATATTAAAACATGGATAAAACTCTATCACCAGGTTTAGCATGATTTGCCCTAATATTTTATTCATTATAAGAGACAGAGAATACATTTTCCCATGCTACTCTATATATTTTAGTCCATTTAAACCATAATGAGACTGAATATTCATAAGCACCATCAAATTCATCTATAAATTCAACTGGTGATGGTACCCATTCTTCTCTTTTAAGTATTTTAACATCATCGACAACAATTTTAGAAAATAATTTTTGATTTCTAAGAAATTCTGGTTTAGCTGGTAATTGCTTTCTTAATTAATCTTAATTTTCAAAGAAACCTCCAGATCCTAATACTAATGAAACTTTTTAAATATGACCATTAAATTAATGATATCTATCTAAAAAGTATCTACCTGAGCTTCCAACAGCTAAATACAAATAATCATTTAATGGTTATTAAATAATATTTCCAAAATTAGTTTTTCTGATTGATTAACCATCAAATACTACATATCCTATAGCACTACCTTATTTATCATTTATTCGTTTATATCCAAACCAAATATAATTCCATTATCCATCTAACATTTAATCATATTCTACATTATTAATAACATTAAAGTTTCCTCTTGTGGATGTTGTAAATTGATAAAATCCAGGTCCAATCCATATAGCCAAAGCTCTATCTCCTAATAATGCAGCATCCCCTTAATAATTTGGATTTACTGTTAATCTTGATAATGCCATCCATGCTGGTTTATTAATCATTTTAATAGGAGTATTCCATGCAAATCTAGTCCACATACCATATCCATATTCCATTAATCCATCTATTTATAGATCATCTTTATATTCTATTTCTTAACCTACATTTTATTGTGTAAATCCACAAGCATAATTATCATCAAATTACCAATTCTTAGGTTAAGCTGGTTTATGTAATCCAAAACCAAATGTTGTTTCTTCATTTTCACCTATACCAAATCCATTTTCTTTATACGATCCTGAACCAACGTTAAAATACCAACTTTCAATAAATCCATTAAAACCGGGATTCCACCTATCTAAAAGGAAATGAATCTTAAATCTTTATGCTATAAAATGATTAATTTTAGTATAAGTGAAATGTTCTTCTTATCCTGGATATTTTACATAAAGATGTACTTACTATTTCTAATGAGAATATCCTTAATAGAAATATACCCAATTTTTGTGTAATGTTTAATCATAATCAACATTCTTCACTATTTACCAAGCTCCTCCATTCTCTTAATCTACAGTATATGTATTAAAATGATAGAATCCATAACCTTTATGACATGAAAATATTCTTGATCCTGGTATTTGCATATTCAATAATTCATTATAATCATAATAAGTTACACGATATAATACATACCATGGTTATATGGATGGAATATCTACCCATTTAGCCCATCCAGAAATAGAATATTCTAATTTTCCTTAAGCAATTTCTTCTTTTATATCAAATTCTCTACCTTATCCAGCATTAGAAATTCTTTCCTTAACAATTTCTATAGTTTTTCTACTTTAATCAAATTTTGAATCTGAAGGTAATCCTAATTCTCCATTTGCAATAATTAAAATTTCCTCTTTACTTAAATATGCTCCAGTACCCAATCTAAGTTGAATATTGGTTAAATGTCCATTAAAGAATTTATAGTTGAATTCAGAACCCACAATAAATCTTAAATAATCTTTAACTAAATTGTGTTTAACTTTAAATTCTTTCTCAATGATGTTTGAATCTTGTCCAAATAATACACTAGCCTTAGCAACATTTTTACGATATACAAAAACTATAAAATTCCATTATCCTTCTAAATTACTACCATAGGGAATAGATTCAGTCAATTATAAAACTCCTCTAGAATATGTGCTAAATAGATAGAATCCCAATCCTAACCAAGTTGCTAATGTTCTATCACCTGGAACTGCTAAATCTTAATGTCCTTTTCTATTGGCAATTCTTGCAAGTGAGTACCAAGCATCTTTAAATTAGATAGGTTTATTTAATGTTCTAGACCATCTACACCATAATGCCCATCCATATTCATTTAATCCTCTAATATTGTAATCTGTACCATCATTTATTTCTAGATCCATTAAAGTACCTTATTTACCAGAATCTGCAATTAACAATTTATTTCTATCACTTTCTTTAGTTATTAATTCTAAAGATGAAAATAGTTCTTTAACTCCTTTCATATACATAAAGATATCATTATTAAATGGTTTAGTTTGATAAGATCCTTTACCATAACTTAACATCACTTAAGTAGCTTATCCTGTGAAACCTCTAAATTTACTATAGAATTTGCTACAATCTCTACCAAATTAGAGATAATGCTTATGAACTATATAATGACGAATGTTATTATGCACTTAATCAAATTCATCATCAATAAAAGAAATATAATAATAAAGTTATTTATTTTCTCTTCTGTAACCAATATAAAAGAAATGCCAAAATTAATCCCATTCTTAATGGTTGACTTACCAATTAATTGCGAAATCTCCTGCTCCATTTAAATTATGATAATTATATGATTAAAATAAATAGTAAGAAGTGTGTTTGAATAGCATCATATCTCTATCTCCTAATTTAGAATCATTATTCTCTTCTACTTTAAATCCACTTAATCTAAATATTGCAAAGAAAGGTGCTCCTACGGGTTAATCCCATCTTAACCATCCACTTATTGCATATTCATTTTAAAAATGACTCTCTATTTCTTTAATATTGTCAGTCTAATCATCTCCTTTAAAACTTGCTGAACCTTCAATTATATTTGTTTATTTAAATTTATAATCATCAGCAAAAGGATGTGGTATTCTATTAGACAAAACCCTCTTATACAATTCAAAATCATTAATATATGCTCCTTTTCCATATTTAAATGCATAATTAGCAATCTAACCATTAAATCCTTAATAAATTCCTTATTTTCCTCCAATCATTAATTTTAAATACTCTACTTCTCCATGATTACAAACAATATCTCTTCTTTATAGTTCAGCATTATCATCATATTTTATAAATGCTACAGCCTTCTTATCTACTGAAGAATAACTGAAATAAATAAATGTCCAAACTCCCTCTATATCTGCATATGGAATTACTGTTCTAAGATTTGGATTATTTGATGGTTTATCTAATGTATGAAAACTATATGATCCTTATCCTTAGAAGATACTTAATACTCTATCTCCCATACCTACATCTTAAGGTTAAGGATTCCAAGTTAATCTTGAAATAAAATAATATGGAGCAATCTTACCGTCTCTTAATTATAGAGGATACATCGTCAAATATCTTAGATAAAATCCATATCCATAAAATCTCAATCCTTCCCAATCTGATTTTTCTTCTTTATTCTATTATTATTACTATTCTTATTATTTTACTTACTCTCCCTCTTTCTATACCTTTTCTTCAGGTGGCTTTACAATATCAATTGGTTCATCTGATATTACTCTTTATTTATCTTAATCAGGAAATTAATAATGATTTTCTACAATTCCTACTGTTTTTTCATTCTTAAACTTCTCTGCTTCTTTTTTTAACTCTTATTCTTATCTCTCAATTGCTTTTTTCTCTTCCTCAAATTATTCATCACTTTTTATAATCTCTCCTTATCCACCTATTATTTCTGGAACATGAGAATTTAAAGATTCCTCGTAAATATCTTTTGATATTTCAAATGTATAAACACTATCACTATCTTAAGAGTTATCAAAATATTCATGTTTTCTTAATTCTTCTGGAGTAGGTTTATTTGGATTTATGGTTGTAAGTCTTCCAATTTTGAATCCAAAAATATCATTCTAAACTTTATCATGATTATCCATCTAGAATGAACCTTCTCCTGCATTAAATTTAAAATATCCAATATCTCCATTATACTAATTGAACCACTTATCTTTTCCTATTGTTAATGCAAATATATTTGGAATAAAATGATTAGTTTCCTTAAATGATACAGACTCAACTCTATCATCAAATTGTACTTTTCCATAAGCCAATCTCTATTATCTTGAATAACCAAAATACACAAAATGCCATTAAATGTGTTCTCCATCATGATCTATATTTTACCAAATATTTGGCGTACCTTCTCCATAAATATTTTTATAAGTATAGGTTGTAAAATGAATGTAACCTTGACCCATAAAAGCCATCAAAGTTCTATCCCCCAATAATTTGATATCACTTGTATTCTTAATTATTGCTAATCTAACCATTAAATACCAAGGGAATTACTGTCCCATTTATTTCCATTTAAACCAACCACTCCAAGAATATTATCCAACTAATGGAACATCATCAAACAATGTTTCTTAAGCTATAAAAGATTGTTTAGGTTTTCCTATAATATCTTTAGTTGACAACTTGAGACTATAATCATTAGGTTTTTTCAATTTATCCAATAATTTTTCTAAATCTGTTTCATTTTATAAGAAAATTCCTTCTCCTATTGAAAATATAATGCCTGCAAATTATCCATTATATGCAGCATAATTCATGTTGTTTCCACCTATGAATAATTGTAAAAAGATTGGACTCTAATGAATAGCTGGAATTACTCCCTTTATTACTTTACCCTCTCCAAATTTTATCATGGCTACACTTTCTTTCTTATATAGATTATGAGAAAAGTAAACAAAGGTCCACAATCCTTCAATATCTATTGGGTGATCAATATTATGAACTACATTTGCAAATTTATGAGAATATGTTGTAAAATGATAAAATCCCTTTCCTAACCAAATAGCCAATGTTCTATCACCATAATTCATATCTCCTTTATTTTAATTTTTCGTCAATCTTGATATGAAAGACCAATCTGCTTTTAATCCTTCAATTAATTAACTTGGATATCTAGTAAGAAATCTACACCAAAAACCATAACCATATTCAGAAACATTATCCAATTCCTCTTCGTTATAAATCTTAGAAAATATTGGTTCCTTTTATTCTACTTATGGAGATGAAAACATCTTAGTAATAGCATCTTTGTCAATGTCAAATTTTAATTTAGATTTCAATAATTCCATTGATCCTAATTTATTAGCAAATAAATCATCTTTAACATCTTTGAATTCTCCTTGATGAAAGGCTCCATCTCCTGATTAGAATCTCAAATAAGCAATATTACCTAAATAAGGATCATGCCATTTGTCTCTACCTACAGACAAGAAGAATTTGTTTGGTAAATAATGATGATGATCTTTAAAATTAACTTCTTCTTTTCTAAATCCAAATTCTACTTTACCATAAGCCATTTATTCTACTCTCGAATATCCAAAATAAATAAAATGCCATTTTGCTATATCATCCTTATATTGAACATTTTAAACACTATTTGGATTTCCTGAACCATATAAATCTGTATAAGTATATGTAGAAAAATATAGAATTCCACCTGCTTATTATCCAATCCATAGACATAATGTTCTATCTCCTAAACTATTTTTATTCTCATAATTTTCAAGTGTAGATAATCTAACAGCTAAATGCCATGCATTTTAAATAACACTTGACCATTTGAACCAACCACTCCAAGAATATTATCCACTAAATTATTAATTTTCATATTCAAATTGTTTAGCTTCTGAATTCATCTCAAATCTGGTGTTCTTATCCATTAATACATTTTATATTAATTCTATTCTATATGTTGTAGGTTAAGGTGTAGATTTTATCAAATCTTCAAACTTTTCATCATTCTCAATATAAATACCCTTATTCACACTAACATATGCTCCACTAATTTAACCATTAAATCCTTTATATATTAAGTGTCGACCTCCTAAATAGAATTTCAAAATATTTGGTATTAAATGAATACTCTATTAAACAGATTTTATTGGTTTATCATTACCAAATTTAATAAAGGATACACTTTATTCTTTATTAAGATTATGTGAATAATGAATGAATGTCCATAAACCTTCAATATCTGCTGGATGATTAACATTATTGAAAATATTAGCAAACTATTAATTATATGTTGTAAAATGATAAAATCCTTTACCTAACCATATAGCAAGAGTTCTATCACCAAGTGTAACATCTTATAAAATATCATTCTTAGTTAATCTACTAATAAAACTCCATTCTGTTTTTAATCCATCAATTTATACTTTTGGATAATTCCTCAAATATCTTAACCAAAATCCATATCCATATTCAAATACTTCATCCAATTCATCTTTATTGAATACTTTCATATAATTAGATTCCTCATCACTATTAGAGTCCATCATAATTTTCTCTTTAGATTTACTAATATCAAATGTTTTAATTTCCTTGTTTATGCTTTATAAATCAAAACCAAAAATGTTATCTTTATCCTTATAATCAGTTGTTTATTTGTATGCTCCCTCACCAATATTGAATTTAATTTAGGTAATCAATCCATTAAATCCAGCCAAAAGGGGTTCCTTTCCAACATAAATAAAAAATTGGTTGGTTAAATAATGGTTAATATGAGTAAATCCCTATTGCTGCATTTCATCAGACCATTAAACATGGACATGACAAGTTGATTTTTCTTATTAGTATCCAAAATAAATGAAATACCATCTATAATGCCTATTCTTATGTTCAATACTTCTCTAAATATTCTTATTGCCACTACCTTCCATATTCTCAAAAGTGTAGGTAGAAAACTAAAGATCTTTAATACCTACATAACCAACTAAAGTATTATCTCCTAATTAATCATCTGAAGGATTTCTTATTGTCACTTTAAACATGCTATGTTATGGTTCCTATTTATCTATCAATAACCATTTAAACCATCCACTTATAGCATACTCTGTTGGTAAATCTACTTTTTCACTTTAAGCAAACACTCCTTCTTCATCTCCTTTTCTCTATTATTAATCTCCTAAAACATTCATAGTTATAACTTTTTAAACTTTTCTTTCTAGTGTATAAGATTTCAATATCTTCTCCTGATCTACATATGATCCATCTTTAGAAGAGAATGAAATCTTACTAAATTATCCATTAAATCCAGCATATCTTTTTTAATCAGTTCCACCTATAATTAATTTTAAATATTTAGTATCCTAATGTGTTATTTATGTATGTTAAATCTATTAAAATTTATCCTATCCAAATCTTATAAATCCTACTGCTTTTCCTAATTCTTTATTATAAGAATAATAAACAAATGTCCAAACTCCTTCAATATCATCTGGGTAAGTCACTCTCTATTCTTAATTTGTATTCTTTGAAATTAAATTACAGGTTGAAAATTGATAAAATCCCTTTCCTAAGAATATTGCTAAAACTCTATCTCCCATATTTAAATCACTATAATTTTTGTTCCATGTCAATCTTGAAATAAAATACCAAGGAGCTGTTTTACCATTTTGTAATTTCTTTGGATAAAGTGTCAAAAATCTCATCCAAAATCCATAACCATATTAAGTAAATGGTTTCTCACCATCTTCTACTTATTCAAAGCTAGGTTAATCTAAATCAAATCCACTAGACTCAATCTTTTCTTATTTTATTATTGGTTAAAATTGAAAATCTTATGTAGTTTTTATCAATTCCTATATTCCTATATTGAAATTGAAGATTTCTTCATCAAATTACTTCTAATTTTTATAAGCTCCAAATCCAAAATTAACAACTACATATGCTAACTTACCATTTAATCCTGAGTAAAACTTATCCTTTCCAATATATGCATATAATTTCCTTACATAATAATGATTCACATTCTCATAAAGTAATTGATCTTCATCATCCTACCATTTCACATATACATTAGCCTAACTCTTTATCTTTGAATATCCAAAGTATATATAATGCCATCTAGTATGTCTATCATTTAAATTTATATTTTTATATAAATTTGCATTCCCATTACCAATCATATTTGTATATGTGTAAGTTGGAAATTGATATACACCTCCTCTAGTTTTTCCTAACCAACAGGATAATGTTCTATCTCCCAAAAAACTATCAGTAGATTCCTTTCTAATTTAGATTCTAAATAAATTATGCCACTCTTTTTCCATCAATGTAGACCACTTAAACCATCCACTTACTGCATATTCTGTAGGAAATTTTACTTTCTTATTTTTTATTTCTTTATATTCATAAATATTCTCAGAAGTTCGTACTTCTGCATTTTCTATAATTCTGACACTTTACACTTACTCTATGATTTTATGAGGTACATCAAGAATATTTAATTTCATTATTAGCTATTCAGATGATTAAAGAAATGTTCCAACTCTTATACCAAAAGTAATCTTTGTAAATATTCCATTAAATGCTGGATATCTATTTTAATCGCTGCCTCCTAATATAAATCTCAAATAAATAGATGGAGCATGTTTCACATTCTATTTTATTGTTTAAAATTTTTAATTTCCATATTTTATATGTCCAATAGCTTATTCCTATTCTGCACTATATGAATAATAAATGTATGTCCAAACTCCTTCAATATCATTTGGATAATCAACATTCAATAACACATTAGGTTTTAAACCATCAATATCATAAGTAGTGAAATGGTAATATCCTGCTCCTTACCATATAGCTAATACTCTATCACCCATCTTCATATTTTCATAATTTTTATTTCGACTCAATCTACTTATAAAATACCAAGGAGCATCTTTTCCTTTTATTAATTCTTTCGGATAAAATGTTAAGTATCTCATCCAAAAACCATAACCATATTCCTAGTAATTATTTGCTACAGTAATTCCCTAATCTACGATTGGATTTATCCCTTCTTTATCATTTGATATTTCATTTTCATATGTTTAACCAGGAATTATCTTAACTTCTAATATTGTGTCTGGTTCTTCCTCTTCATTTTATACACATAAATCACCTTCTTAAATTGGCATATCTATTGTTTATTAATCATTAGTATCATCATTTTTATGATCAATTATTTTGAAATCAACTTGCTCCTATTGCTTTTATTCTTAATCTTCTGATGATTTCTCTTCTTATTTAGTCTATTATTCGATTTTTTCTTATACTTTTTTTTCTTATTATTCTGTTGTTTCATTAACCTCTTTAATGATTTATTCAGTAGATTAGGTTTTTTCATTAATTTATTATGAGGTTTCATTAATTTATTAGGTTGTTTTATTTATTTATTCATTTATTTAATTAGATTATTATATATTCTCATTACTTTAATTGGTTGTTTAATTAGTTTCTTTTGTTTATTAGATCTATTAATCTGTTTATTATGTTGTTGTTTCAGTTGATGATTAAATTTTTTGATTGTTTATTTCTGTAGTTTAATTGGTTATTTAAGTATTTTAATTTATTTATTAAATCGTTTCATCTTTTTTTTGAGTATTTTACTATGTAATATTATTAGTTTATTAAGTTGTTTCATTTATTTTTTAGGTAGTTTGATTATTTTATTATATTGTATCATTTGATTATTCAGTTATCTTATTTGTAATTTAAGTTTTTTCATTATTAGTTTATTGAGTTGTTTATGTGACTTACTATTATGTTTATTCATTTGTTTAATTTATTTATGATGTTGTTTATGAAACCTTTTCATTTTTATCATCTTTTACATTAACTGTCTCAGTTATTTATTCATTTTAATTTGTTGAATTAATTTATTAGGTTGTTTTATCAATAGTTTCTTTTTATTCAATATTATGATTTATTGTTTAACTATTTTTTTAAGTATTTTCATTTATAACTTATTTTTGATCAGTAATATTGTTAATTTATTATTCAACTTAAGTTTATTAGGACTCTTAATTTATAATTGTTTATTATTAGTTTGTTGTATTTTATTCAGAAGATTCCTATTAAGATTAATTATTATCAATGTTAATAACTGATTAGTTTTAAATAGGTTTATCAGTTGGAGTTTCTTTATCATTAATTTATTCTTAACATTAAGGCTATTCTGCTTCATCAATTTATCCAGCTTGTTTTAATTCAGGTGTTTCTGAATAATTCTCATCTGTATTATCATTTTCAAAAGGAACTGGTCCTACAACTGGTATTTATTGAGGTTTATTAATAGTTTAATTAGTGGGTTATATCTATTGTTGTTGTTATTCAGGTTATTTGATTTCTTATGAAGGATTTTACTATTTTTTTTAAGTAATTGGAATTTATGGTTTTATAACTTGGCTACCTTTCAAATATGACTCCACTGTATCTGAAATTTCATTTTTAGTTTTAAATGATCCATTACCAAGATTGAAGTACACATAAGCCAACTTACCTGATAAACCTGGATAAAATTTATCTTTTCCAATAAAAATATAAAATGTAGGAGTAACATAATGGTTAATATTTTAATACAATAAATCCTATGTTTCAGTCGGCCAAGTTACTTAAACATATGCTTATCTTGTTGTTCTTGAATATCCAAAATAAACATAAAACCATTCTAAATGTTTTTAATTGTGTTTAATATTTTGATAATAATTTGGATTTCCTTTATTATTGGTATCATCATAAGTATAAGTTGGAAAATGTAAGACTCCTCCTTCTATAGAACCAAGCCACATACAAAGAGTTCTATCTCCCAAATAAATATCTGTAGAAGGTGATTAAATTTAAATTCTAAAAATATTATGCCAGGGTGATTTCTAAGCTCCTATCCATTTAAACCAACCACTAATAGCATATTCTTAAGGAAATCTCTAATCAGGATTATTTAAAGTTTTATCTATTGGATCATCAGTCTCTAATCTTTATGTTTCACTTTAGACAATTTCATTAGTAATTAAATCAGTTAAACCAACTTTTGGTTCTTCTAATTTTTACACAAATTCTATAAATTGATCTTTTGTTTCTAATAAATTATCTTTTGATATAGTTATCATTATTTTAGAAATAAATCCATTAAATCCTGGGTATCTATTTTGATCATTCCCTCCAAAAATGAACTTTAAGTAATTTATATTAGGGTGTTAAGCATTTATACTTCTATATTAAATATCAGATTATGAATATCTTATAAATGAATTTGCTATCTGACTTTATTTACTATATGAATAATGAATGTATGTCCAAATACCTTCAATATCTTAAGGATAATCAATATTTTATATTATGTTAGCTTGATTCTTTTGTGTATCACATGTAGTAAAATGATAAAATGACTATCCTAACCATATTGCTAATAATCTATCTCCCATTTAAACATTATCATATTTTTTATTTGATGTTAATCGAGAAATGAAATACCAAGGAGCATTCTTACCTTATTAAAGTCGTTTTGGATATAAATGCATAAATCTGATCCAAAAACCATATCCATACATTTATGGGGATTCTTCAAATTCTTTTTCAAAAACAGGTTCAACAGATTCAAAAGATACCTCTCTGTCTTCATTATCTAAAAATGATGGCTTATCTTCTTTAGGTTCTACTTATATTTTTTCACAGTCTTCTTATTAATCAATTTATTTTTAACCTTCTTTAATAAGATTTGTATTTCCAACTTCATAACCAAATAAATCATCTTTAATAATGAAATCTGGTTTATTTCTATAAGATCCTGATCCAAGTACAAAATTCACATAAGCAATTTTACCATTAAATCCAGGGAAATGTTCATCCTTTCCAATATAAGTATGAAATTGAGGAGTATAGTAGTGATTTACATTTGTGTATTCTAAAGTTTCAATACCTGTAGACAATCTTACTTATACAAATGCTTTTTTTAATTTTTTAGAATAGCCAAAATATACAAAAAACCAATCTAAATGTTTATTTTTGTGATTAATATTATTGACTAAATTAGATGTTCCTTCACCTTTCATATTTTAATAAGAATAAGTAGGAAAATGGAAGATTCCTCCTTAAGCTGTTCCTATAAACATACATAATGTTCTATCTCCAAGAAATTTATCTGTAGATGGTTTATTGATTTAAACTCTAAATACTGAATGCCATACTTATTATTAAGTAATCTCTTCCCATTTAAACCAACCACTAATAGAATATTCAAGTGGAAATTTTTTTGATCCACCTCCTATTGCCATATAATCACCTTCAAGGGATGGATTTCTATTAATTTCTTAATCAATTAATTAAACTCTAAATATTGATTCAAAATCTTATTTTGGTATTTTTACTGTTTTAAATAAATCAATAAATTTATCTAGAGTAGGAATAAATACACCTTAATTAGTTGATAAAAAAATTGATGAAAATTAACCATTAAATCCAGGATATTAATTGTTGTCTTTTCCACCAACCATAAATCTTAAATATTTAGATTTAGTATGTAACACATTATGAATAATTTATTGTGGATTTTCACTTCCGAATTATATTAAACCAACAGCTTATTTAGATATAGAATTATATGAATAATAAATATATGTCCATTCTCCATCAATATCATCATGGTGATTAATATTTTAAATTAAATTTGGTTAATTTTAAACTTCATCACATGTAGTAAAATGATAGAATCCTTAACCTAACCATAAAGCTAATAATCTATCATTCATTGCTATATTTTAATAATTTTTATTTGATGTCAATCTACTTAAAAAATACCAAGGAGCATCCTTTCCATTTTCTAGTCTCTTTGGATAGAGTGTCAAAAATCTTAACCAATATCCATATCCATATTCTGTGAACTCTTATTCTTTTTCTATTGTATTTTCAAAAACTGGTTTTTCTTGATCAACTGATGATTCATGTATTGTTCCATTATCTTCTATAACCATTTTTTACTCAGCTTCAACCTTAGTTTAAGGCTCTTTATTAGATTGTTGACATTGTTCTATTGCTTTTTGAACTTCTTTTGACTTTTCTTCCAGTTTATCAAAAACTAACTATAATTTATTCAATTATTCTTACTTATTATGTTGTAAGTTCTTGTTTTAACTCTTCTCTCTCACTTATAAGAAGATTGATCATTTAATCAATTTATGTACAGTATTGTAGAATATCTTCAAATGACTAAGCTTATTCAATAAGATTAATTGATTGAATTAACTTTTATGGACCTTCTTATCTCCATTTAGTAAATGTTGTTTCTTCACTTAAACTGATTGAATTTACTAGTTCTACATAAGATTATCTGTATTGCAATAATTCTCTATTAATTTTTATTATATACTTGGCAATTCAGGATTCTCATTATTTTTTATATTTGTAATAACGAGTTTTAATGCTGATAGATTATGCATATCATCTTCTAAATCGTTTTTATTTTTTAATATTTCCATCCAAGTATGTAACGATTGTTACAATTTAAGCAAGTCTTTATCACAATCTAAATTACTCTACTCTAATATATTCACTTTTTCTAGATTCTGAATCTAAACTTAGCTTTCGAGTTTTATTTGTTCTTAAACTAATTTTATTATACTAATTTACATGTGATGACAATCATCATTATTAATAAGAAGTAAACTTTCAACTTCTTCATTTGAATCAATAAATAATAATAAATAATAAAAACTAATTTAATATAAACTAGTTCCGTTTTTTTTGGAGAATCAATTTTGCTAGAAATATATTTCTATAATACTCTCTATAATTCAATAATGTATATTATGTTTTATACTATATAATATAAGAAAAATATCAAAAGTTTCCCAAATGATTCGATTTATAGATTATTACATTTATTTTAGTATTCTTTACTAAGTAATCTTTGAGGTATATTTCTGTTTAAAAACTATATTTATAAAACAAATAATTAGAACTTTTAATCATTAATTTTTGAATAACTATACTAACTTAAATACAAACTATAATGTATTTATGTTATTCAATTAAATTAGACAATTTATGAAATCTATAATTTTATTGTAACAGTAAAAATAAAAATTAAAAATTTGCTCTTCCCTTCTTAAAAAAAAGATATTAAAACTCATTATTATTAATATGATTTAAAAGAAGGAGCAAAGAAAAAAATAAATCTTCTCCTGTATCTTGAAATACTTAGAGTTTATGATCAATTTATTATAATAGTTCTACAAGGCTATATAGAATAAATCATGAGCTTATAATCATTAGTGATGCTAGCAAAAAATATTATCAAAACAATTGTTAAAAGAAAAGTTCATAATATTTTAAGTATTTCTAATTTCATTTATGTTAAATAAATGAAAAAAAGTAAATTATTATAATAATTTAACAAAATTCATCAAAAAAATCTATCTAAAAGAGTGTCTACTTTTCTTTTTGGTCTCATAATTATTTTAATTAATCTGATATCTAGATTTCCAAAAGGCAATTCAACTAAAAGTGATAATAGGAATCCAAAAATCATAGAGAGTACTATGGCACAAATAGCCATAAATTTAAATAAGGTGTTATTCATAAATTTAGAATTAAATCTAAGTTAAATACATAATATATACAAATCATATGCTCCTACTAAATTAGGTAAGACGATAAATGTTAATCCAAAAGTAAATAAAAATCTACAGAGTTCATGATAAATATGTTAGAACCATATTGGCCAAGCCATTTAAATTTGATTAAATTCTTTTTTCCATCCAAAAAAGGAAATGACATGATACCAAATCCCAATCCATAACAACAAATTTACATTATTAATCTTTAGCCATTGTTTTATGCATAATCTCTAAATTATTTTAAATATATAATTTTTCTACTATTTTTAGATTATTTGAATTCTCTATAAAGTATTCCAATTAACAATCCTAAAAAATAAGGAGGTGCTCTAGCATAGGAACTAGCATAAAATTTATAATAATAATCTGGATTATAAGTATTTCTTCCTGGTATAAGAAAATCATAATGAATACTAAGATAATAAGCCCATCCTAAAGTAGTAATGATCATAAATATGATAAGAATTTTAGAAAACACCTTGTAATTAAAACAATAAATAAAAATAGGTATGAGACATGTTAAAAATAGTTGAAAATCACATGTTAAATATCAACCCCAACCAAAACAGAGAAGCCAATCTTCATAGAAATTATCTATAAATAAAGCCTTTTTCCAAGCACCTCCAGGACATTAGGTTGCTCTTTCTTATAAAAACCATCTTGGTCCAGTTCCAATATAAGGAATAATGTATGAATTAATAGCAATACATAATAAATAACAAGGCCATATTCTCATTAATCTATGTACAGATTATGCTTTTCTTTCTTCACACATAACATAACCTAAAAAGAAACCACCAACCCAAAAGAAAATATCAACTGCAAACATCATATCATAAAGTATTATAATAACCCAAGATTTATATTACAAATTAACTTCACTAACATATGTTGTTGTAGCAGTCATTTCATTTACATGATAAAATTGCTTTTTTTCCATTAAAAATAGTCAAATTAGGATCTATTGTTTTAAGATTGATTATTTTATTGTAATTTACAATAGCTTATAGTTTCTTATCCATCTCCAGAATTGAAATCTTTAGCTGAACATTTATTTGAATGACAAAATCCATAATATAGCTTATATAATTACTAATCTATCTCCACTGAAGTATAAGCATTTTCATCATTACGAAAACATCTTTCGTAATATCCAAACTTTCCTACCCAATCACCTGATAGAGTATAATAAGGTAGAATTGTTTCAAGTTGTTAATTTATAGGTAATTAAATCAATTATTTTAGTCCTCCAATACAATATGACGAATTATTATTAGCCACTAAACATAAAGTGCTCATTAAAATCAACATCAATTATTATTTCGATAACTATTAATTATTTTTTATATTAAATTTTATATATTTTCTATTTCCTTTTTTCTTTTGTAATTGAATCTATTAGATTTTGAGAATTTCAGATTTTTAATATACAAATNTAATAATAATCTGGATTATAAGTATTTCTTCCTGGTATAAGAAAATCATAATGAATACTAAGATAATAAGCCCATCCTAAAGTAGTAATGATCATAAATATGATAAGAATTTTAGAAAACACCTTGTAATTAAAACAATAAATAAAAATAGGTATGAGACATGTTAAAAATAGTTGAAAATCACATGTTAAATATCAACCCCAACCAAAACAGAGAAGCCAATCTTCATAGAAATTATCTATAAATAAAGCCTTTTTCCAAGCACCTCCAGGACATTAGGTTGCTCTTTCTTATAAAAACCATCTTGGTCCAGTTCCAATATAAGGAATAATGTATGAATTAATAGCAATACATAATAAATAACAAGGCCATATTCTCATTAATCTATGTACAGATTATGCTTTTCTTTCTTCACACATAACATAACCTAAAAAGAAACCACCAACCCAAAAGAAAATATCAACTGCAAACATCATATCATAAAGTATTATAATAACCCAAGATTTATATTACAAATTAACTTCACTAACATATGTTGTTGTAGCAGTCATTTCATTTACATGATAAAATTGCTTTTTTTCCATTAAAAATAGTCAAATTAGGATCTATTGTTTTAAGATTGATTATTTTATTGTAATTTACAATAGCTTATAGTTTCTTATCCATCTCCAGAATTGAAATCTTTAGCTGAACATTTATTTGAATGACAAAATCCATAATATAGCTTATATAATTACTAATCTATCTCCACTGAAGTATAAGCATTTTCATCATTACGAAAACATCTTTCGTAATATCCAAACTTTCCTACCCAATCACCTGATAGAGTATAATAAGGTAGAATTGTTTCAAGTTGTTAATTTATAGGTAATTAAATCAATTATTTTAGTCCTCCAATACAATATGACGAATTATTATTAGCCACTAAACATAAAGTGCTCATTAAAATCAACATCAATTATTATTTCGATAACTATTAATTATTTTTTATATTAAATTTTATATATTTTCTATTTCCTTTTTTCTTTTGTAATTGAATCTATTAGATTTTGAGAATTTCAGATTTTTAATATACAAATTTTTTATTATCTTTACATTTTATTTAATTCTCTTGTTTCTTATAGTATTATGTTGTAAAATCTTATTATTTAATAAATTTTAATATAATGTATATTATTATTTATATTGATCAACTCAGTTTAATAGATCTAACTTCTTCTATTCCATATCTAGTTCTGCAAACTGGACATGCTCTATTACGATTACGTTAATTATCTTCAATGCAAGGTTTACAGAACATATGAAGACATTTCATTAATATTACTTACTTAACTCTCTTTTTACATTATTAACAATCTACCATCATTTTCATAGATATCCATAATTCATTTTAATTGTCCTTAGATTCTCTTCAAAAATATAATATAATATATTTACGATTTCAATTATAATTTTAGTTATTTCAGTTTACTTTTTGATTTTTCTGCTTTTTTCATAAACTTCACATTAATAGATTCACTCAATTTCTCTCTTTCTTATATAATTTTAGTTTCTTCTATCATTTTATGAACATCCCATTCTTTTTACAATAGTTTTTAAACATTATCAGCATCTTATTTTTACAAAAGTCTAATTGTTTCTTGATTACTTTTTCTTTCATTTTCAAAAGTAACAATCAATTTTTTAAATTGTTCATTTTATATTTAAAATTATTTAATGGTTTCATCTGCTGCTAATAATTTTTGATTCAATAACTGCTACATAATTAATATAATTACAGCTTTTTCAGTCTCAAATTTAATTCTCTCATCTACCTTTTCTTACATAGCCCTACTTAAATTATTTTAAGTTTCATTGACTAATTTGCTTAAGTTTTTATTAGTTTCAGTTATGGAATTAAATGAATTGGAATTGTAATCTAGTTCATCAATAAGTTATTAAATTTACTCGGATTATCATAATTGATTACCTTTTTGATATTGTTTTAATCAATAGTTTTCTTATCCAATAGTTATTATAAGCTTTTGACTTTCTCATCCCTCATTTTGACATATCCAACAAATTCTCTAAATTTCTAAATAAATTCATTCGATTTATTATTCACATATTCTTATTCTATTTCAAATAAAATTTATTTATGATTCTCATATCTAAGAGTTACTTACTCAATCTTTTCTTCCTCAACCATTATTTTATAAACACTAAGACTCTACTTCAATTCATTATTTTAACTTATTAATAATTATTTCTAATTAATAGCATCTATTAATTAATTATTTATTTCTTTATTTCTTTCTCTACACTATTGTAATTCTATTTTCAACTCTTCAACCACTTTTGATACATTTTCTACTTATGACTTTAATTCTTCTATTAATTTACTCTATAATTAATCATCTGTCTATTTTATTTCAATTTTAACACTCTCTTATTATAAAATGAGATCTTTCATTTTTTATTCACATTCTAATGACAATTATTGAATTTAAATTTCAAACTTCTCTTATTATTCTTTACACATAAATTAAACCTTTCTAATAGATATTATTTTATACTTATATAAGTTGATCTTCTACATTAAATAATGTTGATGTAAGATAATTATTTTATTGTACTAAATCAGCAAATAGTGTAGTTTAAAAGAATTGTTCTTCTACTAATTTTTATTGTAATTTTAACTCTTCTATCTAATGTAATAATTGAGATTTCTATTCAGAATGCTCTTCAATTAATTGTTTAATATAATCACTATGTTTTATGATTTTTTATGTACTTTTGTTATATTTAATTCAATTTTGTATATTCTTCTTGTATTTCTTGAACTTATTCTTAACCCTGAGGAATCTGCAATTATTATTATTATTAGTCTCCATTTACTAGAAAGTATTTAATTGAATCAATTTGATTGCTCCCACATAAACATTCATAGTTTTCTTCTTGTATATCCTCCTAAGTGATCTTTTTTTATATTGCCTCTTCATTATATGCCATAATCATTCGTATTCTACGAGAAAGTTATGTGAATAATTTTTTATAGTGATTAAACTCTTCATCTTAAATTTCAACCTTGTCTTTTTATTCTGCAAGCTAGCAACTAGATATATTGGATTGTTTTATACAGATTTCATTTCATATAATTCCTTTTTTAATTAGTCAATCTTTGTTGCTAACATTGTATTTTGACTTTTTAATACATGTTCACCTAATTCTGTTACTCTCTATTAATCACTTATTTTCTTAGGTTTCATATTTAAATTTTTAATTAAATTTTATATTGAAGTCTTTTCATTCAAATTGCTAAAAAGTATTTTATAATAATTAAAAAATATTGATGACTGAATAAAAAGTATTCTAAGAATACTAAAATGTTAAGCAATTAATAGAAATAATAAAAATTATTAAAAAGGTTAGTTATCTGTGTTTATAAATGTTTCACTTATGAATAGAAAATGACGATGTAATATAAAAATTATGTAAAATATTGATAAAATGATAAATCCTTAAATTTGATTAATTTGAAAACATTAATACCACAAGAATATTTTTTTTATTCTTATAAGGGGGTCCATAGATGTTCTGAGGAAATTGGTCCATTCCAAAATCTCTCCATCTATTTATATATATTAAATAAACAAAATGGAGTAGGATTTAAAAGGAGCAACAATCTAATCTCTGTAAACTACTGATGATACTGCAAGGACTAAGCGCCCTTATAATAAAATTTCTTCAGAATTACGTGCTCAAATTTTACATGCTTTAACAGTTGATAAAATACCTCTTTCTGAAGTAGTATCTAAAAATCAGCTTAGGTGGCTTAGAAATATCAGACTAAACCTTGTACATGCAAAGCAATTTTACTTACTTATGAATTGGAAGGAAGATGTGAAAAGAAAACTTCTAGAAGAGAAAGAGTTGAAATAGAATCAAAAATTAGAATTGTTATTTTAGACCCTTTAGGAAATAAGCATTCAACTTATGAAAATGCCAAATTTTCAAAAGTATGTACTTTATATTTCATTAATAAAAATAGCTATATACAGAAGATAAAGAACTAAGTCTGACTGAAGAATTCAATATTTAGAAAAAAGTTGTCCAAGAAGTTAGTCAACAATTAGGAGAATTATAAACAAGTTGTTATCATTTACAATCTCAACAGAATTAGACTCAAAATGATGAACATGCTCCTGATAATATTTTAAGAGGCTTAAATATGGGATTACATTTAGTGACATCCAAAATTAGAGAAGGATAAATTTCATTTAATAAGAAAACTAACAAAGAAATCAAAGAAATTAATAAGTAAATCATTCAAGTTAATAATTATAATAATAATAATATTAAGAGTGAAATACCATTTTAAATTAATTATACCTAAATTTAGTAATTTTTGAAGAGTGTTGAAACTAAATCAGAAAGCAATCCATATATTATAGATTAATTGAATCAATTAACAAATCAAACTATTTTATAGATGAAACTAATCTAAAAGATTCAGCAAAGGGACTCTTAAATAAGACAATTTCAATAAAAAGTTAGTACAATTATTAGGAAATGTTTTGAATGCCAATCTTGATGTTATTTATAAATTATTTCTATTTATTCATATTCATCCATTTCAATTATATGCATAATCTATTCAATTGCTACATTTTATTTAAATTATATATTATTTTGAATGTATTAGGAATTTCATTAAAATAGATAATAAGATTATTTTTGATTAAATATCTATAGAAGTATAGAAGGTAAATGATTAAAGATATAATAAAGAGGTTATCAATAAAAGATAGTAATTTTTAGAGAGAAAAAAAGAGTGTATAAGGTTGACAGTAATTTGTAATTGTAAATAGAAGATGAGAGCTGATAGTAAAATGAGTTCATTCTAGTTTTTAAATCTTCTAAAGTTATTTATGATATTTTAAATAAAGTGTAATGAAAAAGTTCAATTTTTTAAAATACTAGTTCAGCAATATATTCTAGTATTAAAATCTAGGTGAAAGAAATAAATTAAATGAATACAAATAAGGATTTCTGATAAGCAAAGATTTCGAGTCTTACTATAATTATATGAAAGTAAGAAAATGAAAAATGATTAAGATTCTAAGTAGATTAAAGATGTATGATGAGATATTACAAGCAAAGAGGAGCGTGCCTTTATTTAAGAGGATATCATTTTATAGAGAGCCAAAAAATAAAATAGTAAAAGATTGGATTAGATAAGCATAAGATGAATATTATCATTAAAATCCATAAGATTTGCCATTACCTTGGTTTGTAAAATACCCGATAATATTTTTCATATCTTATGAAGTATTTTCTACCATTTTTGATGTGGATATAGAAATAAGTTTGAACATAATTCCAGAAGAAAAAGAAGTAAAAAAGACAACAGGATTTAAAGATGTGATAGGAATAGATGATTATAAAGAAGAATTATAAGAGGTGGTTGATTTTTTAAGAAACCCTAGTAAATATCATGAATCAGGAGCAAAATTGCCTAAAGGTATATTGCTGGTAGGTAGACCAGGAACAGGTAAAACTTTATTAGCCAGAGCTTTGGCAGAAGAAGCAGGTTGTACATTTTTGTACAAATCAGGTGCAGAATTTGATGAAATGTTTGTAGGAGTAGGTTCTTCTAGAGTTCGCTAATTATTTATGGAAGCTAGATAGAAATAGCCATGTATTATATTTATAGATGAGATTGATTCAATAGGTGGATCAAGAGGTGGAGATGATCCTAAGAGATATGGGACAATAAATTAAATACTTACAGAGATGGATGGATTTAGATAGAATGAAGCAATAATAGTAATAGGAGCAACAAATATGGAATAATCTTTAGATGCAGCATTAACAAGAGCAGGAAGATTTGATAAAACAATTCATATAATGTTACCAGATATAAAAGGGAGAAAATAATTATTCGAATATTACTTAAAATAAATAAAACATTCAGATATTGATACTTAATTATTAGCTAGATAAACAACTGGATTAACAGGAGCAGATATTGAAAATATTGTAAATATAGCAATAATGAATGCAGTGAAAGAGAAAAGAATAAAAGCATGTGGAAATGATTTTTAACATGCGATAGATAGAACAAGAATGGGTATAAGATATAAGTTGACAGATTAAGATAAAATATTAACAGCATATCATGAAAGTGGACATGCTTTAATAAATTTATTAACAGAACATACTGTACCTTTAGATAAAGTGACTATATTACCTAGAGGTAGTGCTTTAGGTTATACATCAATGGTACCAAAAGAAGATACATTATCATAAACAAGAGGTAATATTTTAGCTGCAATTGATGTATGTATGGGTGGCAGAGCAGCAGAAGATTTAAAATTTGGTAAAGATAATATATCATCTGGTTGTGGTTCAGATTTAGCTAATGCTACTGCTATGGCATATGCATATGTTAAAGATTTAGGGATGGGAGATACACTCATATCAGATGCTTAAACTAGTAAAAAATTTAGTTATTTAATTGATATGCAAGTTAAATTATTATTAGAAGTAACATTAACTATTTATTTATAGGAATCTTATAATAGAGTTAGAAATAAATTAGAACAAAATCAATTAATACTACAAAGATTTGCTGAAGAACTTCTTAAACATGAAACTATGACTGCTGATCAATTGAAAAATTTAATGTGATGAATTATTTATACCATTTGAGTCACAAATATAATCAATTATTATTTCCACTACTTTCAATTTACTATGTATTACTCCAATATTAGATCTAATTCCCTTTATAAAGTATCCTTATTCTCTTTATTAAATCCTTTAATATTTGCTTCTTTCTAATTCACATTATTATATTCTACAAATCGAAATTTGTTTTAGTTTCCACCCAAATTTGTTTCTTATCCTGTTAAAATACAGTCATTCTATTCAGGTTCAATTACTAATTAATACTAAGGTTTTTCTTTCTTCTTCTTTACTTTAATTTAATTTGTCTCTATTGTAGCTCCTTATTATCCTTAAAATTAAGGTGATACAGGTTCCATTTATTAATCTTAATTATCATCACCCAATAAAAATGATGTCTTTACTTAATTATTCTATTTCTAGATTTATCTTTGATTATATGTATATGATGAATTCTTTCTTAATAATGAATTTTATTTTGGTTCATCTAAAAATGGATGTTTCAATAATTCATCTGCTGTTGATCTTTGTTTAGGATCAATCTATAAACATCTTTATAAAAAATCTCTAGCTTCACAAGATTACAATTATTCAGGAATTTCAGGAGGGTTTTTAGATTTTCCTATTTTAACCATTATGGCTATAGCATCTTTATATTCATAGTAAGGTGGTTATCCTGTTGCCATCTCTATTATTGTACAACCAAGACTCCAAATATCTGCCTTCTTTCCATACTATTCTTAATTTATTACTTCTGGAGCCATGAAATTAGGAGTTCCACATATAGATCCTACACTATCATGTGTTAAATCATTTAATTATTTACTACTTCCAAAATCTAGAATTCAAATCTTGATATACCTGCTAGCTTACATCGACCAGAATTATCAATCAATATATTTCCTCCCTTTATATCACGATGTATCACATTCTTTCCATGTAAATAACTTAATCCTAACAGTATTTATTTCAAATATGTTTTAATTAGTCTCTCTTTAAAACAACCAAATCTTTCTAGCAACGTTTATACTGAACCTCCACTTACATATTCCAAGAATATATTAATGAATTGATTTTTTTATTCGCATCCTATATAACGTACAATATTTGGATGCTATAATTTACTCAACATTTCAATTTCTTTTTATAATTGCTTAACTTTCTACACTATTTACATATATTACATCATCATTTTGATTTTATATATAAACTTATTTGACTGCCATTATCTATCCATTTTTCTAGAGTCCCATTACTACTTTTCCAAAAGCACCTTATCCTAATACTTCTCCCTATTCCCAATTATGAATACTTTAAATAATATTATAATTATTATACTCTTAATCTGATTTAAGTGAATGTCTCTCTAGCTCTTCTACTTTATTATCAATTATTATAACTTCTACAATTTTAATAAATGATTATTCAAGTTCTTCTTTTTTCTCATTTTGATTATTTCTCTTAATGTATTTATATGTTTTAGTTGGTTTTAGTTGGTTCTTTTATTTTGTTAAGCAACAACCCATTTTTTATATTTTTAATTTAATGATAAACACTCATATATAAATTTAAAAGTTGAAAAATATTATTTAAACAATACAATAATTTTAGATAGACATATGATAAAATCTAAAATAATAAAATGATACAATCTATTAAAAATGAAGTCATTAATTAAATAAATGAAGTCATCATTATTTACAATTTAAATATTTATTAATTACAAAATAACATTTATAATAATGCAATACGCAATTTTATTAGTATTTTTCACATCTGTTTTAAGTTTAAACTATATACCAAAAGTAGAAATAAATTTAGGTGATGCACCAAAACTTAGATGGAAAAAGGCGATTAGAACAATTCTAAATGAATTTGGTTATGAAAATTCTTTTGGACCAGTTTTTGAATTCCATAACAAAAATACATTCTATATACTATAGCCATAAGACTATACAACTATAGCTCAAGCAATAAGAACACATTATCCTGAATATTCATTAGAAATAGATGGAATTGTGGAAGAGTTCGGCTTAAGTTAAATCTCATTTGAATATTTATCTGCTTGGGCATATTTTGATGAAATATCTCATATATCAAGTGACGTCACTGAATGCACAAGTGTTCTATTATCAGTTGCAGATCAAATTTTACATGGAAAAAACATAGAATAGGCCCCAATTTAAGCAAAGAATATTACTTTACATTTAATCATTAAAGAAAATGCAAAGTATTTAGGGGAATCAGTTGAATGGAATTGGTTTTAAGTTGGATTTAGTACTTTACTTAAATACAATGTTGCGTCACTCCAATTTAATTGGAGATTAGGTGATTCTTTAACTAAAGAACAGCTCTTAACATTTATTCAATAAGGAGTACCTTCTTTAGCTTGGACATATAGATTTGTTTTAGAAAATGATAATTTGAACACATTTAATAGAGTTGTCTCTTATCTTGAATAAAATTAAGTTGCTAGTTCTCTTTACAATATTATAGGAGGAATTGGTAGAAATTAAGGAGTGATCATCTCTAGAGATCCTTTCAATATGTACCCAACTATTAGTTTGAATACTTCAATCCAAAATGAAATCAATTTCTAATATATGGTACAAACTAATTATGATCATTGGTTGCCTGACCCTTTCAATGATAAAAGGCGAACAATTGCAGAGAATTTGTTGGATTAGTTATAGAACAATCTATGGAATGAATTTGGAGTTTTAGCTGTTATGGAAACTTATCCAATCCATAATGATGGTACTTTCTATATTATTATAATGAATGCTAAATATAATAGTTTGATAGCATTTGGATAACCTGANTATTAAAAATGAAGTCATTAATTAAATAAATGAAGTCATCATTATTTACAATTTAAATATTTATTAATTACAAAATAACATTTATAATAATGCAATACGCAATTTTATTAGTATTTTTCACATCTGTTTTAAGTTTAAACTATATACCAAAAGTAGAAATAAATTTAGGTGATGCACCAAAACTTAGATGGAAAAAGGCGATTAGAACAATTCTAAATGAATTTGGTTATGAAAATTCTTTTGGACCAGTTTTTGAATTCCATAACAAAAATACATTCTATATACTATAGCCATAAGACTATACAACTATAGCTCAAGCAATAAGAACACATTATCCTGAATATTCATTAGAAATAGATGGAATTGTGGAAGAGTTCGGCTTAAGTTAAATCTCATTTGAATATTTATCTGCTTGGGCATATTTTGATGAAATATCTCATATATCAAGTGACGTCACTGAATGCACAAGTGTTCTATTATCAGTTGCAGATCAAATTTTACATGGAAAAAACATAGAATAGGCCCCAATTTAAGCAAAGAATATTACTTTACATTTAATCATTAAAGAAAATGCAAAGTATTTAGGGGAATCAGTTGAATGGAATTGGTTTTAAGTTGGATTTAGTACTTTACTTAAATACAATGTTGCGTCACTCCAATTTAATTGGAGATTAGGTGATTCTTTAACTAAAGAACAGCTCTTAACATTTATTCAATAAGGAGTACCTTCTTTAGCTTGGACATATAGATTTGTTTTAGAAAATGATAATTTGAACACATTTAATAGAGTTGTCTCTTATCTTGAATAAAATTAAGTTGCTAGTTCTCTTTACAATATTATAGGAGGAATTGGTAGAAATTAAGGAGTGATCATCTCTAGAGATCCTTTCAATATGTACCCAACTATTAGTTTGAATACTTCAATCCAAAATGAAATCAATTTCTAATATATGGTACAAACTAATTATGATCATTGGTTGCCTGACCCTTTCAATGATAAAAGGCGAACAATTGCAGAGAATTTGTTGGATTAGTTATAGAACAATCTATGGAATGAATTTGGAGTTTTAGCTGTTATGGAAACTTATCCAATCCATAATGATGGTACTTTCTATATTATTATAATGAATGCTAAATATAATAGTTTGATAGCATTTGGATAACCTGATATTACCTAAACTGAAAATTGATAATTTATTTATTTGAATATTAATAATATATTATAAAAAAAAGTTTTATCATAAATATTACTCAATAGTCATATTATTATAAAATAACAATCTTTTTACTTTATTATAATAAATTATACTCTAATGGCAAATAATCATTAAATGGCTGAAATAAGATTGACAACGTAATCCCCAAATAGAAATTACAATCAAATGAATTCTTCTATATAATTTATACCCGATCTTACTCTAGAAAATGCGATTGAGCAGATTCCTTTACCTTAAAAATTAATGATAAAAAAGGGCATTCTTAAAAGATTTTACTATGAGGTAAACATAATTTGTATTATTATAGGATGTAAATAGAAAAAAAATAATTGGATGTAATATTTATGTGAATGAAATGAACGAATAATAATTATAATTATCTAAAAGAGGAAGTATTAAAATATAAAAATAATAGAATAATGTAGAATTTGTATGGCAGATGAAGAAACATCAAGATTTATATCTCCATGTGCTTGTAAAGGAACATTAATGTTTGTGCATGAGGAATGTCTAAAATTATGGATATTATAAAAGAATGGTATTGAAGATGTATTCAAAGATAAGGTAATTATATATTGTAAAATTTAAATAGATTAAATGTGAATTATGTCATTATAGATTTAGAATGTAAATGGAAATTACAAATAGAATAGATTTATAGAGATTTAAAAAAATACCATCTAATTAAAAATTATGTTGGCTTATTTATTTATTGATTATTATTACTCTTATAAGTGGTTTAGTTGGTATGAGGATCTCTAATTAATTTAGCTTTATTTATGGAATTCTAATTATCAAATATAGGAATAGATGCTTTGATGACCATAATGATAGTATTATGTGTTATCTTTCTTGCTTTTCTTATTACCAGCATCATATACTCTTTACAAATTGAAATGATTGAAAATTGGTCTTTATTTCCATTTAAACCAAGAGATGTTAAGTAAGGAAACTTTTTTTAATTATAATCTTAAATGGGAAACAGTTTATCAGGAAGTCCTTTAGCAAGAAAAAGGACAGTACATGTATAAACATGTCCACCATTAGGAAGTTTATAAGTTATTTAAATTAATCAATTGATGACAAGTGGTAATCTTTCTGAGTAATGAACAATTTTTATTATTATCTACTATATTGTTTTTATAATTAATTCAATATGGCAAATAATGAGAATAATAATAATAATGATACATCTACTTAAAATAGTAAATTTGTTTAATTGAATTCTTCATTACAAATCCTAAATGAAAGTATAAACATTCAAATAACATAATTCAGATAAAAAGTGCTTAAAACTATTTATTCAAAAGTAAACTTATTATAAAATAAGGATCCTGTGAGAAGGAAATAGATTGCTTGTAGAATTTATATCAATGATTTGGACTCTGTACCAGGATATAAAGTATCAAAGAGTAAATCTATGAAATATTATTTAGAATAAATATGCAGAATATGTATTTGTGAAGAAGAAACCTCTAAATTTATTGCTCCATGCAAATGTAAAGGAACATCAGAGTTTGTTCATCAAGAATGTTTAAAAATGTGGATCTTAGAATAATAAGGGGTCAATAAAATATATAATGATGAGGCAATTATATTTTATATTTTATTTAGTTATACTGTGAAGTTTGTCATCATAAATTCAATTTTGATGTCGATTTTAATGATAGATTTGATATCAATTAATTTAAAAGGATTAAAAATAAAACTAAACTATGTTGGCTTATTCAAATATTCTTTATTATTCTCTTTATTTTTGGATCCATTCAAATAACTTTAATTTTTGGAATTGAATCTTTAGCGACTGTTGCCATTATTGTTGTATTTGGCTTAATTACTATCATTTTAATTATTTATTTAGTTTTCAATTTTAGTACAGCTCTTAATGTTTAAATGATTGAAAATTGGAATTTCCAAAATTATAAACCGAAACCTTTATCTCAATTACCAAAAAATAAAAAAAAGAAAACAACCAACCATTTCATACGCAATCAAATATAATATACTTGAATATTTTAATTAATAAAAACTTTATTATATAATTAATTATATGCAAGGATTACCTCAAAAAAAGTGTCAACTCCTATTTAAAGAGTAAATACCTGTTAAAAAAAAGAGTTCCTAACATTTAAAATTAAAGACACTCACTTTAAATAATTGGAAATCAAAAGAATTGACTTCACAGTTATTAAGTCCAATTAAGTATTAACCGCCTCCAATTATGGAACCTAGAAGTTAATCAAGAGCTAACTTTTTTTAATCTTAGCATATAATAATAAAAATATTTGATGGAAAACCTAATAATATAAAAAAGCAATATTTCAATTTCTGATTGTCATTTATATTAAATATTTAATACCTTAATCAATTATTCATTTTTACTAAAAAAATTAATAAATCTACAAAAATTTTTAGTTGTAAAAGGAAATATAAAATATATTAACATTTATTTATTATTTTTAGATTAAAGTATATAAATATCTACTAGTAAGAGACAAAACTGACTTTATTTAAGAATATCAATTATATTTAATGATTTCACTTTGTAAATATATAATTCAAACCATTTTAAAACTACTTTTATTTTTAGATTTTAGAAATAGTTCTTATTTTTATTTATTTTCATTATTCATTCTATATGTATGAAATTAATTGTCTAAATTTGCCTAATAAATTTCTAAATTAGGAACTATTCCTTTTTATATTAAGATAGACATGGATTGTTTAAGTCTGATAATTTTTATACTTTTACAATTCAAATATTTTTCATAATGAAAGCTTTGGATGAGAAATTTTTAGGTATATTTTTAAAACCCAATTAAGCAAAAACGATTTTTAATTATATATATTATGTTAAAAACAATTCTTATCTGTGTCTTATTATTATCAGTATTTGGGGGTCACGTTAGAAAAACTCATAAAGACATCCAAAATAAAAAAGCTAGAAAGTTTAATAGTGCTTTTTTCGAATTCTAAAATTTAGGAGAAAAAGATTATCATCTTAGTGCTAAAGAAGCATGTAAACTAATAGAAATATATTATAGAACATTGGGCTCATATCACTTCTGATGTGGATAGTACTACTAAAGGTCATAAATCCTTTATAGAATCTAAATTAGAATACATTCCAGGAGTGGTCGGAAATGTAGTTGATCTTTCCAAGAATGTAGGTGTATATTCATATACTGTTACAGATTTGAATGGAAATATTTTAGAAACAGAAACTGGAGATCATTTAGCCAATAAATTGAATACAGCCTATCTTGAAATGACTTCAAAAATTTAAGATTCAACATCTTTAAACCTTTAAGATAATAACTAACAATGAGATTTAATAGGTTTAATATTCAAACAGTTATTAACATTATCTTTAATTTATTTTTTTTAATTAAATTTACTTTATTCTTGTTTCTTTGCATCCTCCTTATATTATACTGGTATTAATTATAATTTAAAATGATATTTTATAGCAAATAAAAAAAGTAATTCAAAAAAAATTTAGAAATNTTTAAAATTAAAGACACTCACTTTAAATAATTGGAAATCAAAAGAATTGACTTCACAGTTATTAAGTCCAATTAAGTATTAACCGCCTCCAATTATGGAACCTAGAAGTTAATCAAGAGCTAACTTTTTTTAATCTTAGCATATAATAATAAAAATATTTGATGGAAAACCTAATAATATAAAAAAGCAATATTTCAATTTCTGATTGTCATTTATATTAAATATTTAATACCTTAATCAATTATTCATTTTTACTAAAAAAATTAATAAATCTACAAAAATTTTTAGTTGTAAAAGGAAATATAAAATATATTAACATTTATTTATTATTTTTAGATTAAAGTATATAAATATCTACTAGTAAGAGACAAAACTGACTTTATTTAAGAATATCAATTATATTTAATGATTTCACTTTGTAAATATATAATTCAAACCATTTTAAAACTACTTTTATTTTTAGATTTTAGAAATAGTTCTTATTTTTATTTATTTTCATTATTCATTCTATATGTATGAAATTAATTGTCTAAATTTGCCTAATAAATTTCTAAATTAGGAACTATTCCTTTTTATATTAAGATAGACATGGATTGTTTAAGTCTGATAATTTTTATACTTTTACAATTCAAATATTTTTCATAATGAAAGCTTTGGATGAGAAATTTTTAGGTATATTTTTAAAACCCAATTAAGCAAAAACGATTTTTAATTATATATATTATGTTAAAAACAATTCTTATCTGTGTCTTATTATTATCAGTATTTGGGGGTCACGTTAGAAAAACTCATAAAGACATCCAAAATAAAAAAGCTAGAAAGTTTAATAGTGCTTTTTTCGAATTCTAAAATTTAGGAGAAAAAGATTATCATCTTAGTGCTAAAGAAGCATGTAAACTAATAGAAATATATTATAGAACATTGGGCTCATATCACTTCTGATGTGGATAGTACTACTAAAGGTCATAAATCCTTTATAGAATCTAAATTAGAATACATTCCAGGAGTGGTCGGAAATGTAGTTGATCTTTCCAAGAATGTAGGTGTATATTCATATACTGTTACAGATTTGAATGGAAATATTTTAGAAACAGAAACTGGAGATCATTTAGCCAATAAATTGAATACAGCCTATCTTGAAATGACTTCAAAAATTTAAGATTCAACATCTTTAAACCTTTAAGATAATAACTAACAATGAGATTTAATAGGTTTAATATTCAAACAGTTATTAACATTATCTTTAATTTATTTTTTTTAATTAAATTTACTTTATTCTTGTTTCTTTGCATCCTCCTTATATTATACTGGTATTAATTATAATTTAAAATGATATTTTATAGCAAATAAAAAAAGTAATTCAAAAAAAATTTAGAAATATAAGATTAAAAGGATAAGGAGATTGTAATTTATTATAATTAATATGATGATGCTGCAAAATTATTATTATAAATAATAATAATAATAACAATAATATAATTAATAATAATAATATAATATTGTATTGAATGATTATTATTCAATGTTTCTTTTTTCTCCAAGAATTGACCTTATCTGTCAACCAATCTTAAGTTAAAAGTGTAATCATAGTGTGAGGTGCAATTCTGAAATAAAAAGTTGGGAATCCTACCCATAATCCAACAATACCTTCTCTTTTAGCTGTCTATTAATATTAATTTTTATTACTTTTCCCATAGCATCAAAAATAGAAGAATATGGATATACACCTGCTGCATCCTTTTTCATTTTCTACATTTTGGTTTTAGCATTATCAAAAGGTAACGCACAAAATGAACTTAAAAACCCAGCTGCTGCAGATGCTCTATTAGAAATACATTATAATAAAATACAATAATCTAGTTTATTGAGTATCTTTAGTTCCAAAATAATGATTTAATCGTTCTTTTATTTCATCATAAGGTCCCAACATTGCTACATTAATAACAATTGCTCTTATAACTGTTGGAGTAGATCCTCTCCATAATGCTACTATTCCTTCATCTTTTACAATTTTATAAAATGCATCAAAAACATTTTTATATCCTCTTCTTTCTTCAACAGGTAATGTACTATCTGCTTATATTCTTACCAAAGCTAAATCTGCTGGATTACCTGCTAATGAGCCCAGGAAACCTGCTACAATTGAACACCAAGATTTAGCTAAAAATGATGGCTCTTTTCCATTATTTGCTTGCTTTGATCTTTAATACATTGTCTTATAAATTCCCATACGAGTAGTTGTGTAAAATACTTATCTAGCTATTGCTGAATCAATTCCTTTCCAAAAACTCAATACACCACCTTCTTTTAAGATTTCAGAGAAAACACGAAATGGACTAATCTCGCTACCTGCATTAGGACCCAATTTTTCTGATTTGAGTTGAATTCTAACTTTTACTAAGTCAACTGGTTAAACAAAACACGTAGCCACACATCCAGATGAACCACCTATGATAAATGGTTAAACAGTATCAGCAAGTTTAGTCAGCCAATGCTTCTCAAGAACATTTTCACTCATGTTTGATGCGTATTATTGTATTTATTATGAAAATTAACAAATGATATATATTTTGCAATAAATCCAATTATTTATTATATCAATATATCATTTCCATTCCAAAAATATATATTCTATTCTAGATTGTATTAATCTTAAATTTAATTTATCAAATTCATTTTCATTATTTTTACAATCATCAATCTATTCTATAATTAGTTCTACAATTTTTATAAAGAAATTATATAATTTTATATGAAATCGAAATTATTCTCATTATTTCTTAGTTGTTTTTCTAATTCTATTGAATTATACAATTAAACTAAATTCATATCATTACTTAATTTTCAATAATACAATTCATTATTTTATAATAATTAATCTCTATATTCATTAATAAATAAAATTCTATAAACCTAATCGTTTATTTATAATTTTCAATATAAGAGTTAACATTCATAATATTTTGGATAATATCATATTTATTAGACAATCTTATGAAAATAATATCCAATTTAAATCTTACGATTATTAGCTGATATAAAGGTTGATAAATTCAAAGTATAAATTTATTGATGATATATGTGTATTTATTAGTGGATTTCGAAATAAACAAAATCTTTAAATAATTTTAAATTCTGCTTAATCGAATGGCTTAATTTCATAAAGGTTTTACATGGACCTAATGTAAGAGTACTTTGAAAACTAAAAATTCCATCATCAATTTAAGACAAACTGTGACTGCTAATCACGGACCAGTTTTATTAAAGATTGATACTGAGAGAGAATTACAATATACAAATGATTTAGGATGGAATTGGCATAAGAGTTGGAATATCCCAAATATTTCTGTTAAAATTTCTATATAGGATGAAGAATGTACATAATGGATCAATTGTTAAGTATCTTATTTAAGTCTAATTTTAGGTTTAATTATTGGCAGTAAAGGTATTGTAAAATGATCTCTTTGAAGAAGTTGGATTAGAAGGGATTACTTAATATGACATTGTAGATGGAAAAGCTTTCTTTTCGGTATTTTTCAAAAACGATTTTTAGGGTGTGAAATTTAACAGTACTACCTACAATCACTAAGGACATAGATTTTAATTATTAATTATACTGAAAGAGAGGGAGAACATCATTCTTTGTTTATAATCACCTCCTGTTTTTGTAGACAGTAGAAAAAGTGCTAGAGATGAACACAGATAAATCTAATACATCTAACCATTTGAACCTAGATACTTAGATCGTAACTTTTGTAAAAAAGAAAAACATTTTAACGATGTTATTGATGCTCCTATTGAAAATAATGAAAATGGATTACATAATTATTTAACAGCTCCAAATATAAGAAATAAAGTATATATTATTAGATATCTAGATAAAACATCCTTTATTTATGGCACTTAAGTTTTCTAAATGTTTAAACATCTATTATTAATTTAATTTAGAAACTGATAATTATCTAGTTGAATTTTAAAAACAATTAATGTCAAAATATCAATAATCTCAATACATAATTGTCTTTTAATCAAATAACAATAGAATTAGAAAGAAGGTATTGTTTTTATCCAATTTTAGATTGAAGACTCATTAACTCAATTGTTTGCATCAAGTAAGGTAGCTGTTATTGAAAAGAAATATCTTGATGAAACTTAATTTAAAAAACTCGAATACACTTCAAGTGATTATTCATCTGTCTTTAATTAATTATAGCAAATGATGAATTCCTTTTCATAAAATGAATATGTTGAATCTTTCAATTAATAATAATTATAATAATAAATGTAAGAAGAATAATAAGTATAATAATAAGAAATGTAAGAAGAATAATAAAAAGAATTTAAAATTGAACATCAATAATAACAAATTGAAAATGATCAACAAATTTAAAAACCCCCTAAAATTTTATCACATTCAGAACGAAAATCTGCATTTACTAAATATCTTGATAAATTACCAACTAAAAATTTTGAAGAAGAGAAATAGGAATAATTTCAAAGAATGGAAAAAATCAATAACATTCGAGAAATAGAAAATTATGATAAAGTTTAAAAATTAGTGAAAATTGAGGAAGATCTTCATTTAAGCAGGCNTGAAAACTAAAAATTCCATCATCAATTTAAGACAAACTGTGACTGCTAATCACGGACCAGTTTTATTAAAGATTGATACTGAGAGAGAATTACAATATACAAATGATTTAGGATGGAATTGGCATAAGAGTTGGAATATCCCAAATATTTCTGTTAAAATTTCTATATAGGATGAAGAATGTACATAATGGATCAATTGTTAAGTATCTTATTTAAGTCTAATTTTAGGTTTAATTATTGGCAGTAAAGGTATTGTAAAATGATCTCTTTGAAGAAGTTGGATTAGAAGGGATTACTTAATATGACATTGTAGATGGAAAAGCTTTCTTTTCGGTATTTTTCAAAAACGATTTTTAGGGTGTGAAATTTAACAGTACTACCTACAATCACTAAGGACATAGATTTTAATTATTAATTATACTGAAAGAGAGGGAGAACATCATTCTTTGTTTATAATCACCTCCTGTTTTTGTAGACAGTAGAAAAAGTGCTAGAGATGAACACAGATAAATCTAATACATCTAACCATTTGAACCTAGATACTTAGATCGTAACTTTTGTAAAAAAGAAAAACATTTTAACGATGTTATTGATGCTCCTATTGAAAATAATGAAAATGGATTACATAATTATTTAACAGCTCCAAATATAAGAAATAAAGTATATATTATTAGATATCTAGATAAAACATCCTTTATTTATGGCACTTAAGTTTTCTAAATGTTTAAACATCTATTATTAATTTAATTTAGAAACTGATAATTATCTAGTTGAATTTTAAAAACAATTAATGTCAAAATATCAATAATCTCAATACATAATTGTCTTTTAATCAAATAACAATAGAATTAGAAAGAAGGTATTGTTTTTATCCAATTTTAGATTGAAGACTCATTAACTCAATTGTTTGCATCAAGTAAGGTAGCTGTTATTGAAAAGAAATATCTTGATGAAACTTAATTTAAAAAACTCGAATACACTTCAAGTGATTATTCATCTGTCTTTAATTAATTATAGCAAATGATGAATTCCTTTTCATAAAATGAATATGTTGAATCTTTCAATTAATAATAATTATAATAATAAATGTAAGAAGAATAATAAGTATAATAATAAGAAATGTAAGAAGAATAATAAAAAGAATTTAAAATTGAACATCAATAATAACAAATTGAAAATGATCAACAAATTTAAAAACCCCCTAAAATTTTATCACATTCAGAACGAAAATCTGCATTTACTAAATATCTTGATAAATTACCAACTAAAAATTTTGAAGAAGAGAAATAGGAATAATTTCAAAGAATGGAAAAAATCAATAACATTCGAGAAATAGAAAATTATGATAAAGTTTAAAAATTAGTGAAAATTGAGGAAGATCTTCATTTAAGCAGGCTTTAATAATAATAATAATAATAATAATAATAATAATAATAATAATAATAATAATAATAATAATAATATAACTTCTTAAATTAAATAAATCCAATAAATCAAAATTTTTCAATTCTGCTTCAATAAAAATTATAAGAATAGATTCTTCAATATTATTTTATTCAATAGTAGTTGATGTTACTATAAAAGGCCCCTTCTATGTGATATATTTCTATATTCGATCAATAATCATATTTAATCTAATTAATTATAATTTTAAAGAAATCATTTATCATTCATTGTTAAATATTATTCAATTATTTAAGCATTTTTTCTGCTTGAAATATTCCATTTTAGGCTTCAGAACAATTAGAATCAATAGTAGAAGCTTTATCAAAACATTCAATAGCAAGTTGATAATTTTATAAAAGAAGATAACATTTTCCTTTATCACAATGAGCTTATAATAACTTATTATCAAACTCTAATGCTCTATTAAAAGATTCAATGGCTTCTTATAGGAAACCTAAAGCAGATAATGCAAATCCTTTGCTGTGATGAGTTTATGCTGAATCTGGATTAATCTCTAAAGATTAATTTATAGATTCAAGTGCTTATTCATGATCTCCTAATTTAGATAAGATCCATCCTTTATCATTATAAGCAACTGCATCATAAGGATTAATTTTAATTATCTTGTTATAGGATTTAATTGATTCCCAGTACTATCCTAATTCAAATAAAATACTCCCCTGACAATGATATGCCTCAACATAATTAGGGTTTATTTATATAGCTTTATTAAAACAATCTAAGGCTTATTTTTTATTTCCTTAAGTATAAAGCATTTGTCCTTTTGCTTTATAAGCTTAATAATATTCAGGAGAAGCTTTTATAGCCATATCAAAATTTATAAGTGCTTATTCTTTATCGTCTAAAATATTCATAGCAAAGGCTCTCTGTAAGTAGATGCTAGATCTATCTAAAAATTCAGATTTTGATTGTAACATCATATTATAAAATTAATCAGTTGCTATTTTATTACCAGATTTAGCAAGAGCTATACCTTTTGTATTTAAGAAAAAAGGATTTTTTGGTTGAATACTAAGTGCTTTATCTAATGATTCTAGTGCTTCATCTATTCTTGCAAGATTAAGTAAAGCATTTGCTCTGTCATGATAATGATGTTCATTATTTGGTTGATGTTTTATAAGTTCATTGTAGCATTCCAATACTTCTTTCCATCTTCCTTATTTCTTTAATGCTGATGCTTTTCCTTCATAACCATTAGGAAGCTCAAAAAGTCCATAATTATCTGGTTTTATTTTGTTCCCCATTTATAAATTAATTCTTATGATTTTGTCAAAACAATTCGCTGACTCTTTATATCTACCCAAATCCATAAGTGCATAACCTCTTGTTTCATATGCCTCTATATAATTTGGATTTATTCTAATAGCCTCGTCTAATTCTATTATAGCTGCCTTAGAGTCTTTTAAAAAAGAACGCAATATTTCTCCCTTCTGATAATAAGAATTTGCATGTTTATTATCAATATTAGTTGCTTTATTTAAACTTTGTAATGCTTCCTCATAATTACCTATGATAAATAGATTCATTCCTTTTTGATAATAAAGTTCAGCTTTGTCACCATATATATTTGAATTAATCATGCTAGTTAAACGTTTAATTTCTTCTATATTTTTTTGATAGGATATTCCATCTTAAAAATTCTCAGCATCTTCTTCGAAAATTTAATTCTTTTTCATTTTAATTCGAACACTTTTTTGACTATGATTGTTTTAATTAAATTATACTAAATAAAAAATGGGTATTAATAAATAATAATAATAATACGTATAAATAGATTATTAATAAATGAATTATAAAAATTTATTTTTTTATTCATAATTGTATAACTAAGCTCAAGAATGAGAATTTCTGATTTAAAAATTTTTTCTTCAATTTCGATCGATGTTTTATTATGTTTAAAAAATTGTTTAAATTTACTGGAAGATTAAGTTTAATAAATTAAAACAAACCAAAGATTTTTTGGTCAACAGCCATTTAATTTAATAAATTGATACAATGCTTAATTTATTAAAATTAATTATTATGTAATTTGAATAAAGGTCATTAGTGAAATCTTTCATAATAATTTTTTAGTTATGATAAAATTAAAATAATTTGAGTTAAAATGAAAGGAAATGTTCAAAAAATGCTTTCATTAAATTAAGAAAATTCTCTAAAATGTTTTTTATCTTTAACATTATGATTGTGTTTAATTGATTTCTTTGATATGATTTCGCTATTGGCCTTTCTGAAATTATAGCTGATGCCTTATTTCGTTTATTATGATTGTGAAAATTAAATTGTAACTTATAGAATAATGAATATGATTTTTAATTAACTCTGTTTTCTAACAAGAATTGCTTTAAATGGATGATTATTGATATCTTTTCTTAAAATTTTGGTTCATAATATGAACAATCAGTATGATTAATCTAATGGTATTATAGATTAAGAGAATTCTTCATTTTGATATAACAATAACAGACTTTTCGCTATTTTCAATTAAGGATATTATTGATGATATTTTTGGAATCAAAATTTGAAATAAAAATTTTATTATTAATTTTAAATTTAAATTTGAAATCTAGTTCAAAATTCGATATGTGTTGATTTGTAATAGTATAATAAACTTGAAGAACTGAATTAAATGAACCTTATTCGATATATTTACTATAAAAACTGTTTGCAGTTTTATTTCGTAATTACAAATTTAAGTAGCAATAGTAATACTGAAGTTTTTTTTGATTATCATAGCTCCAAATATTCACAGTTAGATCAATTTTATTAAGGATATAGAGATTAATAAATTAATTTATGTTTTCTGATGTAATCATATAATATACTAAGAAATTAAAGAACAATTGAATGAATTTAAATGAAGAAAACGTTTATAATTTTTTACTTAAATATACTAGTGTTTGTAATTTCATCCGAATAAGTTTTTATGGGAATAAATTTTATTCATCATCCAAAATTCTAATATAATATTGATTTAAAACTTAATGCAATTTTGATATACATTTTACATTTTGATTATTCTTACTATAATATATATATTTCTGGAGATAAAAATTTAGATAGCNATAATAATAATAATACGTATAAATAGATTATTAATAAATGAATTATAAAAATTTATTTTTTTATTCATAATTGTATAACTAAGCTCAAGAATGAGAATTTCTGATTTAAAAATTTTTTCTTCAATTTCGATCGATGTTTTATTATGTTTAAAAAATTGTTTAAATTTACTGGAAGATTAAGTTTAATAAATTAAAACAAACCAAAGATTTTTTGGTCAACAGCCATTTAATTTAATAAATTGATACAATGCTTAATTTATTAAAATTAATTATTATGTAATTTGAATAAAGGTCATTAGTGAAATCTTTCATAATAATTTTTTAGTTATGATAAAATTAAAATAATTTGAGTTAAAATGAAAGGAAATGTTCAAAAAATGCTTTCATTAAATTAAGAAAATTCTCTAAAATGTTTTTTATCTTTAACATTATGATTGTGTTTAATTGATTTCTTTGATATGATTTCGCTATTGGCCTTTCTGAAATTATAGCTGATGCCTTATTTCGTTTATTATGATTGTGAAAATTAAATTGTAACTTATAGAATAATGAATATGATTTTTAATTAACTCTGTTTTCTAACAAGAATTGCTTTAAATGGATGATTATTGATATCTTTTCTTAAAATTTTGGTTCATAATATGAACAATCAGTATGATTAATCTAATGGTATTATAGATTAAGAGAATTCTTCATTTTGATATAACAATAACAGACTTTTCGCTATTTTCAATTAAGGATATTATTGATGATATTTTTGGAATCAAAATTTGAAATAAAAATTTTATTATTAATTTTAAATTTAAATTTGAAATCTAGTTCAAAATTCGATATGTGTTGATTTGTAATAGTATAATAAACTTGAAGAACTGAATTAAATGAACCTTATTCGATATATTTACTATAAAAACTGTTTGCAGTTTTATTTCGTAATTACAAATTTAAGTAGCAATAGTAATACTGAAGTTTTTTTTGATTATCATAGCTCCAAATATTCACAGTTAGATCAATTTTATTAAGGATATAGAGATTAATAAATTAATTTATGTTTTCTGATGTAATCATATAATATACTAAGAAATTAAAGAACAATTGAATGAATTTAAATGAAGAAAACGTTTATAATTTTTTACTTAAATATACTAGTGTTTGTAATTTCATCCGAATAAGTTTTTATGGGAATAAATTTTATTCATCATCCAAAATTCTAATATAATATTGATTTAAAACTTAATGCAATTTTGATATACATTTTACATTTTGATTATTCTTACTATAATATATATATTTCTGGAGATAAAAATTTAGATAGCATAACTGATTTAATGATCAGTAAGTTTTCATTGAATTAATAGATGAATAAATGAAATTAATAGAGTTCGAAATAAATAGAGAAACCGTTATCATCCTTAAGAAGCATTTAAAATAGAGTGTTTTATGAATAATAATAATGATGGTCTATTTCATAGTATGATTGATATGATTAATAAATATTATTGTATTAAAATGAAATTTAATTATAAACAATTTTTGAAAACCAATAAAATTTAATATTAATTATTAAATGGGAGATAAGAGGATTGACAAATATATATTTAATATAAATCATAAGATTGGAGAAGGTTCTTATGCCACCGTTTTTAAAGGTACAAATGAAAAAACAGGAGAGAAAGTAGCAATTAAAATGTTAAATAAATCTGTTATTAATGCGTATAATAATAATTGTATATATACATAAGAGATGATTACTTAAGAGATGGTTTAATATAGGAAATAAAAATAATGGGAAAATTGAAAAGTCCAAATATTGTCTAGCTTTTAGATGTTATGGAAACAACAAATAATTATTATATAGTTTAAGAATTTTGTGATGGAGGTGATTTTGATGAGTATTTATATAAAAAAATTAAAGATATCTTAAAAAGAAGAAAAATTTGAGTGAAAAAGAGGCTATTAAATTTTTAGTGGATGTTTTAACTGGTTTTACATAACTTATAAAAAATGGGATTATTCATAGAGATTTAAAACCTGCAAATATTTTATTGGATAAAACAGTATAAAGATTATATTTATAATTTATTTAATTAGACATATAAATTAGCAGATTTTGGTTTTGCGAAATGTGTAGACAATTTTAAAAAAGATATGATGTCTTCAATGGTTGGTACTCCATTATATATGAGTCCTTAAATTTTAGATCATAAAAGATACAATTCTAAAACTGATGTATGGAGTATTGGATTTATCTTTTATGAAGCTTTATTTGGTAAAAGTAAATTATTTCATCAATAATTTTAGCTCCATGGACTGCTAGATCACCTCAAGAATTACTAAAAAATATTAAAACATAACCATTAAAGTTTCCAACTGATAAAATATAAATCTCTTAAGAAACTTAAGATTTAATTATTGGATGTCTTTAAGCTGATGAATCAAAAAGATTATCTTGGGAAGAAATATATAAACATCCTGCTATCTCACAATACTTTTAAGATATAGTTTAAGGAAATTCAAAATTAGAAGATAAAGCATAATACTTAATTAATGATATTAGGCTTATGATAATCAAAGATAAATTAGATATCACTTAATTGTTTACAGAATTAGATATGTCTAAAGATAAAGCACTTGATGTTAATGAACTAGGAAGATTCTTAACGAGAGTTGATAAAGATATATAAAGAGATGAAATTGAATATATTTTTAATAAATTTGATGAAGATGGTAGCAATTCTATTGATTTTGAAGAATTCAAAAAATGGATGGAAGATAATTCTGTATTAAATCTAAATGTATTATTAGATTTAAGTCAAATAAGAAAAATAAATCAGAGATAGATCAAAAAAATAATCTATTCTAGGTAAGAATACAGTTGAAGAACGTGCAAATTATGTCATAGAAAAACTCAAATTATCTATTATTAAATATAATATTTAACTTATTGATCTATTTAAAAAAGTATTACATCAAAAATATTTAGTTTGATAAATCAGCTGATTTAAAATTAGATTTAAAAGAAATGGCTTAAATGTTAAAAAGAATTGAACCAAGTATTAATGAAGATGAAACTCGAGCAGTTTTCGATTTCTTTGATATTAATAAAGATGGCGAAATTACATTTTAAGAGTTTTAGACAAATTTATAAGAATGCATTGTTCATAAAAAATGAATGTTTTTAATATATTAACTATTTTCATCTATTAAATGTTAAATCTACTATTTGAAAAAATAATCTATTGAAATCATATTATTTTATAGAGAAATTATGAAAAAGTATGTCTAATTTTCCAAAATTTATGTATAAAAAAAGAAGCAGGTTAATGATTAAACTTTTTGCTTAAAAATTAAATTTAATACAAATTAATTTAACTTCCTAAGTAATAATAAGAAAAATATTATACAACTTATATTAATATATAAAATTTACAGAAAAAAGGAATTAACTAAATGAAAAAAAGAATCATGAAATCAGAATTATAGTAATCATATATGAATTACAATCTCTAAATAAAACAGATTTTATAATAGAATGAATAGTATTTATTAGAATTTTAATAAGAATATTTGATTATTTGTTAAATATAAATAATAAATATAAAAGATTCTTAGAATCATAATTAACTTATAAAATAATTAAGAATTATAAAAGTTTTTATAGTTTTATTAATTGTTTGTTTGAAATTTAATAAAGCTAAAATTGAATGAAATGAAAAAATAAAAAATTATCAAAAAATTATATGGTTAATTGTTAATAAAATATTTCTGAAATAATTAGAATTCACTTAGCTGCATCCCATTATTATTTAAGTCCAATAATAGAGCTAAGAGTTCCAAAGAATCCAATCCATTTTCCAGGTACTCTTCCATTACTAATAAATCCATAAGCGCTCTTATATAATAATAATTTATTGATACCAGTAAATCCATAAAAGCTCTTAATAAATCCATTTTCAAAGTGAAAAGACGTTATGATGATTTGACATCTTGAGCTTTATTATCTTCTTCATTAATTTCTAAAATTAATGCAACACAATCAAAGAACGCCTCAAAACACCAAAGTGCGTCACTCCAATAATCAGCCTTAGCTTCAAGTTATGGATTTTGTATCACTTAAATCTAGATTAAATATTGATTTTACTTTACAAAACCAATGAGTGTGATCAACCAAAAAATAAAGAAAGCAAGAAATATTCATCAATATTTTATTAAGAATGATTGCTTTATTTCCTTTTTACTTTGATAAATCAATAATTGAAATAATGATTCCTATTGTTCTTCCAAATCTTAAGACTTTTCTTGTTAAACTCATGTTAGAGCTTAAATTTTTACACTTTAATGACAATTCATCTTATTTTAATTCTTTTAATTATTCTGCACAAAATTTACCAAAATATTGTAAAATTCTACAAGACTATTTAAATTATTATAAATTTTATACTTACTTTATCTCTTCCTGAAGTTTTAGATAATAAAATAACAACTCTTTTAAAATTTTACATAATTATTTACTTAAAAAAATAATAAATATTACTAAATATTATGTATTGATAAATTTAACAAAATCATCTTCTTCTAACTCCAGCTCCTTCTAATTGATTTACAATTTTAGGAAATAGGGACTATTAAGTTAATAGCTAGTCCATCAGCTTATTATGTTCATTAGTTCTAAATGAAAATAATATAAATACCTTTCAACCCATCTATTATTAGTATTATCTAAATTATCTGAAGCTGTCTTAAAATTAGTTTAAGCATCTCTAAGTAAATTTTATTTAGTTTAAATTTAAGCTAATAAAATATAAATTATTATTACCATCTCTAGTTTAGATTTCAGCTTAAATAGTTGGAATAATAATTGTTGATAGATTTGTTATTCTTTAATTATATTGACTAAGATTGTGATCATCAATAGCTCTAACTTATTAATATGCATTTTCTAAGTCAGTTTTATTCTTAACAACAGTATCTCTTAAATTTTGAATAAGTCTTTAAACTTTTGCACTAGCTTCAGAATCATTAAAACTTGGTGCCATAATTTAAGTAAATGCAGTTATTAAAGGTCCATACATTATTCTTTAATGTTATAATTATTTAAGACCTTCTTCTAAGAATGAAACACTTCTATTCTAAACAAATGAACCATCTCTAAGTTATCCAATCAATTATAAGGCTTAATCAAGGGCTTAAACAGCATTTGTATATTAATTTTGTTAATCTTTGAAAATTCCTTCTTCCTTTTTAATTCTTGCTGATAATCCATCAGCTAATGATTAAACTTCTTTCAATTCATCAATTTTTCCATTTAAGGCTATTTATAATAAGTCTCTGCTTTCTGTAAAATCTGTAACATCTATTTCTAATGATGCAATCTATTAAACTTAGCTTATAACATTACTTCATTCTAGAATTGTGTAATTTGACCTGAAAAAAATTCCTTATCTGTGAAATATTAGACTTCATCTTATTAATATGCTTGTTATTCGTCTGCTAATCTTTATTTTATTGAATTTTATAAGTCATCTAGTGCTGCATATAATTTAGAGAAATCAAATTGTTATGCCTTTGATTTTAGACTTAGTAATTTCAAGAATGCTTTTCCCAAATGAGTTTATTCTAATTCATTCATTATTGGATTAGATAAAGGACCTTGAATCTAACTTGCCAAGGTGAGAGAAATCAATAATATAGAAACTAATTTCCTCATACAATCCGTTTTTAATATTAATATAAATTATTATCATTATTCTAATATATAATTGTAAATTACTTTATTTCATTATTTTTTTACATTTTAGATGAACTTAAAAAACAAGATATCCATCTCAATATAAATTTCATTTAACTTAAATCTCATCATCATTTCAAACTAACATTTACTTTATAATTATTTCAATATAAATTAAGAAATTTAGTTAGAAAAATCAACCAAAATTATATAACCTTTTTTAATTTTGTATTCATTTATTTTATATTTCTTGAATATCTTATGAATTGATTTTTTCATGTTTATCTTTACAACTAAAATAAATGTAACATTTTATTCAATAAATAATTTTTTTTATTTATCAAATGTCTCACTTATGTTTTCGTTTAGTTTTCAAAAAATGATTCTGCCTTATTAATTTCTTATATTTAAACAAATAATTTATAAAGATTTTTGTTTAATAAATTTAATAAGTTTATAATAAAACATGTAAGAATAATCTGATCGAGTGAAAGTTTAATTAGAAAAAGAAGTAAAATAATTAGCAGTAGAATTTGTTAAAGAATAATACTTAGAAATCTTTTTATATCTATATGTTTATTTTTTAATTTGCTTTTATTTAGAAAATATTTTAACATTGGTATAGGTTGTGATTTGCCTAATATTTATTGATGCATGTAATAATTATAATTTATAATAGGTAGATTTATTTAAACATGTTATTGTTTGCAAAAAGAATTAAAAGTTTATTATTATTTAGAATCATTTATCTATTGTTTAATGAAAATATGTTATATTTTGATAGTTGTACTTGAGATTGAGTTTTATTTGATGTTAATAATGTTTCCATTATTATTGTTGATCCTAAGATTGTTAATATATTGCAACAAGAAAAAATACTTCGCATTTGTTGCATTTTAATAGTTCGTATAGCATAAAGAATGACATAATAGTTTAATGTGCTATGGAAGATTGTAATTTTAGTAGAAACTTTATCAGTAACTCTAAAATTAGATGATTTAGTTGCTTGGGATTGGATACAAGTATTATGGTTGTTTTTGATTCTTTTAATACTTAACGGTGTAATTACTTTTGTTTCAATACTGTATTTTGCAATAAAAATAATTCCTGCTTTGCTCAAGAAAAATGAAAAATAAAAGAGTAGTAAAATATTATTCATATAAAGGTGCCTATTATATGTAATTTGTTTTGTATTAGACAACAATATTGTTAACAAATCTATTTTTATATCTCAACTACTCAACTTTGAAAATAATATTGCCAATATTATTTATTTTTATAACATTTTACACTCATTGTAAAAGAGGAGATTTAGAATTATATTACGCTAATTTTATATTTAATTTAGAAATAGGAAAGGATTTAGAAGAAAAACAATAACCATATGAATAAGCAACAATTTTATAGAGAGTTTCAACTAATTATTATAGACCAATAATGGCAAATGTTGGATAAAGATAATCAAGTTAACCTCCAATGTTGAGCAATGATTTATAATCTGTGAATTCTGAAGAATCTAATTTATGCATCATTTGCTAAGATAGAGTAGGTGAGAAAATCTTTATGCCGTGTGGTCATGGCAAATTTTGTGCTCAATGTATAGGAAATACAGATGCATGCTTTCTTTGCAGAAATGAAATTGCATAAATTCTTACAGTGTAACAAGAACACATTAGTTTTGGAATTGTTGCTAAATGATTATAAAAAATATAATACAAATAATATTATGTATTAATAAAATAATTATATTTAAATATTATATTAGATGGCTTGTACATCTAAAGAATAATTTCATAAAGATATTAATGATTTAAATTAAGATTTAAAACCTTAAGAATAGATAGCTCAAGTACAAACAAAGAAATTAAATAGAGGGACTCTAATTATTTAAACTAGTGAAGGTCCAACTCAATTTGGATTACCACCTGATACTGTGAAGAATTACCTTAAACAGTTTTATCTCAATTACTTAATTAAATTAAAAATAGAATGTATTTAGTTCAAATTGCTGCTAAAGATTTATTTAAAGGATCTGGATTAAAATTAGCAAGACCTGGAATTGAAAATATTTAATTTTAATTAGATCAAATTTTTAATAAGATATCCCATTTAATAGAAAAATTGATATCATTTGTATAATTGATATTTTTGATAAATTAACTTTGAATAATGCTAAATTTTTATTGGATGCTCTAAAACTAGAAAAATATAAAGAAGGAGAATTAGTTATTTAAGAAAATTAAGAAGGACATAAATTTTATATTATTGAATCTGGCTTATCTTATTTTGGTGAATCTGTTTTAATTTAAACTGGAAGAAGAAGAGCATTGGTACTTGCCATTACAGATTTGAGAGTTTTATCACTTGATAAACATAATTTCTGGTTTATTTTTGGTGATGGATATAAAGTATAAGGACCTGTAAAAGAATAAATGATGCAATTAATGGAAGCTAGAAAGTAATAAGATATTTAAATCTTATTTAAGTATATAGTGAGTCAATATTTTTAAGAAATTCTCATTTTTCATAATTAATTCCTACCCAAAAAACATAAATAGAGATGATAATGTAGTAAAAAGAAGTTAGTAAAGGTCAAATCTTATGAAAAAAGATGATGAAGCAACTTTTGTTTTTTTTATCAGAAAAGGTGCATTTGTGATTATTGATTGTGATGAAGCTGTAATATAATTAATTAAATTAGAAATTAGAAGAATTTGATTCTGGCTCATTTATAGGTGAAATTAACGCAATCTTACAGGTGGCAAATTAACTACAACTATTAAAGCAATAAGAGAAGGATCTATATTGTAAATTAAAGCAAAAGCTTTTAGTAAATTTTTATAGCTTAACCCTGTATTATTATTGTTGTTTCAAGAATGCAAGTATTTAGAATGAAACACTTATTCGAAATTTAATTATATTAAAATAATATTATTATTTCTAAATTAATAAGATGATTAATAAATCCAGTGCCACTATATCGCATATTTAAACATAAAAAACTATTCATCTTTAAATTATTATTATTAATGAAAATATTAAAGCTTCTATTAATTAGTTATGCAATAATGGTAACAAATGAGATGTTTTGTAACTTTTATCCTTTAGATTCAAGAGCTTGTGTTAGCAAAACAGAAGGAATCAAATGTAAATAAAAAGTTCAATAATAGGTTATTATAACTAGTTTGAAAGTACTTGTATGGATACTTAATCAACTAGTCATGGTTGTTAACCAACCCTAAATAAGTTAGCTTGCTTAAATTAACTTACCAATGGCTTTGGAGAAGAAGTGAGATGTAAAAACTTGTAAATTTAAAATAAGGCACATTTGGAAAGAAATGTACAGCTGTAAAATCCACCCATTTGAAAAAATTGGGATGCTCCGAGTGGTTCTCGAAGTACGCATGCACAAATGTCGTAAAAAACTTTTGCATTTGGAATGGAAATTAATGCATTGAATATAAAAGTAATGTTCCTGAAGGTGAATCATGTGAGGCCATTTTTAGTAATTCAGTCACACCATCTTTATGTTCAAGAATTTAAAATTTGAAATGTAATTTGTTTATTAAAAGTAGGCATGAATGGAGGGTTTATTCAAGATTATTAATGTATTAGTGTTGATGAACAATTGTAAGCCAAATTAAAATGTACCGATTTAGGAGTAAATTCAGCTGCTTGTATTTCAATAACAACGCCAAATCAGAATTGTATCTAAACATTTATACTTTAGGCATATTTTATTAAAACATTTGTTAAGAAATAAAATCAGTCATTATTAATAAATGTGAAATGGAACTGAATAGATTTGGATGTCTAAGTATTTCTAATCCAAAATTATAATGCCAATGGAAATAAGGTAAGTGCTAGAATTTTGTCAAATTAATAAACTAAAAATGTGAAAACGTTAAAGAAGTCAACTAAAGTGTTTGTCAATAATTTGAAGGTAAATGTAAATTTGATAATTAAAATTTTAATTGCATAGTGCCAACAACAACAGATATATTAACATGCAATACAAAAGGATTAACTTAAGAGCTTTGTTTATCTTTAAAAAAGTAATATTGTACATTTACAAATGGAAAATGTGAAGAGATTACTTTAGAAGATTTAAAATATTATTAATGTGATATGTTATTAAATGAAGATGCTTGTGTGAATGTATTGACTAAGTATTAATACTGCAAATGGGATGGAAAAAATTGCATACGATAAATAATAAATCAAGACTTAGATTGTGAATTAGATAAGAATGATGTAATTACAAAATATAATGGAAATGTATGTTAAGCAATTTCAAAACCAAATGTACCATGTAAATACAATAAATAAATAAATCGATGTGTAATCAGTGACTAGAATGATGCTTGTGGATCACCATACATAAATTTATTTGGATGCATTAGTATATTAAGAGCTGGATTGACATGTTAATGGACTTTAAATGGATGTATCTAGATTGAAATAAAAGCACTTTCAACTACATGTGTTAGTTTATAATTTGCAAATCCAAATGCTTGTTCATAAGTTTATGAAGATTCAGAAACAGGATGTTATTTTAATTAGGATACTTCTAAATGTGAGAGCATTTAAATAAGTTCATAGAGTGGGAGAAATTTATTAGAAAGTTTAGAATGTTAAAATATTAGGAAAGGATTAAACAGAGTAGCTTGTGCATCAATAACAACAAATGGATAGGTATGCCGTTGGAATTAAAATTAATGTTAACAAATTAGAAAGAAAATGGATGTAGCATAAGTGGAATGTTTAAAAATGCAATTTGTTAACCCATAGGCATGTGCATTAGTTGAATTTGGAAAAGAGCCTTGCAGATATTTAGATAAGGAAAAGAGTTGTGTTAATTCCGTAATTCTTAATATGAATTGTAATACACCAGGATTGAATACATATGCATGCGCTTTAGTATAGGGTAGTTGTTATTTTGATACTGAATTAAATCGATGCACTAAATTAGATTCAACTAATTCTGATAATGCTTTATAAGTAACTGAATTATTATAAACAATGGAATGTCAATCTAGTTCTCCTACTGAACTTGTTTGCACTTAGATAATAACAATTGGATAATTATGTTAATGGTCTTCTAGGTAAAGCAGATGTTTAGATTAAACAGTAATTTTAAATTAAAAATGTTCTAATTATTCATAAGATATTAAAGTTAATGCAAATGTATGTGCTGCTATAGAAATGGAATTTCCAGATTATGATTTAAGATTTGGAATTAATAATGATGTTGACAGAGGTTATTGTAAATTTATGCCAGAATCTGGAAATTGTTCAAAAAATACAGACACATGCACTACACCTTGTTGCACAGAGAAAATTGGAATAAATGCCCATTCATGTAGTAGATTTTCAACTTAAGCCCCAGATGTTTATTGTTTTTTTGGATCAAATTTGAGATGCTAATAATTAACATCAGATATAGTTGATATATCAAAATAAGATGCAGTTAGAAATTATTATAATGCAAATTAAATGAGATGTTCTTAAATGAATAGAAATTCATGTTGGATGATTGAATGGTCAACAAAATAATTATGTTATCACAATGGAAAATCATGTGTAAATGTAAACTACTCTAATTATGGAAATTTAGATATTTTCATATAATTTCCAGCTATTCTAAATAGATATGCTTGTCTAGCAATAGAAGCAACAATTACAAATAGAAATACTTTGAAATACTTTTTATATGATAATACCACTAAAAGATGTTCCCCAAAGCCTGATGCTTCTGATTACAATGCTTGTGATTAAGCTTTAGGAAATAGTAACTTATGTTTAAGATTTACTAGCAATATATTGTGTAAATGGAACTCACTATTATTGAAATGTCAAGAAATAACACTTGATGAATATGATGAAATATATACTTGTTCTTATAATTAAAATAAGAAGGCCTGTATTGAAAATCCAAATACAGCTTGTCAATTTTCATATATTAATGATAAATGTATAAATGCACCTACAGAAGTTGATTGTGATTATTTTAATGCTAATGGTCCTGTTAGTAAAAATGCTTGTAAAAGAATCACAAAGGATGGCTAAACATGTGAATATGATGAAGGTGCAACAGCATGTAAATATATAAAAGTAATAAATGATGATAATCTCCCAAATAGTTGTGATGTTGGAGAAGGCAATTCAATAACATGTTATAGAAATACAGGAGGAGAATGTAGATGGAATCCTTTAACATATGATTGCTATGAAAATCAAACAGAAATATCATTATTAGGATGTGATGATTATCTCAATAAAAACTTATGTTTATAAGTTACAAAAGAACCTTGCATTTGGGATACTAAAAAATATAAATGCTTAAAATTAACAATGACAGATCAATAATTTGTTACTAATGATTTATTATATAATAGATTAGCCTGCTATTCAATTACAGGAGGAGCTTTTTATCATCATTCTAATAATTAATGTGTATCATTGACTAGTAAGAATAATACTTGTCAATAATATTATATGAATGAATATGCTTGTCTATTTCATACTCAATAACCAACAAATCAATAACCATAAAACTATCAATGTTATTTTGATAAAAATGAGTCACCTTTGAATTATAGATGTAAACCATTTACAAGTGAATAAACTAAATGTTCAACTGATATTGCAATTAGTATAGAAGTTTGTATGTAAATACCAATTAGTTGTTATTTTAATATAAATACTTTAAAATGTGTTAATGTTGAAATTCCTGAAACTCAAACATGCACTAACTTGAAATTTTAATCATTAAGTGGATTATACTATAATCGAATATCATGTGCTTCAATAAGTGAATTTTTAGACTCTACTTATGGAGTTAAACATTGTTACCCACATGTAGATTAGTCATAACAATGCACTTTTGAGAAATATTGTTTTTGGGAATAATCAACTAAGACTTGTGAAATTCATACACCAACAGCAGGTCTTATATTTACGTAAAATGCATAAGCTTATAATTGTGGAGATAATGATAACCCGAAAACTTGTTATCGGGATATTTGTTATGTCAATAATTTAATCTCTAGTTTTTCATCTTGTTCTAATATATATTCAAGAGCTCTTTGTTTATAAATGGTTACAGAACAATGCTACTTTGATATTAATTAAGGTGGATGTCTTTCTTTGAGTGGTAACGCTCATAAACTACCAGATTGTACATCATTTGTTAATAGTTGTAATGTAAGTTAAACACCAGGAGTACTATGTGAAATAACAACAGCAGATGCAGATTAGCAACCTGGGAAATAATGTAAATCTATAGAGAGATTAATAAAAAAATGCATAAATAATGGTAGTGTCTAATTAGGATAAACATGTGATTAATATTCAAATTAAAGTAGTCCAGTAGTTTGTGCATCTGCTAGCGATGCATGTAGATTAAGTAATTAATGTGTATCAAAAGAACCTATTTTATCATAGGGAGAAACTAAGTCAAGTAAATGTGACAAAAGCATGAGTAAAACAATGTGCGAAGCTATGGGATGTTATTATACAAAATTAAATTATTGTTAATAAACAGATTCAGTACCATAAATAACAAGCACTAATAAATATTATTTATGTTATGAAGTTAATTAACTCAAAATAACTAATCGAGATGTAATATGTAGTGGAGTTGATCAATCATGTATTTTTACAAGTAAATGTGAAGATGCAACTGGATTTACTTGTTCTTAATTAATCAATAATAAAGTAAGTTAAAAAGCATGTATCAATTGTTCTGAATTAAAAGTTAAATATGATCCAGATACTTTTAGATGTATAGTGATAACAAATGAAACCTTTACATCATGTGATCAAAATCTTAATAAATAAACTTGTTTAATAAATACTCCTAATCTTAATTGTAAATGGCATTCAAATTAATGCACATTAATTACTAATTTAGAAGTTGAAACTAGTACAGATTGTACTATCTATAATAAATATTCATGTCCTAGTATAACTAAAACTAATTGTTATGTAAATGTTACTACTTAACTTTGTTCTCCTTTTAATCCTATCTTTGCTAAATGTTCTGATGTCAAATAGCAAAGTTTATGTATCTAATCTAATTATGAAAGATGCAAATGGACAGATACATCATGTAATAAAGTTGATACAGAGACTACTTATACATGTGAGATGGCTAATCAATATGGTTGTTTAAATATGACATCAAAAAAATGTTGTTGGTCAAATAACGCTTGTTATTCATTTGAATATGATACAACATAAGCTCAATGCAATAATATTGAACTAATATCTAAGGATAGCGATGGCAAAATACAAATACAATTAAAAAAAATGAAGTTAATTAAATTTAATGATCTCTCATGTGCTAATCTTCCCTTTGTTAATAAAGCATATTTTAGAGATGAATAATTTAGATGCAGAGAAGTTGTTTCTGCAGATTAATTAACGTGTAATTCACCAGGAGTTAATGAACTTGCTTGTATAAATAATACTTAAGGTAAATGTAAGTATGTCACTACAGATACCTAAGGATCTTGTGTTGAATTACTAACTAAAGTTGATGGATGTTCAGACAAGTTAAATGTAGATGCATGTCTTAATTAAAATGCTACATGTAAATTTGTTAATAAAAAATGTTAAAATTATGATCTTTAAGGTTACACTAATATTCAACCAAATGACAAATTCCCTTATTCAATTAGTGTTTGCTCATATTTTGATGATACATTTGATGATTCAACAGCTGAAAGTATTGTTTATAGTCCTGAAAAGAGAAGATGTGTAAAAGCTACTTCTAGAGAACCTTTCATTAATAATTGTGCATAGATTGGTATTAATAAATATGCATGTTTAAATAAAACTACTGTATAGTGTCAATATGATTCTGTTAATAAGTAATGTCTTTCAGTTACTAGAGAAATACTCAATAGTACTAAGATTTGTGATCCAACATTTAGTTGGGCAGCTTGTATTCAAATTGCTGCTTAATGTTAATTCTACAATAATCAATGTTAACCAATTTCTGATACCGTTTTGTGTTCTGAATTATAAAATAACAAAATATACACTAATGCTTCAGTTTGTCTTAATAGATAATCTACTGATACTGCTTGTAAATATAATACAGAAACTAAAATTTGCAATGTTGTTGTTGATGGCACAAATGAAGTTTGTTCATAACCTGGTTTAAATAAAAAGGGTTGTATTTTCAATACTTTAGGATCTATGTGCATTTTTTAAGAAACATATTGCACTGATAATTATGAAAATGTTAAGTGTACAGATTTAATTAATAAAGACAAATGCTTATCAATTAGAACAAAAGGATAATATTGCAAATTTGATATCAATTTAGGTTGTATAAACATTCCAACACCAGAAACTACTTTATCTGCATGTGTGTAAAATTTTGAAACAAATCCTCTATCATGTTCAATTGCCTCAGATAAACCTTGCTTTTATGATAATAAGTTGAATAAATGCAAGGAGTTTATATATCCTAAAAAAAATGAAGATCTTAATTTTTTTAATTGGTCCAACAGATTATCATTCAATAAAAGAGCATGTTTGATGTATGTAGAAGATAATAGAGCAGTTTACTGGATGGATGAATGTTTAGAAATACCAACTAGTGAATTCACTACATTGACATGCGATTAGTAAATTAATAAATGGGGTTGTTTAGGAATAACTAATCCAATTTCAAATTGTTATTATTTCGAATAATAATGTAAAGATGCTAATTTATCAGATTATGTTGGAAAAGATTGCAACACAATTATAGATATAAGTAATGGACGTATTTGTGAAGTTAATAATTTCAATAATAAAAAATGCTAATATGATGCTGCTGATCATTAGTGTATTGAAGTTTTAGCTGCTATAAATGATTGTGAAGGTAAAGGATATAATTAACATGCTTGTGCATCCAATTCGTCCTGTTAATTTAATAAGAAATGCTATGAAAAATTAACCAATGGAATATTATTTTGTGCAGATGCCTTACCTAATCTTGATAACTGTAAAGGTGTATAAAGAGAAGGATGTAATCAATCTTGCTAAGCAATTTCAGATTATTCATAAATTAATTGTTAAGATGCTATCAATTTATATGGATGTAATAGAATTGTTAAATCTTAATAATTTTGTTAATATTCAAATTAACTATGTAAATTAGTAAATCCTTTTACATTTTAAAGCTCATCTTGTATAGATATTAAATATATTAATAATTCAATATTCTGTGAATAACCTTAAGACATAGGTTGTTATTATGATTAAAAATCTTAGTAATGTATGGTTACAACAATTTAAAGTACATTCGGTTGTGTTAGAGGAATTAATTAGATAGCATGTTTATCTTCTACTATACCTTCTTTGTAATGCAAGTTTCTTGATTATTGCTATGGTCCTAATTCAGCAATTCTTAATTGTTAAATTAATAACTAGTCAGATCCTAATATTTGTTGTTAAAATGCAGGCACAATAGAATCTTGTTTATTTTAGGATAAATTTTTATGTTCTTGGAATACAGATACAAAGTTATGCTCTCCTTATGTGATTGAAAACGATGAATGTGCATAAATAGAAAATAAATCATAATTAGTTTGTTTATAAAAAACTAATACATTTTGTGTATTTAACACTGAATTAAAAAAATGTTAATAAATTTAAGCAATTTCATGTAATTAAGCTTAATCTTAGGAATAATGTACATCAATTGATATTCTTCCTTGTATATGGGATAATTTATTGAAAATTTGCAAATATAAAAAGAAAGAAAATCAGGATGAATGTTAAGATATAAAATAAGGTTTTGGAAATCGATTAGCATGTCTAGGAGTTGAGAGAATTGGTTAAACATGCTAATTTAGAGATGGTTCATGTGAAACATATTTTGAATCAAAAACTGAAGATAATTGTTTAAATAATATAAATTAAGTTGCATGTACTTAGCAATAATCAAGTAAATGTTATTGGAAGTCTGAGACAATACAAATAAGAGAGAATTCATGGAGTGAAGAAACAAATTTAATAATAGGGGCATGTAATTAATTTACAGATTTTAATAATTCATCATGTGAAGAATATTTAAGTTACTTATCTTGTTTGTCTATTTAAACAATAGGAAAATAATGTATTTGGTAAGATAGTAAATGTTAAGAAATAAAATTTAATAAATCATCTATATTTTCACCTAAAGATTTAATATTAGTGAATAGTAATGCTTGTGGCTTAATTAATAATGGTGATGTTGTATAATACAATCCTAAATCATATTCTTGTAAAATAGTCACAAATATAGAATCAATTGCATGTTAACCTCTAACAGAAGGTATTAATAAATCGAGTTGTTTGAAAATTAGAACATAATATTGTTAATGGGATGATGTGAGTATGAGATGTATATTCAAAAAGACTAGATTACTTGTTGAAGAACAACTTTAATAAAATCGTCTACTGTAATCTATATCTAGTTGTAAAAGAGATGGAATTGGTCCAAAATTATGTAAATAATTGAATGTTGAATTACCCTGTGGTTCATTTGATGATGGATGTGATTAAATTGATATAAATACAGCAACTTGTGAAGATCCAGGTCTAAATAAATATGCCTGTTTAAATTTAAAAACAGGACCTTGTGCTTGGGTAAAAGATGATGATACTGATTATTATCATTGTGAAGAATTCTATCCATATTCTACTTGTGAGAACATTGAATATAATATAAATTCATTAGTTTGTTCTTATGTAGAGGATGATCCATGTGTCTATAATAAATAAAAAAAGAATTGTGAAATACCATAATTAGATTATGATGTATGTGATATTGAAGGTATTAATCCAATTGCATGTTCTGGCATTAAAGGATGTATATTTAAAGACTAAAAATGTACATTGTGGAATCCTAATTATAATCTCTTATGTAATCAAGCTGAAAAAGCAAATGAATAAGTTTGCTAATTAGCAATTGATAGATGCAAATATAGTAATTTAACTTTTGGATGTATTTCATCTACCATAACTGATAATTGTTACACTAATGGATTAAGTGCTCTTGGATGCAATGTTCTTGATGAATGTTCATGGGTTGATAATTCTTGTTAATGTATTGCTTATTTAAATAAATTCCCATAATGTAATTAAATTACAGAATATACCAAATGTACTAATATCAATTATTGTTATTTTGAAGTATCATAATCAAAAACCAATAAAGATATTACCTAATATCTTAAAAATACTAATTATGGAACTTGTCGATTAAAGACTTGTGCAGATATTGATGTTAATAAATGCAACTAGAACACTATAGATAATACTATATGTTATCTTAATTCTAAAGGTAAATGTTTATCAGCTAAGAAATGTGAAGATATAATTGATCAATCCTTAAGTTGTTAATAATATAAAATCAACAATCTTAGTTGTAGAAGTAAATAGAATAATGGTTGCTAGACTTTAGATTGTAGTTTAATAATAGATCAATCAGAATGTGAATAATATAGTAATGAATGTGTTTTTGCTGGTTATTGTAGAATAAGATCATGTGAATATATGGGTAAAGCATAATGTTAGATTAATAATTGTGATTGGAATCAAACTTCAGAAAGATGCTAACAATAATTAGACTGTTCTTAAATTACAAATTCTGAAACTTGTATTACTAAGAAATAAAAAAATGCTCAGTGTGCTTGGTTAATAACAACAAAAGGGTAATAAGAATGTACATCAACAGGTTGTCGTTATTTAGGCAAATCATAAGGAGATTGTATGGGAACTCATATAGGAACTGATGTTTGTGTATAAATGATAGATTTTTCATGTGTTTCTTGTTAAGAAATTACAGATGCTTGCATTTGTCTGAACCAATCACAATACTGTTCATATGATAAAATCACATAGAAATGTTCATCAAAAAGTTGTTAACATCACAATTAGGCAGATTGTCCAATTACTCATTGTAGATTCAATTCTATAAAAAATGTATTTATAAATTTAAATATCCTAGATTTGTTAACCTCTATGTTAATATAATTATAACCAAGTATAATGCAATTAAGCTGATGATTGTTTATGGAATAATACAAATTAAATGTGTGTTGCTTACATTAAACCAACTGTAATCGAATAAATCAGTTTACCCTCTCCTGACAGCAGTAGAATTTTAAGTATTATAATATTAATACTCAATATGATTTATTGATTATATAATAATATATATATTTCATCATGTCTTAGATAGTACTTTCAAATAACCAATTATTATGGCTTCATTCATTAAATTATATCTTCCTATCTAATACGAATCCTGCATCTCTTTCCCTCTATAAAATAATTTCATTGATTCACATGCAATTTCATGTCTCTTCTGTAATTCTACACATATTATATCTTTTAAATCTACAACACTCTGACTTTATTTACAATCTATTTCCATATCCTTACCATTCAAATGTACACTTCTTATCAATAATTTTACAGTTTCATCACCATTATTTTCAATTAAACCTCTATCTTCAAATTTCTCATCTGAATATTCTATTGGATCATTTATACAAAATATTGGAACATCATATTTTTATCCTAATTTATCATATACATGTTATAATGAATCCTTTATTGGTTTCAATTCAGCTTCCTATACTAAAAATCTAGCAGTTTCTAAAATTCTTTTTATATAATACCTTCTTCCTCATTAATTATTGATCTTAAAATCTACCAGATCTCTTGTCTCCCCTCTACTCTCGTTTCTTAAATCAATTATATATATCATAACTTACCCCAAAATACATTCCTTAATTTCTCTATTTAACCTATATTTATATGACTTTTATATGCTAATGTTCTCTTTAAACCTTTCCCACTAAACTACTATTCCAATATATCAAAATATATTTTATATTATTCATTCACATCCTAAATTGCATTTACATTCTATTATTATCTTTCTATTGCCCTAGGCATTCTTCTTGAATCATGACCTCCTTAATTATTTATTTCTCTATTTTCACTTGAACCACAACAACAACCCATACTTTTTTATTTTATTTTAATTTTTTATATTATAATATTATCACTAATTTGTTTTCATTTACTTTATTATTTGCTTCCTATAATCAAGATCTCTCATTAACTTTGACTTTGAAGCATTCTCAGGTTCTAAAAATCTTTTTAAATACTTTGATATCTTCTCTCCTTTTTACTTTCCATTACCCTACTTTGTCTCGTTGACTTCATCTTTCAAAAGATAATAAGAACTGTTTAATTTGGGAAATATTATTGCTTTTCTATTCTACTATTTTTAATTATGAAAAGATATTGATCGAAAATTTCCTTTCACTCTTCGTTCCTCTAATACAGGGATTGTAAAACCTATCTTCTTATATCGAGTGCTTTTAAATGGAATGTTTAAATATACATCTAAATTATATTCCATTATAATATTATTTTATTAAATTTATGGGATGCTAAATTGCCAAAAAATTAACCTCAGAATAAATTATCGAAATAAAGTAAAACTAGATCTTTCTTCAAAAAGAAAAATCAATCACTGTCTAAGCAACTTCCGATCTTGTTAGTCATCTTCGAATTCTTCAGCATTTTGGTTTTTAAGGAAAATAATTTTTACTTCACGACAAGTCAGATCGTATGAAATATATGTCTAAATTTTAAAATATAATTTAAGCAAATTATAATTATTGGAATATACTTACTTAATTACTAGAAGGAATATTTCAAATGCATCAATTAGGATTTATTGGTAGATGTATTTCCTATGAAACTTTATATGTTAATTCAGATACTTTAATATTTTGTTAATTTGGCTATTTTCATGAATTTAAAAATGCTCCTGAAAATATTTTTAAAAAATTTACTACTTTCGAAACTGATTTATGGTTGGTTGGAGCAATTTTATGGAAAATTATTACAAAATAAGATCTTATTACAAACAAATCTCTAACCATCAAAATGAGTTTCAATTTTCAAAATAATGATCAAAATCTTGATTCTGAACTCTATGTAGTACTAAAATAAATTTTGCAGATCTATCAAACTTAACGAATTCCCTTCACATAACTTCTTATTCATAAGAAATTATAATTTTAAGAGGAATTTAAACAATAGATGCTAAATTTTTATGAAAACTATTAAATAGAACATTTATTAAAAATTTGGAAATATTCCTTATATAGAGATTTCCAAAATGGAAAATTGTTTTTTTATTAAATCAAAGTAGAGACTATTAAATATTATTACAAATGCTACGTTTAAATTCAACTACTCAATTTTGCATTTCATCTTTCATTTCTTTTTCCTAACAATGATGAAAATGTTTTATTGTATATTAATAGCTTGATAATTTAAAAAATGTACCTTCTTTCTAAAGAACTAAAATTTTAAGTTTTAACATTCTAAGTTTCTGAACATCATTCCTAATTCAATACAGATCTAGGTATAGGATTTTTTTGCCATTAGAACTATTAAAATTTGAGGAAGGAAATTTTATCCCAGCATAATAAGCTTTTAATTTTAAAATAATCACAAGCAAATAATATTTAAATCGATTGTCAGCATGATATAAATGTCGAAATTAATAAATTTGATCATAAGGGTTAATTGACATTACCATAAAAATTATTGATAAATATTTTAAATAATAGTTCAGTAAAATAATTGAGTCATATACAATTTACAGCATTGTCTTTGGTAGAAATTTTCGAACATGAAATATATTCAAGACTATTTTGAATAAGTTATTCACATATTAATTATAAAAAATATAAACAGTACAGATATTTATTATTCTTTTAAAAAATAATTTATAAATAAATAGAAATTCATTTTAATTAATAAAATTTATAAATAAATATACCTAAAGCGACAAACAACATTGTCATCATAGATATTTCTATAATTTAAAATACTAATAAATTATGTAATTTATTTCCTTAATAAACACCAAATTATTAGTTCTCTTTGTCAAAGATGCTAATAATACTTTAGAGAGCAGGATCCCCTAAAATAGTATAATCATGACTAGTTGGTCCTGCTATTGATAGACAAGGTCGACAATATCCATTATAAGATGGAATCATATAATTTTCAGGAGTGATCTCTAGTTTAACACCTGCCAAATAGATATTCAAATTTGGATAAACAGGGGAATTGCATGGGCAAGAATTATTATTGATGCAATTGACTAAAATGAATCGATGCATCATATAATTAACAATTTCTGGATCAAGCCATAAACAAGATGAACCTGAATCCATTAATGCTACAGTTCCATTCTGTATGGTAACTTTATCTGTTAAATCAATATCATTAACAAAAAATCCATAAATTTTCATACTCTAATATTATAATGTAATATATATACCCATTGATGACTCAGTATATTTGGCATCCAAACAATTTAATCTAAATACTCTTAGCTAAAATTATTATACAATAAAATAGATTCCTCTGGATTTGAATTTAAATCTAAACCAAATATTGAAGTCTGCAATTATTTCTATTCATAACCATATTCAAATATATTTTATCTTTCATTATTACTAGATAATCCTAAAAGACCTTAGAATTTAATCTAATTACTAAAATAGCATTACTCCTACTGGCATAGTAAAAATATTTGCCAACATAAATTTCATGTAAACATTCAAATTTCCATTTGGAAGACTAACATAATCTTAAACAATCCTTCCACTCAATGATCCGATATTATATTTAATTGAATGATCTTCATCTACTTATTATAATGTAGTAGATTAATTAGGATCAAATCTTGGGAATATACATCCATCACATGTTATATTTGATATCCAAGTAGTCTAAAAATATATTTGCATATATATAAATTTACTACTGATCCTGTATCTACAACTATGGAGAATATTTATTCAGGAGTTCCAAAACTTGCATTAATATAATAAATGATATTTCCTAAATTATCTAATTGAACTTAATCTGATTTTGTATGTCTAAACAATTTAATTTAATGATTAGAATAATGATGACTCTTTAGCTTTTGTCTTCCTTGAATGTATATGATCAGTAATACAATAAAGTTAATCATGAATTATTTAATAATTGAATTATATATATTTTTAATGAATAATTCAATCCATAATTGGTTATTGTAATTATATCTAAGCAAAATATGTATGATTGTTATTATCTTAAATTGATTAGAAAAGTTCATCAAAATTATCATAAATTAATTTGAAGCTATAATCACTTACTTCAAGTTAAACCTATATGAATAAATAATTTATAATTACTGGATTAGGTTATTTGACTTTCATGAAAATTTAAGCCATATTTTTAGGAATTTCACTTTTTGTCCATTGATAGTTATAAATATTAAATTTAGGAACATTTTCATCACCATCAGCATTTCCTCCATCTTTAGGTTCTTCATCACCTCCATCCCCTTCTTGTTTTGGAGGAGGGACTTCAGGTTTTTCTAAAATCCATTCAGGATCATTAATCTCTGAATTTAATGGTTATTCAGTTATTGCATATAATACTTTAATTTATCCCAATGATTTCTCAACCATCATCAATTCATCTGTAGCTCTTGGGAATATTTATTCTTATTATTATTTATCTCCTTATTAATCTGCTGAAATGTATCCCCATAATAATACATCTCTATGAATATATAATATAAATAATTACCTGCTTTAAATAGGCAAATCATCAATGTATTATTTAACTAGTCTCATAACTGTTTCTGGAGCAAAATTCGATGGGTTTTTACAATTTTGTTTTGTCCATCTCATTTCATAATCATTAGAAAGTTTATCAAAATTTTTAGCAATCAATTATTCTACATCTACAAATGACATTTTATGCTTTGCAGCAATATTAATATATATCAATTTCAAAGCTTCATAAATATCATTATCTAAATTAGCTAAAATTGATGCTAAATAAACTCTTTTTCCAAATATCTAATCAATTGATTTATAATTCTACTCCAAAGAATAATTTGTATCTTATTTAAATAATTTACAATCAGGTTATTATTAAACATATACTTAAACTTACTTTAGAATTTCCTCATGTGCTTTAGCATTAGTTATCATCTTTTCCTTATCATCATCTGTCATTTCAGCTGCTGCATCCATTTCACTCTTAATTTTATATCTAATCCATTAATTTATTTAATCAATTCCAATATTTAACACCCAACTAGCCTATCCTAAATTTAAAAATTATAAAATCTATTCTGGCTTTTCACATCCTGGAGGAAATCTAATAAAATTAATTTATTTTATTACCCATCAAACACATATTTCTCATTAGATACATTATTAAAAAGTTCTTTATAATATTTTACTATCATAGGTAATGTTAATTCTTCTATTTATTCTCCAGGGACTGTACTTAATTTTTCTTTTAACTATGTTATTGCAGCTTCTCCCCATTCTATTAAATTAAATCCAAATTTTTATGAAATATATTTAGCAAATGTTGTCTTACCTGACATTACAGGACCAATTACAATTCCATATTTTACTCTTTTTGTTAAATAAGACTAAAATGGTCCCAAATCTTCATTCTATATTATTAAGTTTTTGCCTTCTGCTGAATAATGTAATACTGGATTAATTTTAGCTGAAAATGAAACTGTTTTCCCTTCTTTCAAAAAATTTATTAATCCTGTTATTGGAAATAATTTATCTTCAAATGTTCTAAACTCTTAATATTTTTCAGGAAAACTTGTTAAAATAAATTTATTTTATTGAGGATCATTATATAAATATTTCCTTAACAATTCAATTTACATTTATGGTGGCACTACTTATCCAGAATTTAAAAAGGCTCCCATCTATTTTCCTTATGGAGTACCTTTAGCTAATTCTTCTTCACAAAGAGTCTCCAAATGCAAATGTTTATATCCTAATTCTGTCTCTAATTTATTCAAATAAACTTCTGCCAAATCTTCATTATTATATGTTAAAGCAACCAAAACTTTTGGTTTTAAATAATTCATTATTGATTGTATTATCAAATCTGATGATTATTAAAAATTATTTGACAATCCTTTTTATACAGCATCGACAGTTACAAAGAATTGAAACTTTTTTAAATAAGCTAACATTTCATCACGATTTTAGAGGAAGTTACTAAATCTCTAGAAACGACATTTTTTTAAATCCTCTGTACTTAATAATCTGATATTTTATTCAACTTCATCTTTACTTGATTGGAAATAAATGATGTATCTGGGTTTTTAGTAATGCTCAAAGAATACAACTGCTTAAGCCTTTTTATCTAGAAATCCATCAACAACATAGTTTTTTGGTTCAGCCTAAAATATTTACATCAATTTGTTTAATTTTTCAACTTCTGTTTATGCTTTTACTTTAACATAGAATTCATCTAAGTTGAAATACACATATCCTGTTTATTTCGCAACTTATTAAGCTACATAAGATTTTGCAGTTGCTGGAGGTCCATAGAAAAAAATGATATTTGCTTTTTACATTTTTATTTAATTATTTATTTATTTATTTATTTCATTTAAACACTTATTTCTAAACTTAAATAATATTTATTTCAAACACTCAACTCCTTATCAAATTCTTACATAATTATATTATTCATCGAGCTCTCCAAATATTCTCGCTAAAATTAATTTATTATATAAACAATTAATAATAATCATTATGATCAAATTAATTATTAGAAAATAAAGAATATATTATAGTTTAAATTTAATAATAAATTGAGTTGGGCAAAATGAGTTTATATTGTAAATATATTAATTAAAATTGTTAACTATAAAAGCAAATAATAAAGGCAATATTATAATTGTTATCAATATAATAAATGAATTTAATTAAAAATAAGAATTCAAAACAATAAAAACCATGTTTATCGTATATTAAACAAATTTTCAATTGAAAAAACTTGAAGTTGTAGCTACTAATTTATTTTACACAAGTAAGGAAGAATATGGTGATTAAATAAGAAAATAACTCATCAGTCCAAGGGAGAGATGGATAACTAGAGAAAAATAAAGTACTAGATAAAATACTATGAGATCGCATTCTTCATTATAAATTAATGATCTTATTGAGTGTCACTTAATAAAATAAAAAGCATAAATAAGATTGAAAAGTCCGCATAAATTCAGTAGAGCCAAAGCATTATAATTAATTAGAGAGAGATAAAAATCGCCTTTCTTAAGAGTATAGCAGTAAACTCTTCCTAGTTATTCAATTACTGCAATCTAAACATCAAGATTGAAATATGAATGAGATTTAATTAAAATTAATTTTCTTTCATAAAAAAAAAGCATTTGCTTAATTTTATGACTATAACTTACATTTTAAAATTTAAATTAATATGAAAAATACAGGCCAATAGTTACATACACTAGCAATGAAGAATGGATCTTTAATGAATCCTGAAGGATAGACAATCAATGGTTTGATTGATTTGATCAAATTAAAAAGTTAACCCAAAATAGTTTTCTATTTTGATTTTTTGGTTTGTATAGATTAATCAGGAAATCCATTCATTTTTTATCATGACAAAAATAGATACATTAATATTCCAACAATAAGTCCAGCTCAATTAATATCATATATTGATAACAAAGGAGGTTAATTGGCAATTTCATTGTAAAATAAAACTATTCAAATTGTGTCTTGTTAAAGTATTATTTCTATTTTAACAACTAAGATGGAAGAAATTTAAAAACTCTTAAAGGACATGAACATCAAATCTTAGGTTTGCATACTAATCACACTTAAAATCTATTGCTTTCTGTGAGTCAAGATTAATGTATTTTGTATTCCCTAGATTCATTTGATAAAGTTCATTCATTATTTTGTAAAGGAAGTATATTTGTTGGAGCCAGTTTTTTACCTTCCTCGACTGAATTAGCAACAGTTATGGCAGATAAGTCTTTATCTATATGGAATTTATCATCATTTGAAATAATAAGCCGAATCTAATTACCTGAATAATTCAATATCAAATAATGTCAATTAGTTCCATCTATTGATGGGTAAAGATTGATAATTAATTGTCACTCAAACAAAATACATATATTAGATAACCACAATAATTTAATAACTTAAGATATAAATTAAGGATATGGTAATGGTGTTTTATTAGTTAAGCCAATAAAAAAATAATAAATATTGATGTTAACTAAAAACTTTATGATTATTTAAATAGATAGTACTGGAAATCTTATCAAATGTATTGAAATATTATAAGGGAAAACCCCTACTCATTTTGATGTTTACTAAAATAAAATTGCTATAATATTAAACACAGGAGAGATTGCTCTTTATGATTTAAATAAATTAAATAAATAGAATTAAAATCTGAATTCAACTATAGGAGTAAATGTTAGTACAATGATTAAAGAAAACTATCCTGATACTTTAAATTTTAATAATACAACAACAAATATAGATATAAAAAAAGTTGGAAATAATAATACTATGTAAGGATCTTTTTCATAATCAGCAGTCAGTAAAAAGAATAGCAAATCTAATAGTATGTCTTAACCAATCAATTCCCATACTTTAGGAAAGATTTATAAAAATAGTGAGGATCCATTAAAAGAATTATTAAATTATTAGAAATTATAATAGTTCTTAAAACAATATCACATTTTTCCAGATGATAAAAGAAGTTTAATTTGGAGATCCTTGCTTAATTTGCCAATGAACTAGGAGGCTTACAATAATTTAATTAATTAAGGAATTCATCCTGCATATTCAAAATTAGCTGATCAATATCCTTTACAAAGTGAATCAATGTTTTCAAGATTATAAAGAACTTTATCTTGTTTAGCATACTATTGTCCTTTGTTTGCTGAAATAGATTATTTACCATAATTAGTATTTCCATTTGTTAAATTGTTTAAAAGGGGAGAAGAATTACTAATATTTGAAGTGACACTTTCCTTATTGATTTAACATTGTTAAAGATTTTTTGAAAATTTTCCTAATGCTCCAGTTTCCCTATTACAATTTCATGATTAAGTATTAAATTAGGTGGAACCTTAATTATTTTAACATATGAAATAATATTTGGGATATACATCAATTAAATATGCTTGGCCATCCATACGTTAATTATATACAAATTTATTAACAAAGAATTAATGGATGCAATTAATTGATCATCTAATTTTGTATAATGATTTACCTTAAATGATTGTTTTGTTAATGGTAGAATATTTTATTTATTTTAAAAATACAATAATGAGAATGAATGATTAAGATTAATTAGACCTATTTTTTGGTAGAAGTAATACAGTTGAAATAGATAAACTTATTGAGAATACAATTAATCTATGTAAATCTATAGATATGGATTAATACTAGATCAATTTATAATTTTTATTGCCATTATAAAAAGATTAATATTAACTCTTTAGTATTTATCCAAAGGGAAGTGTATAATATTAAGCAAGAGTTAGAGAGCAGTTATAAGAAGATGAATAAAGATTGATACAAAAGTAATAACAAATCTCTAGACTATAATAAATGGCTCAATAAATGGAATAATTAGATTAACTCTTTTAAGAGAAATAACTTCTAACTATGTAAGCAGAGAAAGATAGATAAGAAATGTTTGATTACTAAGTTGAAATGAGGGCTTAGAAATAATTTTAATAAGATTAATAAGTTAGATAATAGAGAATTAAATAATTAGAAAACCTAGAAAAAAAAATGAATGACGCAGTTTAAAAATAATTAGATTTGTAATCATAAGAATAAGAATATTTAAATAAATAATTCAGAAAAACTTAATTAGCTGATAATTTTAGGATTGTCTCATTATAAGAAGAGGAAGCTTTATAGAATCTAGAATATTAAATATTTAGTAAGTTTTAATAATAAATGGAATAAAGAGCTAAATAAGAAAATCAGAGAAAAATATAGTCTTAAATGGAATTCAGACAAAAGGAAAAAGAATTACTCGATTAAATTAAGTGTGAATAATGGAAAATGGACTCTTAATAATAATAAATAAAAGTTGAATAATTAAAGCAGTTAAAAATGTAACAGATTTAAGAGTTAGAAAATGAAGCTTAATTAGAAGAAGTTGAGTATCAAGAGAGAATTCATTAGTTCCAATAAGATTTAAAAATGATTTAATTAGAAAGAGAAAAGAAATTAAGAGATCAATTATTTTAAGATTAAATAAGCAAAGAAGAGCAGTAATTGAGAGACAAGAAATAAGTTGAAGATAAAAAAAGATAAAGTAGCATTTAGAGAAGATAACAATTTGAATAGGAAATGGATAGAATATCAAAATAACATTAAGAGAAATTGAGAATATAAGAGTAACAATTGATGGAATAATATAAAAAATCATAGAGTTTTTAAAATTAATAATACTAACCAAATTACTATTAAAATAGTAATTACTAAAACAATTTTGAACAAAGTTCAGGCGATGTTAGAGAACCAATGACTAGCTAAAAGTTATCAAGTGCATTATATGATTTTTAATCAAGTCAGAAATAATAATAATTTTCCCCATCTATGTTGGTAGAGGATGAAAGAGAAAAGATTAATTAATTAAGAAATCAATTAAGAGATGAAATGTAAAATATAAGAGAAAGAGAACATGATGAATAATTGTAATCAATGTTAAGAGAAAGGGAATAAGAGATATTTAAAAGAACTTAGTAAATAAGAGATCAAATTAATTAAGAAGTTGAGAATAAAAACAATTCAAGTATTTCTAAATATGTATTTAGCATACAATACAGGATAGTTTTAAAAATAATAGTAATATTATAGTCCAGGATCATCTTCCCAGTTTTCACTTTATAAGCCATAATAAGAGGTTGATATAGAACCACGAGACTTATCAGAATCTTAGTTAACTTACAGTAGTGGATTCACATCTCCAGGTTAACGTTATTGATAATATTATATAATAATTTTCAAACTAAAACTTTTGGAGCCAAATGCTGAGTAATTTAAAGTAAAGTCTAGTTTTAAAATATATTTATATATAAAAAATGGATCTGGATCATGATTATTCTTTTGAACATTTATAAGAATTAGCTAAATAAAAAAATATATCATATGTATTAAAAAGAGATGGAGGAAAATAATATATTGATATTTAAAAAATAGCAGAAAGATTATAAAATTTAGCTTAAAACCTTCAACACATTAATATAAACTTAATAATGTGGAAGGTTATATAAGGAATGTACGAAGGTATAAAAAAATATTAGATTTTATTTTAGGAATAACAACTGTATAATTAGACAATTTGGCGGCAGAAACATGTGCTTATATGAACTTAGTTCATCCATAGTATTCTTAATTAGCTGCAAGAATAGCAGTGAATAACCTACATAAAGAAACAAGTGAGTCATTTAGTGAAGTAGCAACAAAATTGCATTCATTTACAGTAAATATTGGTTATTATTTTTAGGACAAATATGGTAGACCAGCTCCTTTGATTGCAAGTGATGTTTATCATATAATAATGGAAAATAAAGATAGAATTTAAAAAGAGATAAATTATGAAAGAGATTATCAATATGATTTTTTTGGTTTTAAAACATTAGAAAGAAGTTATCTATTAAAGGAAGGTAAAAAACCAATAGAAAGACCATAATAATTATTAATGAGAGTTAGTATTGGAATTCATAAGGAAGATTTAGAATCAGCCTTTTAGACTTATCATTTAATGTCATAAAAATATTTTACCCATGCTACACCAACTTTATTTAATAGTGGAACACCTTTTCCTTAAATGTCTTCATGTTTTTTATTAGATATGATTGATGATTCAATAGAGGGAATTTATGAAACATTAAAGAGATGTGCTTTAATAAGTAAATCAGCAGGTGGAATAGGATTGAGTGTATCAAAGATTAGATCATAAGATAGTTATATAAGAGGAACAAATGGAATAAGTAATGGTTTAGTACCAATGTTGAAAGTATTTAATGATACAGCTAGATACGTTGATTAAGGAGGTGGTAAAAGAAAAGGATCATTTGCTATTTATTTGGAACCATGGCATAGCGATATAATAAGTTTTTTATAATTAAGAAAGAATCATGGAATTGAAGAATAAAGAGCAAGAGATTTATTTTTAGGTTTATGGATACCAGATATTTTTATGTAGAGAGTTAAAGATGATTCAGATTGGACTTTAATGTGTCCAAATGAATGTCCAGGTCTTTAAGATTGTTATGGATAAGAATTTAATAAATTATATACTGAATATGAATCAAAAAAAATGGGTAGAGTTACAATGAAAGCAAGATAACTATGGTAAGAAATTATTGATGCACAAATTTCAACAGGATTACCATATATGTTATATAAAGATGCTTGTAATTCAAAAAGTAATCAAAAGAATCTCGGCACTATTAAAAGTAGCAATCTATGTACTGAAATTATATAATTTACATCACCAGATGAAATTGCTGTCTGTAATCTTGCTAGTATTAATTTGTAAAAGTTAATTAAAGAAGATAAAACTTTTGATTTCTAAAAATTATTAGAGATTACTAAAATTATTACAACAAATTTAAATATTGTAATTGATTTGAACTTTTATCCTGTTAAATAAGCAGAATACAGTAATAAAAGAAATAGACCTATTGGTATCGGTGTGTAAGGATTTGCTGATGCATTATAAAGGATGAAAATTCCATTTGACTCAGAAGATGCCTTAGAATTGAATGCCAAAATCTTTGAAACAATCTACTATGGAGCTTGTTAAAGATCATTAGAATTAGCAATATAATTTGGACCTTATGAAACATTTCCTGGAAGTCCAGCTTCATAAGGTATATTATAATTTGATATGTGGGGTGTTAATCCATAATTATATGATTGGAATACCCTTAAATAAAATATTATGAAATATGGAATGAGAAATTCATTATTGATTGCACCTATGCCAACAGCATCGACAAGCTAAATTCTTTAAAATAATGAATCATTTGAACCATATACAACTAATATCTATACAAGAAGAGTATTAGCTGGAGAATTTGTTTGCATTAATCCTCATTTAGTTGATGATTTAATCGAATTAAGTTTATGGACACCATAAATTAAGAATAAATTAATCGTGAATAATGGATCTGTCTAAAATATAGAAGAAATTCCAAATAATATTAAATAGTTATATAAGACAGTTTGGGAAATCTCTTAAAAAGCCATATTAAACTTAGCAACTTCCAGAGCTCCATTTATTGATTAAAGTTAATCTCTAAATATTCACATGGCTGAACCAACCATGTCTAAAGTAACATCTATGCATTTCTATGCTTGGGAAAAAGGATTGAAGACTGGTATTATATTCAATAATCCTTATAGGAATGTATTATCTCAGAACAAGACCTGCTGCAGATCCAATTAAATTCACAGTTGATGTTGAAGCTCTATTGAAAGAGGGTGGATAAATAAAAATTTAATAATAATAATCAAAATAAGAATTAATTGATCAAAGTGGATCTAAAAAAATTATTACAAACGAGGGTAAAACAGTTAAGAAGGGTAAACCTTAAATAATTGTTACTGAAGATGGTGATGAAGTAGAGGTCTGCTTAAATTGTGGCTCATGATTATATTTATATTAATATTTAATATATAATTTTAAATAGTATTATGTAAAAGAGATTAACAAAAAAAAGATTGGTAATTTAATATACTGATGTAATTTAACTCATTAGGCTGGTTATTCTGTTTCTTCATTTCTTCTAGGAGCTCCTCTATTTCCTCTTCCAAATGATCTTCCTCCTTTTCCACCTCTCTATCTTGTTTCTGGAGCATCATCTTCAAATTTCTTATCAGCTTTTTTAAATGTTGCAGGAATGACATCTTCTACAATACCTTAAATTATGTAGAATATTAACTAAATACCCAATTTGTCTCTCACATATTTTACTCCTTCTGCTTTCAGATAATAGTAATAATATTGCCATGAAAATACTAAATCCACTAATTTCTTATCTCTTAAACTTCTTAATAACATCCAAACTTCAAGATTCTTTACACCTGTTTCAGCATGCAATGGAAGTGCCATGTCCTATTATCAATTTATTTATCATATACCTTCTTAATTACTATTACACCTTCCAACAATAAGTATTCATATACTTTTCTTCTATCTTGTCTCTTAACTTGAACCATGCAATAATAATGGATTTATATTTTATTTAAAAAATATTTAAACTAATTATTACATTAAAATGGAAGAAAAAACAATGGAAATAACAAAGTTGGTATATTTGTTTCATAATCATAGAAAATTGAATTAAATGCCTAAAAGCACTTAAAAGAAATTAGATTTTAGACCTTTGGAAATATAAGAGAATTGCGAGCCAAATTTGAATACGATGATTTAATTAGAGAGTTTTTCGAACAATGCAATATAGTTGGTACTATCTTATAATATTCAGATGTCCAATATGTGTATTAACAATTAGATAAAAAAGCAATGGAAGAGTAAGAATATAATGTTCAGGTCTATGAAAATTCGATGTTGGCAAACTTGGATGCTATAAACTTTGATGAAGCCTCTGCTTTAGAAGAAGAGCTGGTTAATTAATGATAATATTACTTATAATTAGTTTCAAATTGAAAAAAAATATAACTCTTTTTTAAAAATTGAACTTATATTTTTAGTTAGTATTAAATCAAACTAAGAAATTTTAAACTCTAATCCGAGAATTAAAAATCCTTATATAATTAATTTATAAAATTTGCATTAAAGTTATTTATTGATTTAGTATTAATTATATAGTTTTAGTTCAACGTAATATATAAATTTATTTCAGTAAGTTGTTTAAATTTTATTTTAAGTAATAATAAGATAGACATATTAAAATAGTTTACCAAATATA